AAATGTTGATCAAAGATGGAACATCAAGGAGAAGACGCAGGGATGGGACTGGGACCATGAAATGAGTCACACGAGGAGCTTGATGCCAAGAGCAATTGTGAGTGGCACCGGTTGACATGGGATCGGTAATATTTTGATAGCTGGAAAATCCGGGTGAGTTCAGCAAGGAGGTGGCTCTTGCCAGTAAGGTTGTGTTAGTGTCATTTACCACATTTCCAGAGACAGAGTCCCATGAAGGGGCCGTGAGGCAGGTTGTGAAGGAGCACAGAAATCCTGACTCATCGATGCTAGCGAGAGGGAGAGGTTAGTGTCACAACCAGGCCATGAGTTAGGAGTCTTTGAGGGGTACGTGAGACAGGGCTCAGTCTGTCTGGAACCCATCCTATTTCCAAATCACGTCACATTCTGAGCCACTGGAGGATAAGACTTCAACTATCTTTTTTTTGGTGGTGGGGGAGGGGACACAATCCAACCCATCACAGCCTCAGAAACCACTGGAGTTACGTTTTAGTCTGAGGTCAAGGTCACATTCACAATAGGATACATTCCTCCTGCGCTAAGGTTAGCCTTCTGGTGCAAAGTCAGGTCCTAAATGGTGTGCTTGTGACTTACGTAGTTGTAATCTGTCCCTAGATACCTTGTGTCTCTGTGAGGTACCTGATGAGTGTCAGTGAGTGAGCTGAGTAGGGGATCATCCACATATTGGATTGGGGGGTGGGTATTGCAAGAGAAAAACCACACCCCTCAAATTACCATTCAGAGTCACCGGAAAGGAAGGAGGGGCTTCAGGGAACTTCTGTCCCTGTGTATTGTTGACTTTCCCAAGTGAAAACAAAAAGATCGAGAATCAGAACGTAGAAGGATAGGAAACAAGAAGTAGACGAGGCGTTAAAACGGTAAAGTGGGCGGTGCTGGAAGGTATAGAGAGGTAAAGACAGTGTTTGGATTGGGAGCTAGCAGGGACCTAGGTTTGACTCTTTTATTTATGGCTGATGGGTCTTTGACCAGCCATATGCCAAAGGTAACTGATGAGGTGTGAAGTGGGGTTCAGGAGCAAATGGCTAAGAAAGGATCCTTAAGACATTATTGGTTCCAAAGTGACTGTTATATACTTTTTAATTAGTGGCGGGTAAGGCTAGTATAAGTCTGTAAGGAATTCGGAAGCAGGGCGAGCTGCTGTTAAGATAAGGTTACTTTTAGTTTTAGGTTTCTTTTTTCTTAATGTTTATTCATTTATGAGAGAAAGAGGGAGACAGAGCATGAGCCAGGGAGAGGCAGAGAGAGACAGGGAGACACAGAATCTGAAGCAGGCTACAGGCTCTGAGCTGTCCGTGCAGAGCCCGATGGGGGGCTTGAACTCGTGAACCGTGAGATCATGACCTGAGCTGAAGTCATTGATGATAAGTCCGTTTCAGGAAGGGCATGAAGGTTTCACTTGCGCTTCTAAAGGCTCAGCTTCCAAGATGCACCCTGTGTTGTTGAGTTCTTGAGGCCCAAAGAGAATCAGTCTCAATCAAGATTCGAGTCAGCGTATCATGATTGACTATGTGGGCTTGCGGGAGAAGTTGATGGGGATTTTTTTGTTTGTTTTTGTTTTTGAAGGGGGCGGTGTGAGGAAGGTTAGCGGACTAACATGGATAGAAACAGCTGGGGACCATAAGAGATAGACTCTCTTGTGAACGTGAAATCTTAACGTCCAGGATTGAAAGAATATCCCTTCCTGAAAGAGTGCCTGGAGTAGTGAGGCGCCTGGGTGACACTGTCGGTTAAATGTTCGACTCTTGATCTCAGCTCAGGTCATGATCTGAGTTTGTGAGCTTGAGCCCAGCATTAGAATTCTGTCTCTCCCTCTCTCTGTCCCTCTCCTGCTTGTTCATGTCCTCTCCCTCTCTCTCAAAATAAATAAACTTAAAAATATTCTTATAAAAAGATTTACTGGGGTAAATTTACTGGTAAGAAACCGGACTGGGTAGTGGGGGCGCGTAATGAGGCACAGAGTGCCTTAGAAGAGCATCAACTGCACAGCAAACTGGGATTTCATCAGAGTCATTGCTGTGTACTGAGGGAGGGGGAGGGGGACTGTGAGCTATTTATGGGGAGGGCGTGGCCCCTGGGGTAGGATACCCACTAATGGGGCTAGGCATTTCCCCTGCGGGGTGAGGGGTATTTGTGGACATGGAGAAAACCTACCAGAAGGGAATCCTTGGGGGAGACTAAATCTTACCCTCTAATTTACTGTCCCTTTTCTTCTTCTTTTTTTTTTTAACGTTTATTTATTTTTGAGAGACAGAGCATGAGCGGGGCAGAGGCAGAGAGAGAGGGAGACAGAATCTGAAGCAGGCTCAGAGCCTGACACGGGGCTCGAACTCATGGACAATGAGATCATGATCTGAGCCAAAGTCAGAGACTTAACCGACTGAGCCACCCAGGCGCCCCTAGTGTCCCTTTTCTTTAGAGCCCTACAAGTGTCTACACGATGGGCTTTTTTATCAAATTCAAATCGTGGGGCTTTAAGTGACACTGTGTGGCTTTGCTTTGATGTGCTGCAGCATCCCCATGATGTCTGACTATCTCATGGAATTCTGCAATCAAGGCATTTCCCCAGCTAATGTTATGGTTTTTTGTTTGTTTGTTTGAGTTTTTATTTCTTTACTCGTTTAAGTAATCTTTGCACCCAGTGTGGGACTTGAACTCACGACCCTGAGATCAACAGTTGCATGTTCTTTAGGGGCGCCTGGGTGGTTCAGTCAGTTGAGCCTCTGACTTCCGCTCAGGTCATGATCTCATGGTTTGTGGGTTCAAGCCCCGCATCGGGCTCTGTGCTGACAGCTAGCTCAGAGCCTGGAGCCTGCTTCGGTTTCTATGTCTCCCTCTCTCTGCCCCTCCGCAACTCACGTTCTGTCTCACTCGGTCTCTCAAAACTAAATAAATGTAAAAAAAAAAAAAAATGTCGCACACTCTTCGGACTGAGCCAGCCAGGCGCCCCTAACATGTCTCTGATCATATCTCTAATGTTTGGTCTCAAAGTGTTAACAAAACCAGTACCCAAGATAGAAGCAGTGTGATCATCCAGGATCGGGCCTGAGTAGTCATTGCACACATTTCCCAACTTGGGTCTATCATTGGAGATGGATTTGTCTATCTGTTGGCTACCGACCTTGGGCCAATCAGTTTTAGAGGGAGAAGCATTCAAGATGGAAGCCAAGAGACATTCTCCAATGTTATTAGCTGGAATTATGCCTCAAAGGTATTCTCGTTCATCTGGAGCTCCTCATTGACATTTATCTGAGCTTCTTTAACTTTTTAAGTTCCTACTTACTTATTTTGAGAGAGTGTGTATGTGTGTGAGTGGGGGAGGGGTGGAAAGAGAGGGAGAGAGAATCCAACGCAGGCTTCATGGTGTCAGCCCAGAGCCTGATATGGGGCTCAAACCTACGAACCATGAGCCAAAATCAGGAGTTGGGTGCTTTACCAACTGAGTCATCCAGGTGCCCCATTCCTGAGCTTTAAAAAAATTTTTTTTAAATGTTTTATTTTTGAGAGAGAGAGAGAGAGAGAGAGAGAGAGAGAAGAGTCGGGGGGAGGGGCAGAGCAAGAGGGAGACACAGAATCTGAAGAAGACTCCAGGCTTTGAGCTCTCAGCATGGAGCCTGATGCAGGGCTTGAACTTGTGAACTGCAAGATGAAGTCAGACGCTTAACCGACTGAGCCACCCAGGCGCCCCGAGCACCGGGTGTTTTATGTAAGTGATGAATCACTGAATTCTACTCCTGAAACCAGTATTGCACTGTATGCCAACTAAAATTTAAATTAAAAAAACAAACAGGGGCGCCTGGGTGGGACCATCGGTTAAGTGTCTGACTCTTTAAAATTTTTTTTTAAATGTTTTATTTATTTCTGAGAGAGAGAGAGAGACAGCGTGAGCAGGGGAGGGTCAGAGAGCGAGGGAGACACAGAATCTGAAGACAGGCTCCAGGCTCTGAGCTGGCTGTCAACACAGAGCCTGACGCAGGGCTCGAACCCACGAACCGTGAGATCATGACCTGAGCCAAAGTTGGACACTTAACCGACTGAGCCACCCAGGCGTCCTAACTGTCTGACTCTTAATTTCCCCTCAGGTCATGATCTCACACTTCAGGAGTTTGAGCCCAGAATTGGGCTCTGCGCTGTCACTGTGGAGTCTGCTTCGGATCCTCTGTTGCCTCTCTCCCCCTCCCATGCTGTGTGCTCTCTCTCAAAATAACATTAAAAAAAAAATCTGGGTGACAACAGGGAGCTGGAGGGCAGGGGTCAAATGGGGAGCAACGTTCCATGTGCCTGCAACCTCAGGACCAGGATGGAGCTTGAGAAGTCAGCTTGGAAGACCTGCCTTCCCGATCCCCAGGCTCCCTTGAGTCTCCCATCCCAGCCTTAACCCACTCTGGGTCCTCACTGTCCAGAGACAACAAGTCTGTCTCTCCACTGGATGGAGAACCCCGAGGGCAGAGCTTGGGTGGTCTCGGGCACCACCGTGTCCCTAGCGTCACCTGCCACAGTGTGGCAGACGGATGAAACAGCGAATGAGCACATTCTGCGTGTAGAGACGTGACCGCGTCAACTGAAAATACTGAATACTGCGCATCAGGCTTCTCCTACGGACCAGACTTGCGCGAACTGCGTGTCGTCATCCGTAGTTGTGATTAGTAGCAGTGCTGCCAACCAAAACAGGGGATCGAACTACCCATGAGATTACTTTGCTCGAAACCCTCCAAGCGACCAGTCGGGTTCCTCCATCCATCCCCCCCCGCCCCCCCCGCGGCTTACTCCTTCCTTCTCGAACTCTTCCCCGTCCTCCTCCTGCTCCCTTCCGTACCTTCCCCCCTCCGGTCCTCCCTCCGGACTTCCCACCCCCGTTGATCCTCCTTCCAAGACTCCTCCGCTTTCAGCCTCCTCGCCGCCCCCTCTCCCACCCCCCCTTCCTCCCGCCTCCCTTTCAGGAAATATGCTCAACAGACTCGTGATACGAGAGTGCAGCGTGGCCAGAAACCCAGGCCTTGGGGCCAGAGATGAGTTCGTTTTAATTGCTGGGGAATTCATGTTGGGTAGTTGGAAATAACTACCCCCCTGCACGGACACCCGCCGGGCTCCTCCCCCGGGGCTGGTGTCGCCCGGTTTGGGCAGGAAGCCGCTTCTCCTTAGGAGGAACAGTTCCATGAGATGGGGCGGGAGGGCGGCTCCTCGGGGACCGGAGGGCAGCATCATGGGGCAGCCAGGGCAGAAGGACGGGGCCTCAGAGGACGCTGATGCGCTCGGCCAGCCCCTGCAGCTCGTGGTCCTGCGGCGGGAGGGCCCCCCCGAAGTCCCCACCGGCGGGCAGGCCGGGCCCGGGCAGCGGGTGCTCTGCCACGAACTGCTCCCAGCGCGCGTCGTCACTCTCGTGCGTGATGTACCGCTCGCCCATCTTCCCCTCCAGCTCTCGGAGGTCCAGCCACGTCTGGTACTCCTGGGCCCCGGAGACCGAGGGTTAGCCTGCACACAGCACACAGCGCCCGCCCGCACCTCGCCCACCCAGCGGATGACAGCGCGGGTACCCAGGAAGGTGAAGCCACACCCCCACAGCCTGTCCAGCCAATGGAAATTCAGCTCCACCTCCTTCTACAGCCCAGCCAATGGGAATCTCAGCCACGTTCGATGGACAATGAACCTGCATCCTTTACCACCGACACAGCCAACAAGCCATCTGGTTCCACCCCTTACTTCAACCCGGCCAATAGGACCTCCCTCCCCGGTCGCTCTCAGCCCTGGCCCCTGCATCACCTGTAACCAGGGGTGACTGAGAGATTTGTCCACGCTGTAGCGCTTGCGCATCTTCACCTGCAGCAGGTTGTTGATGAGGTCAATGGCTGCACGGGAAGGAGACAGTTCAAGCCCTGTGCGCCGAGGGGCCACCCCTCCTCCAACAGGCCACTCCAGCCTACCTGCCTACCTTCCAGGGCCTTCCCTCTGCGTGGCGCCGGTGGCTCTGAGGCCTCACCTTCACCACTTCACCACTCACTCACCCACCCGTTTCCTCATTAAATTACCATTTTGTCTACCTCCCCCGACGTTGCACATACACTAGCTCCTACATCTCTTCACCAAGCCTCTCCCTCAGTTTCCCCATTCCCATGTCACCATCATAAGCTTTGTCATACAGAGGTACATCCAGGAACACCCATACTACTCCTCGCTTAATATTTTTCTTTAAGCATACAATGGCATATTACTTGGCGACCAAAAAGAATGCAATGTTGTCACTTGTGACAACCGGATGGAAGAATGTTTTATGCTAAGTGAAATAAATCAGTCAGAGAAGGATAAATATCATACGATTTCACTCAGATGTGGAATTTAAGAAACAAAACAGATGAACGTAGGGGAAGGGAAGGAAAATAAGATAAAAATGGAGAGAGAGGCAAATCATAAGAGACTCTTAAATACAGAGAACAAACTGAGGGTTGCTAGAGGGGAGGTGCAGAGGGGGATGGGCTAAATGGGTGACAAACATTAAAGAGGACACTTGTTGGGATGAGCACTGAGTGTTCTATGTAAGTGATGGATCACTAAATTATTTTTGAGAGAGAGAGAGAGAGAGCACAAGCAGGGGAGGGGCAGAAAAAGAGGGAGACATAGAATCCGAAGCAGGTTCCAGGCTCTGAGCTGTCAACACAGAGCCCGACGCAGGGCTTGAAATCATGAGCCATGAGATCATAACCTGGGCCAAAGTAGGAAGCTCAACCAACTGAGCCACCCAGGCGCCCTGCCTTCTGCCATGGGAATATGTAAGCAAAAATCGACAGCATTTGGTTTTAAATCACTTCACTTTTCAAAAATCCATTTTTCAAGGTGAGAATGAAAATATTACATCACCCCGGTCAATGACAATCCAAAGATCACTTGCCACGCACACAAACATAAAATGAAAATCAAACAAAATTATTAGACGGTAGTCAGTCAGCACTTTCCTGAGGCCCAGAGACAGGCCTGGACTTTAGGAAAGGAGCATTAGTAAGCGTCAGGCGTTCAAGACAAGCCACCACTTGGCTGCGACCGTCACCTTGATCAGAAGCCTTGAAGAACAAGGCCTCATGGCGTGAACCCCTCAGAATCCAGGCCTTGTCCACACCGCCTCCCTCACACGCGTCCATCCACACCAGATTCACTCACACACTTGATGCACTTTGCCTGAGGCTGCTGAGTGGGTCCCAAACAACGCCGAGGACCCCCCAGTACCGCTCCAGCACTCGTGAATGTACATTCTTATCACTTAGTGCTTCCCTCTCTCAGGCTCACCACTGCCGCCCGGACTAACCCCCATGGCACCCCTGCTCTCCCGCTCTGCCTGCTCCACGAGGCCACCTCCCTCTAGGGCCCTTCCCTCCTCGACAACCTTCTCCTCATGTGACGCCTTCTCTCCCAGTCATCCCAATATTCCCAGAACCTGGGACAGTCAGTACCGGGCGCATAGTAGGCACTCAGTGTGCGCTTGTTGAATAAACTGTTAGGAATAGCGATTGCCTTCGCAACCAACCTCCCGTGCTCTGTCTGAGCTCCCCGGCCCCGGGACCTGCCCCCTGTTCTTACAGCCTCCTCACATGGCCGCAGTATCTTGGCCCTGGTAGGCTCGCCCCCACACCTGGCTGGGGCCCCAAAGTTACAAGCCTCTCAGGGCCCAAGTCACGAGACCCAGTGTCATTACCCGGCCACAACGCCAAAGCCCCTGAATCCCAGTGTCCATCTCGTGCCTGGGTCCCCTCCCCACGCACCCCCAAGCTTCCCCCCATTCCCACTTGCTTCTAGGTTCAGGTGATTTTGACTGATCTCAAGATGGCTTTTTCCGGGAAGCTTCAGAAACCCTCCATGGCCCCGCCCCTCCTCTGGCCACTCCCCTAAACCAGTCCCCTCCATCGGGGGACCTTCCCCCTGGCCCCAGGCCCAAGTCGGCCCAGTACCCAGCAAATGAGCTACTCTCCAGCACCACTGCTTTTGCAAGGCTAACCCTTCCGGGGTCATAACCCCAAAGACTCCAGCCCCCCAGCCAATGCCTTGGGAGGAAGGATCCACCTCTTCTCCCGGCTACCCCAACCTTTTGCTTCCGCAGGTCCCCCGGTTCCTCTCCTGGTCCCGCCCTAGACAAGCCAAACCTCACTCAGCCCCCAAGGCGCCGTCTGTCCATTCTTCTGGAACACTTCATTTCCCGTGATCCAGGAACTAGGCCTGACTAGTTCCACACAAACCCCCGAGTCCCTGACCCAAGGCTCCAGGCCAGGGCACCTCACCGTTTAAAGGACCTGCCTCCCTGCGGCCCCACCCACCGCCAGGCTCCACCCCCAGAGTAGGCTCAGGGCCCGCCTCTTTTATGGCCCCGCCCCTCATCCCGCCCCGCCCCTCGCCTCCGCCCACCTCCGGAGGAGATGCAGCTCCAGGGGCAGGCTGGGTACATGAAGGCGGCGTTCTGGATCTGGTCTTTGATGTCCTCGTCCTCGTTGAAGGGGAACGTGCCACTGAGGCTGACGTACATGATCACGCCCACCGACCACATGTCCAGGGAGCGGTTGTAGCCCTGGTTGAGCAGCACCTCGGGCGCCAGGTAGGCAGGCGTGCCCACCACCGAGCGCCGGAACGACTTCTCGCCGATGATGCGCGCGAAGCCGAAGTCGCACAGCTTCACCTGCAGAGGGCGTGGGGTGGAGGGTCTGAAGGAGTGTTAAGGATGCACCCTACCCCGCGTCCGCACCACCACACCCCTCCACGGCATTCCAGGTAAATCTGAATGACGGTTCAGATCCAAGCCTCTCCTGCCACTAGTCAAGTGACCGTGGGTAAGTTAAGTGATTTCCTCTCTCTGTGCTTCAGTTGCCTCATCTGTACGAGGAGGGGGATCAAAACGGCCCACCTCGAAGGGCCGTCATGAGGATTACGTGAGTTTATCCATCTAAGGCCCATAGGATGATAAATGCCCCGTATGCCGTGAGCGCTTAATAAATGCCATCTGCCCCTACACTTCCGCCACACCGAACATGTCTCTTAACCACCTCGTGCCTCTATTGCCTCTTTTGAACAACAGGGATCCGAAAAATCCCTCCCTTAACGGGTGGTTGTATGGATTGAAAGAATAAATACACTCCAAGTGCTGGGAGCAGTGTCTGGCTCAAAGTGGGCTTCACGGACCTCAAGGGCAGGACCTAACTCCGCCCAGCCCCAGCGATGTCATGTGTATCGGGGATGTTAACCACAGCTTGCTCTCCAGCCTCCCTGGGGATTAAACGGAACACCCGCACATAAACTGCTGACCGTGATGGCCGGCGGACAGTAACAGGTGTTCGCCCACCTCCCCCTGGGTGGTGGAGGCAGTCCAGGGTCATGGATGGGCTTCGGAGCCAGCAACACCTGCGTTCAAGGTCCTGCTCTCCTTCCCATCTGTTCATAAGCGGCACCACCTCTGTGCTGAGGTCTCTGTTCATATATTGTTCCTCCCCTGCTCAAAATCTTCTAGGCTCACTATGGCTCTCAAGGGCCCAAGACCCATCGAAGCCCGACACGTCTGTATCGGTCCTCAAAAACAGCCACAACCCAACCACTGATGCCATGCGACTGCCACGCCACCCTGTCCTAAGATCCTTGTCTTTGTCAAAGATCCACCCTTTTCTGCAGATGTTACATGCAATGTTACGGGGCCATTGAAAGAAATGGAAGTAGCGATCCAGGCGACAACATAAATGAGCTCTGAGAACCTCCAAGTGAGAGGAGCCAGTTGCAAAGGGCCACACAGTCTGTCGGTGGATGTTCTGTTTATGCAAAACACCCAGAATAGGCAAATCTGCAGAAAGTAGATTCATGGTTGGGATGAAGGGTGGTGGGGTTGGAGGATGATGGCTAACGGGTACGGGGTTTGTTTTGGGGGTCATGAAATGTTCTAAAATGTGCTGTGGGGATGGTTGTACAACTCTGAATACGCTGAAAGCCACTGAGTTGTATACTTCTTTTTTTTTAAGTTTATTTATTTGAGAAAGAGAGAGAGAAGGAGGGAGGGGCAGAGAGAAGGAAAAAGAGAGAATCTTAAGCGGGCTCTGAACTGTCAGCACAGAGCCCGATGTGGGGCTTGAACTCACGAACCGTGAGATTGTGATCCAGGCTGAAATCAAGAGTCAGACACTTATCCAACCGAGCCACCCAGCCACCCCCGAATTGTATAGCTGAATCAGTGAATTGAGTCGTGTGCAAATTATATCTCGATAAAGCTGTTAAAAAAAAGAAAAAGTAGGGATCTTCTCGCTATGGGGCCTTTGTACAGGCTGTTCCCCCTGCCTGGAATCCTTGACCATCAAAAAATTTGGACTCCTACTCTTTCTTCAGAGAGGTTTCTTTTTGACCTTTCAAGTGGGCTATACAGTGATGTGGGCTCATAGAACCATGTCACAGAACTCATTACAGGTATGACATTATTGTGACCACATGATCAACGTTTGCTCTTCCCATTGTGATCTGCACTGACCAATATGGTGGCCACTGAGCCCTTCGATATGGCAAGTGCAATTGACGAACTAGTTTTTATTTTATTTAATTGTCATTAATTGACATGTAAAACCTGATCCTGTGTTACATCCCAGGCTGCCGCTAACAACTGAACGATTTCCGGAAGCAGAAGGAAACTATGATGTTGATGTAAGTTGTTTCCACTGGGAGTCAGAATCTTTTAGCCTTCTGAAATAAATGTTAGTGAGAATAATATCCTCTTTTACTATTAGAAAAAAAAGTTTCTAGACTTAATTATTGGACAACTTTTAAATGTGCTTGGAAGTAGATAGGTCAATCTACTTCTCCAACTGCTAATTTTCAGAAATCTAAGCATAAAATCAAATATTTCCTTTTTTTCCAAATCAAATATCTCTTATGAAGATTTCATAGCTGAACTGAGATGTCTTCTAGGTGTTAAATGCACACCAGATTTTGAAACTTGGTATGGAAAGAAAGAATATTTCATTGATAATTTTTATGTGGGTTACATGTTGAAATGATAATATTGGAATATACTGGGATAAAGTATATTATTAAAGTTAAGATCACCAAGGGCGCCTGGCTGGCTCGGTCAGTGGAGCACGTGGCTCTTGATCTCAGGGTTGTGGGTTCGAGCCCCACCTTGGGGGTAGAGATTACTTAAAAATAAAAAATATCTTGGGGCACCTGGGTGGCTCAGTTGGTTGAACTTCTGACTCTTGATCTCAGCTCAGGTCTTGATGTCACAGTTCATGAGTTCAAGGCTCATGTGGGACTCTGCATTGGGAGTGCAGAGCCTGTATAGGATTCTCTCTCTCTGCTCTCTCTCTCCCCTACCCTCTGCTGTGCACTCTCTCTCAAAATAAATAAATAAATTTAAATAAGTAAATAAATAATTTTAAAGTTAATGTTACCAGTTTCTTTTTATCTTTTTAAATGTGGCTACTAAAATGTGGTATCTGGGGGCATGTGGGTGGCTTAGTCGGTTAAGTGTCGACTCTTGTTTTCTGCTCCAGTCATGATTTCACAGTTTGTGAGTTTGAGCCTTGCATCGAACTCTCTGCTGTCAGTATGGAGCCCATTTTGGATCCTGTGTCCCCTTTCTCTCTGCATCTCTCCCACTCACATTCTCTCTCTCAAAAATAAATAAACATTAAAAAAATAATAACAATAGGAATGCCTGAGTGGCCCAGTCTGTTAAGCATCTGACTTCAGCTCAGGTCATTATCTCATGGATCTTGAATTTGAGCCTTACATCAGGCTCTGTGCTGACAGCTCAGAACCAGAAGCCTGCTTTGGATTCTGTCGGTCTCTCTGCCCCTCCCCTGCTCGCACTCTTTCTCCCTCCCTCTCTCTCTCAAATATAAAATAAAACATAAAAATAAATAAAAAACAATAACAATAAAAATCTTGACCTTAATTGGCCACGAGCCATGAAGAATACAGACTACATTTCCCAACCTCCCTTGCAGCCAGCCATGACCACGTGATCAAGACCTAGCCAATGGGATGTCAGAAAACGCTCCTTGAAAAGGAAGGGGGTGCGTCCGTTTCCTCCACCCTGCTTCTTTCCTCCCTCTCCCTATTATCTTTTCGCATGACAGGGACCGTCATGACCATGAAGAGGAAGCAACGATCACAGGCCAGCAGAAGACCGCCGGAGCCGAATACCTGACACCAAGAAACCGCTTTCAGCCTCAAAATGCTTATGCTGGACCGTACATGAGTGAGAAACAAGCGTCTATTTTATTTAAGTCATTGTTATCTAGAGTCTCTGTGTCCAATTATCCAGTTCATACAATCGCCACCAGCCCCCAGCGTTAGCTAGACGTCCTCAAATCAAGCTGGGACGTGACTGACCTGAGGAAACGGGTCAGCGGATGCCAGCAACACGTTCTCTGGTTTCAAGTCACAGTGGACGATGTTCTTGAAGTGAAGGTGTCTCAAAGCCACCAGGATCTGAGGGGAGGAGATGGGGCAGGTAAGGAAGGCCGAAAGGCACCTGTCCCAGATGCTGTGGGCAGCCAGCCCTCCAAACCCTATCCATGCCTGTCTCTGCACCCCTACAGATGCCCCCCGGGACCAGGGGGAGGCGCTGGAGCTCCAAATAATCTCAGAACCCCAGGGGTGGCTGGGTGGCTCAGTTGGTTAAGCGTCCAACTCTTGATTTTGGCTCGGGTCACAGACCCAGGGTATGGGATCGAGCCCTGCATCAGGCTCTGCACTGGGTGTGGGGCCTGCTTGGGATTCTCTCTCTCTCTCTCTCTCTCTCTCTCTCTCTCTCCCCCCCCCTTCTGCCTCTCTTCCCTACTCCCTCTCTCTCTGAAAAAAAAAAATCTCAGAACCCCCAAACCATTACATCCAAGATAGGAGTTGGATAATTCTAGAAAGGCTCGGCTGGAACAGTGGGCTTAGGAAAATCCTGAGATCCGCCAGCACGTGTGAGCTCCTGACAAAAAAGAACTATTAATGGGGCTCCGGGCTGGCTCTCTGGGGGTCATAAGTTGGAGCCTTACTTTGGCCTGGAGTTTACTTTAAAAACGTAGTGGAGGTGCTATCAATAAAGTAGCAGCCTTTAAGGAAGTACCAATGTGTGCCCCAATTTTTTAAAACATATTTTTCATCTATTAAATATATATGTATAATATTGGGGCACCTGGGTGGCTCAGTCGGTTGAGCCTCTGACTTTGGCTCAGGTCATGATCTCACGGTTCACGGGGTTCGAGCCCCGCATCGGGCTCTGTGCGGACAGCTCGGAACCTGGAGCCTGCTTCGGATTCTGTGTCTCCCTCTCCCTCTGTCTTTACCCCGCTAGTGTTCTCTCTCTCTTCCAAAAATGAACAAAAACGTTAAAAAACTTTTTTAATATAAATAAATAAATAAATAAAGCTTTTCCTGCTGTATCTGCTAATCTCAGAGATTCTAAGATGGCAAGGGGAGCTAATTTACAAAACAAAAAAACTGATACCGTTTTTAACCACTTATCCACGGACATTATGATTTTCCTTGATTCTGTGTAATCCAAACAAAATACCCACTACACTGCAAGTACAGAGTGATGGAAGCATGAAGCTGTGACTTCTGTCTTAGAATTTAGGTATTTGTACTTCTTTTTTTAAAATTTTTAATATTTGTTTATTTTTGAGAGAGAGGCAGAGTGTGAGCTGGGGCGGGGTAGAGGGGGGAAGACAGAATCTGAAGCAGGCTCCAGGCTCTGAGCTGTCAGCACAGAGCCTGACGCAGGGCCCGAACCCACGAACCGCGAGCTCCCGACCTGAGCCGAAGTAGGACGCTTAACCCACTGAGCAGCCCAGGCGCCCCTATACTTCTCATGATTTTTGCCAAATGACTTCCGAGCATAGAAATGCTATGTGAAAGCCGTTGCCAAAGGTCCCGGCTCATTCTGGAGCCAGGGAGCCTGAGATCCAAGATGAACATGGACCCCTTCTCCAGATTTCCTGTTTGTTGACCGCCTCCCTCCCCTACTAGTGAAGAGGGCAGGTTGGCAGCTAGCGAGATCCAGGTTCAAGTCTCAGCCAGACCGCTAGCTAGCTCGGTGACATTGGGCAGGACATGGGCCCTCTCTCCACCTCAGTTTCCTCATCTGTACAATGGGGGTTATAGTAACCTACCTTGGAGGGCAGCTGTGAAGCCTAAACAAGCCCATTAGGTACAGGGCTTAGCACAGGACTTGGGGTAGGGCAGACAAGAGGTGGAAGGCAGAAATCTGCAGAGAGAGAGAGAGAGAGAGGAACACAGGCAAAGAGAGGAAGAGATGGAAGACCAGAAAGAGAAACCAACCAGTTGCTGAGGGCAAGCAGTTCCCTCTCTCCACCTGGAGTGTGGATAGGCCTGCGTCAGTAGGCTTCTGTCCACACCCCACAAGCCAGCCTGACAAAGACCCAGGACTGGGGAGAGCGAGGGTGCTGGGTCTGTATAAAGGAACCACAGCACAGGGGATTTTGTGACCAAGAGAACAAGCCCTAGAATCAGGTAAGGGACCAGCCTGTGGGTACGTCTTTCTAGAAATGCTGTAAAACCCAGAAGCCATGAAAGGCACCATTTAATATTGTAAAAGTTAAACTGTTTAGGGCAAATAAAAGCCATGAATGAAATGGAAAGGAAAACAAATACTGGGATTTAAAAAAAAAATTGAACAAAAGAAAAAAAAATTGAACGACACAAGTGACAAAGATCCAGTGTCCATCATATACAAAGAGCTCTTACAAATCAATAAGATTGATCCAACTGAACAATGGGCAAAGGGTATATGAAACACAGGCCAATAAACATAGGAAAATATACTCGACTTGACCCATAATTTTTAAATTGCCAAATGAAGCCACATGAAGTGTTTTTCCAGCTATTGATTACTTTAGTGATTACTTTATCCAGAGTTAGTAAGGAGAAAGTAGACACCCTCAAATTGTTGTTGAGAGCAAAGACTGAAAGGGATTTTAGCGGATAACTGGGCAGCGTGTTTAAAAAAATTCTAAAGCATTTCTCTGGACTCAGTAGTCCATTATCAGAAATGCATTCTACAGAAATTCTCCCACCAGAGCCCAGCAGTGTTTGCAGACAACTATTCACAGGATGTTATTTGTACTAATGGAAAAGTGAAAACAACCTAAAGTGCTCAGCAGTTAGGGAATTTGGTGATATCCACCAGGGGAGACAATTCAGAAAAAAAAAAAAAAAAAAAAAAAAATCGCTAAACAACGTTCCGAAACAAAATAGCCTTCCAGAAGTACTATTATAGTGAAGAAAGTAAGTGGCAGAAAGAGGCACAGATAACATCAATTCGTTTGACATTACTAGTTAAAAGCACAGACCCTAGGGGCCACCTGGGTGGCTCAGTGGGTTGGGCGGCCGACTTCAGCTCAGGTCATGATCTCAAAGTTGTGGGTTCGAGCCCCGCATCCGGCTCTGTGCTGACAGCTCAGAGCCTGGAGCCTGCTTCCGATTCTGTGTCTCCCCCTCTCTGCTCCTCCCCTGCTCATACTCTGTCTCTCTCTGTCTCTCAAAAAATGAATAAATGTAAAAAAAAAAAAAAAAATTAAAAAAAAAAAAAAAAAGGACAGACCCTAGGTTCAAATCCCGCCAGCTGTGTGACCCCAGGCAAGTTCCTTAAAGTTGCTGTGCCTCAAGGTTCTCAACTTGAAAACGGGGGTGACAACAGCCATCGGCACAGAGATTGCTATGGAGATAAAATGAGTGAAAACAGTGCCTGGCACACAGTAGATGCTCAATACAGGTTGGTGACTGCATTATTTGCCCCCATTATTAGCACCCCCATCCCAGCCCTGCCCATTGTGGGCGATCGGTGTCCAGGGCTGGGGCTGTGTTGATCGCAGCTGTGTCGCCAGCCCTGTCCCCTCTGTGGGGCGGGAACTGAGGCACATGGAGGGTCTGCTGAAGAATGTAAGGAATGAATGAGCTTCCAACAGAAAGGACTCTCTCCCCTTCCCTTTTTCTACATGAATATGGTCAGGCCTAGGGAGCTTCATTATATAAAGTAATAAAAAATAGAAAAATCATGTATTAGTTTTCTATACTAATAACTATTATTACTACTACTCTATTATTTTTATTACTTGATTACTTTCTATTGTTGTTCCTCTTTTATTAATCTACAGTCTGTTCTGTTATGACTCTGTTATTATTATTTTAAGATTATCATTCCAGGGCCCCTGGGTGGCTCAGTTGGTTAAGCGGCAGACTTTGGCTCACGTCATGATCTTACGGTTTGAGGGTTCGAACCCCATGTCGGGCTCTGTGCTGACAGCTCGGAGCCTGGAGCCTGCTCCGGATTCTGTGTCTCCATCTCTCTCTCTCTCTTCCCTTCCCCTGCTCTCACTCTGTCTCTCTCAAAAATAAATAAAACATCAAAAAAATTTTTTTTAATAAATAAAAATAAAATTATCATCCCAGGGCACCTGGGTGGCCCAGTGGGTTGAGCGTCCAACTTTGGTTCAGGTCACGATCTCGCAGTTCAAGGCCCACATCAGGCTCGCTGCCTTAGGCGCGGAGCCGGCTTCAGATCCTCTGTCCCTTGCTCTGTGCCCCTCCCCCACTCGCACTCTCTCAAAATTAAACGAAACATTGAAAAGAAAACTGAAATGGAAAATTACCTTTCTGTTAGTCTCTCATTAGTCTATTGGTATACTTTTTATTATCGGCCGCGATGGCCCGCATACTGCATGCAGTATCTGAGGCACCCTGCGTGCAGGGAGGGGGAGGGGGCGCAGGGGCGCGGGCGCACCTGGGTGATGAGGAACTTGGTGAGGCGCTCAGGCAGCCGGCCCTTCTCGCTGGACAGGATCATCTCCAGCATGTCCCCATGCAGCTTCTCCATGACCACGAACACCTTCTCTGGCGTCTCAAACATACAGTCCAGATTCACGATCCCGGGGTGCCTCAGACTCTGGGGGTGGGGTGGGGGTGGGGTAGGATGGCGGTCAGGGTCTAGGCGGCCCATGAACTTGGGAGGCAAGCCACAGAAGCAGAGAGACGACAAATAAGGAGGGCGCCTGGGCGGCTCATTCTGTTAAGCCCCCGACTCTTGAGATCAGCTCAGGTCGTGATCTCCTAGTTCGTGGGTTCAAGCCCCGGGTGGGGCCCCACATCCAGCTCCACGTTAGCAGTGTGGCACCTGCTTGGGATTCTCTACCCCCCCTCCCCACCCTCCCCTCCTCGCTCTCAAAATAAATAAATAAATAATTTTTTAAATGTCCCTGGAGGGTGAGCAGCTCCTTTCCTGGGGGGAGGAGAGGGGCTTCCTACAGGCCCCGACAGAACCACATTCCTGCACCACCAGGTATCCAGAAGGATCTAAATTTTGAAGCTCTGCTGAAGGTCCAGGGTTGTGGGAGGGATGGGGGGGTGGGGCCAGGAATATGGAACAATGGGAAAAAACCTTTGTACATCTCTGTTTTTTAAATCCTTTGCCCTCTACCCCCAGCCCTACCTGGCCTACCCCCATTTCTCCCACCAAGGCCCCCAACCCAGCCTCCTCCCTGAGCTCCAGACTCTGGCCTCACCCCTCCAGCAGCAGCCAGAGAGATTGGCCCAAATAGACACTCAACCCTCCCTCGCTCTAAATCTTTCCTTGGTTCCCCAGTAGCCTCAGGAGAAAATCCACAGGGTGTGACCCTACCCTCTTCTCTGGCCTCACCCCCCACCACCTCCCCACACATCTAGTAACCTTGAAATTCAAATTCCAAGATGACCTCGGGGCGCAGCACACCTTCCCACTCCTTCAGTCTCCATATGCGTATTCCCTCCTCCAGGAAGCCTTCCCTGACCACCCCCCAGCGTGGGCTAGCCCTGAAAGGAGGAAGTGGGAAGGGAAAGTCCTTCCTAGGTGGGGGCAGAGCTGGGGCCCAGAGCCTGGTGGTCACCTGCAGAATGGCCACTTCGTTCCGGAGCTGGCTTTCCTGCTTGGTGGGGAAACGCAGTTTGTCAATGACCTTTACTGCCACGTCCCGGCCTGTCTTCCGGTGCTTTCCTGGGCAGGGGGTAGGGGAGGAGGGGGATGAGGGGAGAAAAACCTTCCAGTCCTGGCAAAAGGAACACCCACCCCCACCACAGAGACACAGGCATAGCTGACCAAAGGTGGACAGAAGGACATCAAGGCGGCTCTGTGGGGCCCCCAGGAGAGATGTGAGGGGTGGGGGGCCTTGGGGGGCAAAGGCGGAATGAAGAAGGTAAAGGACAGAATTCTGAGGTGGGAAACTAGGTTTAGAACCAATCAGAATCTAGGAACTAGCTCCGTGGCCAATCAAAGCGCAGAATTTGCTCTCTCTATTAATAACGGGAGAAAGCCCATTGGCTTTTCCCAGTGAGAGAGAGCCTGCGACCATCTGCGAAGAGGATCTAGCTTTCGGAGTCAACCAGAATAGGAGGTGAGCATGTGGCCAATCAGATAGGAAGGTCTGGAGCCCAGAACCCGCTCCCCCCTCCCCCCACAGGATCCCTTCTGGATTAGATCGGAAGCATCCTTACCTCCATAGACCACTCCAAACTGCCCCGAGCCCAGCACCTCATCAGGGAAGATCTGGTAGACTGTGGCGATGTCCTGTAAGGTGGGGACAGGGAGGGTCAGGAAGTACAAATGGAGACAGGGCATCGAAGAGACTGGAAAGGGCAGGAGGGCCGGGAGGCTGTGTGGGAGGCATAGGACATCCTTGGGACCACGCAGTGTGGGCAGGGTCTCACCACATTCTCTTGGATCTGGCTGTTAGACACGGAGATGCTCAGAGAAGCTTGTCCTGGGGAGAGGGGTGAGGGGAGAGGGGGAGGTGAGTCGACCCCGGGCTCAAGATTATCTTCGCCCATAACTCCACCCAGGTTTGAATCTAGGGAATCCAGTGCAGCTCCGGGCTGCTGACTTAGGAACCTCAGTTTCCACATCTAGTGAATGGAGATGACAACAGGTGCTCCCTTATTGGGCCAGTGGGAGAAGGAAATGAGATATCCTGGGGTGGGGGGCTCAGGAAGTGATGTCACGGATGATTTCGCTGAGCACTGCACCCCATGATCTCAGTTCCAGATGAAGCGCGCTGATCCCATCTTACCGAGGAGGAAACTGAGGCTCTGCGGGAGCGCCCACACTGATTCCAGCATCTTCCCCTAAACTTGCCACCTTACCACCCAACCAGAGCCAGACATTTCCAAAGTTCTGATCCTTCTGCCATTTGAACATCTACCCCCTCCCCGGGGGTTCCAGGCCTGGCCCTTCCTCCTCCTCCTCCTCCTTCATCCCCTCTCGGGTTCTGCTCTCTCCTTTTCAGCCTCCAGAGAGAGTGTGCTGAAGCACAAACCTGAACCTGCCTCCCTTCCCCTGCTCAAAACCCTGCAATGGCTCCCCAGCGCCCTCAGGAGGAAGCCCAAGCCCCTGCGGTGGCCTAACAGGCACCGGTCCACCATTTATTTCCTTGACTTCAACCCCCACCATGATGTCCTATCCTCCTGATGACCTGGCCTCCTCGCTGCGCCCCGGATAGAGCGGGTTCCCTCTCGCCTCCTGCCCTTCATTTTCTGTCCCCGCTGCCAGGAACATGTGTCCCTTCCTCTGGACTTAGTCCACTCCTCCTCATCACTCAGTCTCAGCTCAAACGCCACCCCTGGGGCCATGTCACGTTACCCCGGAACATGTTCTACGTGACACAGGATGATCTGATTAGTATCAGCCACTCGCTCTGGATTATGAGCTCCAGAAGGCAGGAACCTAGAACTTTCTGATCATCTGTTGCTTCTACTTGAAATAGTTCCCATTCGCTTTCCCCTCTTTCACCCCTCCTCAGCTTCTATGGCTCAACTCAGATGTTGCCACCTCCAGGAAGCCCTTCTAGATAGCCAGGCTGGATTACCCATCCGCTCTGAACTCCCACAGCCCTCTGGCTTCCCTGGCCCAGCCCTGCCCACTCTGGGTCGTCACTGTCTGGGGACAATTCTGTCTCCCTTACTGGACTCTGAGCCAGCTGAGGGCCGGTGCTGGGCTGTCTTGGTCACGACCATGTCCCCAGTACTGTCCGGCACAGGATGGACACATAGTAAATACATGAATTAAATAGTCTCAACTCACAATCTAGAGGGGTTGTCACCATCTGGGACAAGATTCAGAAAAGGGAAGTGACAGGTCCAAGGCCACACATAGGGTTTGGGCTTCATGGAGATTTGGACCCAGGCCAGCTGAGTCCAGAAGCTGTCTTCCCTGCCTTCTCCCTGCCTCTCCCCTTCCCCTGAGACCCACACGAGCCCCCCCAGACCCATCCTCTCAGGGCCCAGGGTGGGGACTTACTGTGGGGTGTGTGGCCTGGGGTGCTGGGCCCGTCCTGGAGGATGACGGGCATCAGGGCCTGGCGGATGGCCGTTTCCCAGCCCCGGGCGGCCTCGGCTCCCTGCCCACTGGGCCCCCCCGGGGCCCCGCCGGGTGTCTCGCCCACAAAGTAGGTGACATTGGCAGTGACGATCTCGAAGCAGTGGGGGTTGGTGCCTGGTGGCACAAGGCTGAAGTTCTGGGCGGGCTCCACAGTGAGGATTTCTGACAGTGGAATTTCCTGGCAGGACACATAACCAGCACCAGTGAGGAGGCCAAGCAGACCCTGGGGCTCCCCACTTACTCAGAAGAGCACACAGAATCCAGGGTCAGTGGGAAGGGCCTGAATTGCGCAGAGGAGTCAGCAGAGGCCTCCTGGCAGGAGTTGCACAAAGCAGCGATCAGAAAGGTAAGAAGAGGCCAGCTGGTGGAGGATGGTGGAAACAGCATGTGCAAAGGCCCCGGGGTGGGAAAGGCTTGTCTTCAAGGGACATACTCTATTCCCATCACAATAGATGGTGCACAGCACACTGTAGTTGTGCGATGTTTGGTGAGTAAATGAAGGCAATCAGGCTATGGCTAGGCTATGAAGGGCTCAAGGACTACAAGAGCTTAGCTTTTGTCTTCAGGGCTCTGGGAGCCACGGAAGGGTTTAGAGTGAGGGAGTGGGAAGTCTCTGGCTGTGTGTGGAGGGTGGATGGGAGAGGATGGGACTGAGACAGGAGGCCAGGAAGGAGGGAAGGGCAGGGGAAGAGAAGGTGCGGGGTCGTGTGGAAGGAAAAGAGTGCTTTGAAAAATGTTGGCAGAGAAAGTGGGGGAGGGGTGCAGGAGGGGGAGGAAAGAATGAATAAACATGAAAACATGAAACAGCTAATAAAAGCGGGAGACAGAGAGGTGGTGGGGATGGCATCCTAGACAGCGGGGCTGAGAAAACAGGAAGGATGAGAAGTCACCCTTCTGAGGGACGCCGCTCCAGGGCAGGTGACTCCGAAGCCGCTGAGTTTTAGTTTAAGGGCAACGGGAAGGTTCTGACGGTTTTCTCCACTCCTCTGGCTGCGGTGTGGGCCAAGATGGGGAGGGGCGGGCAAGCGCAGAAGCAAGGGCCTAGCGACGAGACGGCCTAGGGTACAGCGCGGCCATGGGAGGTGGCGAGGAACACTAATAAAGAATCCACGAATTCATCATAAAGTCATGATGGTAACAGGGAGCTCAACACACGCCAGGCCCTTAGCTAACTGCTTCTGGAAGATTATCTCTGAATTCGGGGCAGCAGCCCTGCGGCGAGGGTTAGTCTTTGAGGTGCGAGACGTGAGGTGCAGCCTGGGTCCCCAGCTGGAAAGCGGCGGGGCGGGCGGGCCCACTTGCTCATGACAAGCAAGCCGGCAAGCAGGCGGGAGAGGAGTGCAGGAGGACCGGGGGAGCTGGGGGCCGGAAGGCCCACCTTGTAGTATCTGTTGGTCGTGTTGTTCTGGAAGAGCGTGATGCACTTGCAGTCCAGGCGCCAATAGTGCCGCTTCCTCTGTTGGGAGAGGGTCCCCAGGGGGTGAGTGGCCCGCACGTGGCGCGCCTGGGGCTCCAGCGCTTCCTGGAGCCGAACCCCGCCCCTAACTCGAGCCCCACCCATCAGGCCCCACCCCTTCCATCTCTGGGAACCCACGCCTTTACCTCTAGCCCCGCCTCCATCAGGGCTCCGCCCATTTCTGGCTCCAGCCCCACCCCCACCTCGTCCCCTTCACAAATTGATCTCGCCTCTCCCGCCTTCGCTTCGGCTCCACCCCACCTTGCTCTGCCCCATAACCCCTCTCTCACTTTAGGGCCGCCTCTGGCCTGGCTCCTCTGCCCCTAACCCTGCTCCATCCACCCCTGCGTCCTGCCTGCCCACACCTGGCCCCCACGATAAGCCCTCCCCTTCCCTCCCTTCCAATTTCGCCCTACCTGGCACCACCCTATATCACACCCCCAACCCCCTTAATTACCTCTAGGTAAGCTTCTGGCCCGGCCCAGCACCCCCTCATCCCATCTTCCTGACCTTAACCCTTCTCGCCCAGCCCCTAACTCCAGCTTCCTCGTTTCTGATCCCACGCCTCCTCTCCCGGACTCCCAGGGGCCCCCTCCCTCCCTTAGAACCCATCCCTCTAATCTAGCTCCGCCTCCATCTTGGCCCCGCCCCCGCCGACCCCACCCTGCCCAGCCCCTCAAGGGAGTCTTGCCCCTCCCCTAACTCTAGCTCCGCCCCGCCCCACCCACTCACCAGCGTGTCCTTGTTGCTGTAATGAACCACCCAACCCTCGCGCAGGGTGGTGCTAGATTTCCGTGTCGTGTGTCGCACCGACTGCACTACCCTCATTAGGGGGATGTACCCCAAGGAGCTGAGGGGGAGGGGGAGCAGAAGAGGCGAGACGTTACAAGTGGAAAATACCCATAAGCACCTGGGACGGCGGGGCACCTCTCTGGGCAGGCAGGAGTTGGGATTTGGGGGCCACACTCCTGTGGTTTCCTGATTTCCCTTAATGAGGAAGGGGACTCGCTAGAGGCTCACAGTAAAAGGCTGGATTCCGAAGTCAGGCTGCCTGGCATATCACCTAACCTCTGTGTACCTCAGTTTCTCCACCCAAAGGGGTTGCTGTGAGAAGTGAAAACCTTCTTAGGGCATTTGGCACAATGCTCAGCATACAGTGGGCCTCCAATAAGTGCTCATCGGTATTGAGCCCAGTGATTGTGGAGCCAGCTGTGGAACACTGGGCAAGTGACTCAACCTCTCTGTGCCTCACTTGCCTTCATCTGTGCACCTGTTATTATTACAGAGGGAAAACAAAGGCTGAGAGAGATTAAGAGACCTGCTCAACTCCCGAACCAACAATCCCTTGATATCTGGACTAAATCAGGATTCGGGTGGCCTTGCCACTTCCCTTTGCCTAAGACTTGTTTTTCTCATCTGTGAAACAGGCTGCCTCTCCCAATACCCCCACCTCGCCCAAGTCCATCAAGATCCAACTCTGCCACCCTGTTATTCTGTTGCTTAACACTCCCAAGAAAGACTTGGAAGAAAGAGAATTTGAACTTCCAGGCAGCTTGGGTCAGGTGGCACCAGTAAGAAACTCTTCAATCATTGTGACCTGCATACCCATCCCCACTCTGGCCTGGTCTCCCATCCCCTCCCCTTTCTGTCCCTGCTACAGGCACACCAAGCTCCATGTGTTCCTGGAACATGCTTGGAGCTACCTCAGGGCCTTTGCACTTGCTGTTCCCTTTGCTTGGTAGGCTCTTCCACCAACTACTTTCCACATAGCTCTCTTCCTTCCCTCCTTCAGATCTTTTCAAATGTCACCTCCTCCTAGAGGCCTCCTTTAATGACCCAAACTAAAACAGCATGTCTTCATTCTCTGTCCCCTCTCATTGCTTTGTTTTTATTTATTTTGATAGCAGTTATCAATACCTGATGCTAAAGGTGTGTCTGTTCATTACTGGTCTCCGCAACTTAGAGTGTCTGCTCTATGAGGCTGGAGAGTTTTACAGGCTTGCTTCACTGCTGTAATGCTTGGAGTCTAGAACCCAGTAGGTGCTCATTAAATGTTTACCAATGCACCGTGGAAGTGGCTGACCCTCCTCTCCATGTTTGTGCCGCTCTAGCCCTGTGGGGGGACATCACAGCTCCTTTCTCTTACTAATTATTGGCGGAAGCCACTGAGGCTCAATCTTCTAACCTAGAAATGGGGACAGTGATCCTTGTGGTCTTACGGAAAGGATTTAGTTCAAGAGCAAATGCTTCTCAGGGCGCCTGGGTGGCTCAGTCGGTTGGGCAGGCAACTTTGGCTCAGGTCATGATCTCGCAGGCCATGAGTTCTAGCCCCACATCGGGCTCTGTGCTGACAGCTCAGAGCCTGGAGCCCGCTTCGGATTCTGTGTTTCCCTCTCTCTCTGCCCCTCCCCTGCTCGTGCTCTGTCTCTCTCTGTCTCTCAAAAATAAATAAACGTTAAAAAAAAGGTATAATCAGGGGCACCAGGGTGGCTCAGTTGGTTAAGCCTCTGACTCCTGATTTTGGCTAAGTCATGATCTCATGGTTTGTGGGTTTGAGCCCCACATCAAGCTTTGCACTGTCTGTGCAGAGCCTGCTTGGAATTCTCTCTCTCCCTCTCTCTCTCTGACCCTCTCCCACTTGTGCTTTTTTTCCCCTCTCTCTCAGAATGAATGAATGAATAAGTAAGTAAATAAATAAATAATAAAATAAAATGTATAACATAGCAACTCACTATCATGTTTGAGAGTTTCCAGGCCAGAAGAAAGCCACGGCCTGTCAGGTACTTGGGAACGGTTTCCCCCTCCCCATTTTACAGATGGGCAGAATGAGGCACCAAAAGGGGCAGGGAGTTGCGTAGGCCATACAAGTCAATCTGAGGCCAGAATGGTCAAAAGAAAATGAGCAGCTTTCTCTACAAGAAAAGGTAACTTTTTTTTTTTAACGTTTACTTACTTATTTTGAGAGGGAGCAAGCAAGCGAGCATGTGAGCAGGGGAAGGGGCAGAGAGAGAGAATCCCAAGCCGGCTCCCACACTGTGAGCAGAGAGCCCGACATGGGGCTTCCGGGCTCGAACTCATGAACAGCGAGGTCATGACCGGAGCCGAAATCAAGACTTGGACCCTTAACCGACTGAGCGCCCCAGACGCCCCAAGAATAACTAACATTTTTAACCCTTACTGCGTGCCAGGCACTGTGTGAGGTACTTCGTTTGTATCCATTCATCTTCCCCTTACAACAATCCTCAAAGGTCCGTACTACTTTATCCCCATCTTACTGACAGGGAAACTGAGGCCCTAGAGAGGTTAATCTCCTGCCAAAGGCCACACAGCAGTCTGGTTCCAGACTCCCATGTTCTCATTCTTTGCTCCGTCCCTTTTCAGCCCAGACTGTTTCTGGAAGGTTCCGCCCACAGCTGATCCCAGGGGCATCATCCCGGGATCGGGAAGTGGCTGAGGGGCAGGGAGGGAGGCGGGTTTGACTCTCTACCTTTGTAGAGAGGTAAGGTCCTTTGTAAGGACCACGTTAGCATCTCCAAAACGGAAACGCGACACCAATTAAAGTCTGCTTCTATGAAAACCTAATTTTTAAAGGCACATTTTTCAAGAGAAAGGTAAAATTGAAAAATCAAGGTGCGGGCGCCTGGCAGATTTGCAGGGTGACGCCAACCCATTCGAGAGAGAGGAAGGGCCCTCCCCGGAGGGTCCCCTGGGTACCTCTGGGCCTTGCCTTCCTCGCCTTCCTCCTCCTCACTGGCATGAAGGGCATTTTCCGAGTGGGAGCCTGGGATGATCCCGGTGTCATCGGGCTCGTCCATGAGGGAGCTCTTGTCAGCCTCGCTGTAATCAGTGGCCTCCTCCATCGGGACATCTAGGGGCACAGGCGCATCAGAGGGGACCCCGCCCAGCCCTGCCCCCTCCCCCTCCCAGCTCGGCCCACGGCCTCTCACCTCCGTTGATGAGCGCCTCCCCCAAACAGTCGTTAGGGACGCGGGTGGCACAGCGCTTGTGACAGTTGAACTTGCAGTCTGGTATGAGGACCGGAACAAGCGGACGGGGGGGAGGGGAAAAGAGGTCACCTGTAAGGGCTGAATCTTGACGCCTAACCCCCAGGCCCACAAGATGCGCCACTCGCTGTTTGGGGCAGGAAACCTAGCCGGAGCCTTCTCTGGCTGTCCCTCTTTGAGCCGGTTTCCTTCTAGAATTCTGGGATGATTATAATAGGGTCTAAGGTTCCAGGATTCTGGACTTTGAACACTCAGGAAAGGGTTTCCGAACTTTCGGCACTAAGAATATCTGGGGCTGGAGAATTCCTTGTTGCTGGGGCTGCTGTGTCTGCCCTGCTGACTTCTACCCACTAGATGCCAGCAGCACGTCATCATGACAATGGCTCCCAACATCCCCTGGGGCAAAATCCCGTCTGGTTAAGAACCATCATCGCTCTAGAGTTGGATGGTTCCAAGGTTCTAGAATGCTGGAATTTTATGAAAACCTATTTTCCTAAGGTCCTGTGGTTCTAGATTTCTTCTTTCTTCCTTCCCTCCCTCCTCCCTCCCTCATTCTCTCCCTCCCTCATTCTCTCCCTCCCTTTCTTTCTTTTCTTCCTTCCTTCAATTCTAGATTTCTAAGACTTCAGATTTTGACACGCACGTTTTTAGAACTTGATATACCTACAATTCTATAGGCCTATGATTCTAGGCTGCTAAGACTCCTTGATGTCCAGGGTTTTAGGGTTTTCTATATATAAATTCTAGAATTGTGACTCTACAGTTCCTGACTGTGAACACTCTAGAATCTGATGATTCCAAGGTTCTAGGATTCCCTGCACTCGAGATTCTAAACCTTGATGTTCCTATCGTTCTTTAGCTGTGTGCAGCTAAGATTCTATATATATTTTTTGTTCCAATGAATTCTAGAATTGGACAGCTCTGAGTTTTTACGGATCTTGATTTCTGATTTTCTAGATTTGATCATGCAACGTTCCGTGTTCTAGATTTCTAGGACCCATGGTTCACATGTGATGCTTCTAGGGCTTCCATTATTATCAAACCTGATGGTTGTAAAGTTCCAGTATTCTGAGAATCTAGAATTTGGCACTTCCAGGGCTCCATGGTTCTAGAATTCTCAAGTTCTACAGTTTTAGAATTCCATGCTGGGGAACCCAGGGGGCTCAGTCAGCGAAGTGGCCAACTTCAGCTCAGGTCATGATCTCACGATTCGTGGGTTCAAGCCCCGTATTGGGCTTTGTGCTGACAGCTCGGAGCCTGGAGCCTGCTTCGGATTCTGTGTCCTTCCCATACACATACATTCTCTCTCTCAAAAATAAACATTAAAATTTTTTTAAAAAAAGCATTCTATGCTAAGTGGGTTTATAAAGCTAAATTCTCTGAGGTTCTAGGATTGCAGAATTCCAAAGGTTCTAGATCCCCAGGATTCAGGGCACTCCTCTCCTGAGGCCCTGTGCTCCTAAAGATCAGAAACACACTGGGATTCTTTTTTTTTTTTTTTTTTTAAGATTAAAAACAATTTTTTAAAATGTTTATTTATTTTTGAGAGACAAGAGTGCGAGCAGGGGAAGGGCAGAGAGAAACAGAGACACTGGAATCCAAAGCAGGCTTCAGGCTTTGAGCCGTCAGCAGAGAGCCTGACGTGGGCTTCAAACTCACAACCCCAAGAGCAAGAGTCACGCGCCCCACCACCTGAGCCAGCCAGGTGCCCCCAAAACACTGGGATTCTTACGGCCAGGAGCCCAGGGGAGGGAAGCCCTGAGCTGCTGAGTGAGTGTATGGATGTATGGGGGGGGGGCGGGGGTGTCACCCCATCTGTCCCCCCACGGGGGCCCCGCTGACCTTTGCACTGCAGGCCCTGGCGAAAGAGGCCTTTGAGGAGCTTCTTGCAAGCCTGGCAGACGGTGGGCCGGGTGTAGCTGTGGATGAGGAATGTGTGCGGCACCTTGACCTTGGAGAGCAGCATCTTGTCTAGCTCGATCGGGCGCCCGGTGTAGGAGGAGGCAGAAGAGGAGGAGGAGGAGGATGGGGGGCGGCGAGGCAGGAGCTCGGTGGTACTACGGCTCTATGGGTCAGCAAGACGGAAGGGACGCATTAGTGCCTGGGCCCTGTCACCCGCCCTGGCCGCCGCCGCCACCACCGCCGGCCCGCCCACTCCCCAGCCCCTCACCAGCTCATCGACCATGCACGGCAGGGACTCAGAGGTGCTGAGGCGCACGGAATGGCCACTGGCCAGAGACGTGGACGACAGGCGGCGCTTGCGGGCCCCGCTGCAATTGTTAGGGATGCTGAAGGCGCAGCGCTTGTGGTAGTTCAGTCCACAGCCTGCGGGGGGCGCCAGACGATCAGAGACACACTTCCTCCAGGCCTGGGCTCTAACGCTCGACCCCACCCCCCTTTTCCTTTTCCGTAGATCAGGAATACAGTAGATCTCTCAGGAGGGCCCCCTAGCAGTGCCATTCAAGCCAATGGAAAATTACAAGAACTCGGGGCGCCTGGGAGGCTTAGTCGGTTAAGGGTCCGACTTTCGCTTAGGTCATGATCTCGGGGTTCATGGGTTCAAGCCCCACGTCGGGCTCTGTGCTGACAGCCAGCCAGCTCAGAGCCTGGAGCCTGTTTTAGAGTCTGTGACTCTCTCTCTCTCTGACCCTGCCCCGCTCACGTTGTCTCTCTCTCTCTCTCTCCTACAAATAAATGAAAAAAAACATTAACAACAAAAAAAAGAAAATCACGAGAACTCAATTCAGGCCTAGAAGGTGCTGGACCAGTCCACCAGGCACTGAACCATGTGCAGGTGGGGTGCTTGCTGAGGGCCCAGGGAATGTGGACTGGGTAACTGAAGAAAGAAGCCACAACCACGTGACCAACTGTACACATGAAGGGTGCACTTGCAATGATTATTTTCTTCCTTATTCTGATATACACGTCCACCAATATTTTTGTTTTCTTCCTTCTATCCCGTCATCACTTTTTAAAATATGGAACATTTATGAATGTGCATGTCATCCTTGTGCGGGGGGCACATCATCTGTGAAATGGATGCTAAGAATGCCCATTACAATTGACGACACCAGGGTCACACAGTGAGGAAGGTTACACGTGGCGCCTGCGTGGCTCAGTCTAACAGGAGCCTACTCTTGATTTTTGCTCAGATCATGATCTCGTGGTTCGTGGGATTGAGCCCCACGGCAGGCTCTGTGCCCACGGCTCGGAGCCTGCTTGGGATTCTCTCCCTCCCTCTTTCTCTGTTCCTTCCCTGTTCATGGCTGTGTGTGAGCTCACCACGTGTGTGCTCTAAAAAAACCTTCCATGTGCCAAGACGGGAAGAGTTGGATATGGTGTTCTCAAAATAAGTAAATAAGCTTTAAAGAAAAAAAAAAAGCTGGATACGGTGTGTGCATAACGGCAATATTGATAGCGACTCTGAGTGAATGGGAGTCAGTTTTCTGCAGGCCTGATTGGGCTATGATCCGAAGAGCCCTTAAATGCCGCAAGTGTATTCAGGGCTCCATGGTAACAATTCTGGTCCATTCTGTAGGTCTTCTAGAACACAGGGTGTTCCACACTCTAGATTTCCATTTGAGCTTGATAGCTGCAAAGCTGGAGATCACTGGATGACGGAACAGCGGAAAATAGGCCTCTAATATTGAAAAACAATGATGGTGCAGACAGTCTTCTTCGCACAATAGAAGGTCTTCCGTCGCCGTGTGTGTGTAATCAAGGCAGGGTGTGGCTTCATCTGCAGGCGGGGGCGAGATCTCAACCTCTCCCCCAGAAGCATCAAAGACAGGAAGAGTGGACCTGAGGAACTTGGCCCTGGGGCCCGGCCTTGAGACATTTGGGTAAAGAAACACTGTATGATAAAATTAAGGACATGTGCAGGGGTGCTTGTTGCAGACTGAACATGCGTCCACCCCTCCAAACTCGGGATGATGCCCTAATCCGCAATGTGACTGTATTTGGAGATGGGCCTTTAAGGGGATCACTAACATTAAATGAGGCCATAAGGGTGGGGCTGTGATCGGAGGCAACTGAGGTCTTTTGTAAAAGGAAGACATTTCAGAAGCTGTTCTGTCTCTGCACGCCGTGGTAGCACACGGCGAGACAGCAGCCGTCTGCACGCCAGGAAGAAATTCTCACCAGGAACCAAACCCAGGCCGAAGCTTATCTTAAACCTTCCAGCCTCCGGACTGTGAGTTATAAATATGTGTTGTTTAAGCCAGTCAGCCTGCGGTATTTGGTTATGACAACGCTGGCCCACTGACGTGCCAAGTCAATAAGGAGTGGACACTGATGGTCAGGTTTATGTGTGCAATTGCCTAGGGTAGCATCCCTGGTAATTCAGACACTGATGTAGGGACTGCTATAAAGGTATTTAGTAGGTGTGATTCAAGTCCACAATCGGATGACTTGAAGTGATGGAGGGTGTCCTAGTTAAGCTGGGTGGGCCTGTTTCCATCAGTTGAAAGGTTTGAAAAGGAGTGAGATTTCTCAGATGAAGATATTCTGCCAGTGAAAAGCAGTTTCAGCTTCTGCCTGGGAGCCCAGCCTGCCCTTCCTGACCGGCTGCCCTATGGATTTTTTTTTTAATGCTTTTTTATTTATTTCTAGGAGAGAGAGAGAGAGAGAGAGAGAGACAGCGTGAGCTGGGGAGGGTCAGAGAGAGAGGGAGTCACAGACTCTGAAACAGGCTCCAGGCTCTGAGCAGGCAGTCAGCGCAGAGTCCGACGCGGGGCTCGAACCCACGAACCGCGAGATCATGACCCAAGCGAAAGGCGGACGCTTAACGGACTAAGCCACCCAGGCGCCCCTGCCCTATGGATTTTAGAGGCGCTTAGCCAGCCCCCTTAAAAGGGGCTTACAATTCCCATACAGGAATTCCTTCCAAATATACCTTAATACGCAGCCTCCTACTGGCAGTTTCTCTGGTTGATCCCAGTTACAGGCTCCGCCCTCTTCCCTGCGCACATTCCTTTTTTCCTCCCCAAGCCCCTCCCCCTTTTTACCCCTCTCTCGGAGCTCCACCTCTCAAGCTCCTCCTCCGGGGCTGAGCCCCACCCTAGACCCGCCCCCTTATCCAAGCCCCGCCCCCACCCACCTCCAGCTCCTCCCCCATGCGGTGCCTCCTGCCCCACCTCTCCTTCCGAGCCCCGCCTCCTACACCTGGACTCCACCCCAGCCCCACCCTCCTGCCCACCCCCTACCCTTGGCCCCGCCTCCAGCCCCTCTCGCCTCACCGTCACACTTGAGGCCCTGGCGCACAAGGCCGAAGAGCATCTCCCCGCAGTGATCGCAGAAGGCAGGCGCCCGGTAGGAGTGAACGGTGAGGGCGTGGGGGCGGATCTGGAAGTCCTCGAAGGTGGCCGAAGCTGCGGGCAGCAGGGAGAGGCGGAGGGTTGAGCCGGGCGGCGGAGGCTGTGTTTGTTCCTGGGTGTCTTCCTCACAGTCCTCCCCGCTGCAAGGTTTGATGTTGCCTGCCTGCCTTCATTTACTCACATACCACTCTCCCTGCGTTCAAATCCCCGTTTCACCACTATGCCGCGGACTGGGGGGTCGTTTAGTGGCCCCAGTTTTGGAGTTTTGGAGACTGCTGCAGGGCAGCGTGAATGGAACGAACACTACTGAACAGGAGTCTCCAAATATGGTTAAGACGGTAAATTTTATGTTATGTTATAAATATTTCACAATTCAACATTTTAAAATAAAATTTAAAAATACAGATGCCTGGGTCTCTTTCTCAGAGTCTCTTGATCTACCTGGTCTAGGACAGAGCTTGAGCATCAAGAGAAAAAACAAATACCTATGTATCTCAATGTTCTCATCTTTAAAATGGAAATCCAACAGGGGCACCCGGGCGGCTCAATCGTTTAAGCTTCGGACTCTTGATTTCCGGTCAGGTCACAAAATCACAGTTCGTGAGTTCCAGCCCTGCATTGGGACTCTGCCCTGAGCCCGCGGAGCCTCCTTGGGATTCTGTCTCCCACTCTCTCTGCCCCTTCCCCGCTTGCTCTTTATCTCTCTCTCTCTCAAAATAAATTAAAAAAAATAATAAACCTTAAAATGGAAATCCAACAAACATTTCCTGAGTATTGTCCTAGGTGCTAGGGAACACCACATAGAACAAAAATTCCCTGCCTGGCCTCTAGTAAGCAGGGGCAGACCCCCAAAGTAAAGAAAATATAAATATTCCTATTTAACAATCACCCAGTCTAGCAGTTACCTTGTGCCAGGCACTCCTCTAAGTATTTTAAAATACTAACAAAGTCAGGGGCACTTTGGGGGGCTCATTCGGTTGAGCGTCTGACTCTTGACTTCTGGTCAAGTCATGATCCCACCGTTAGGGAGTTTGAGCCCTGCCTGTGCTGCCAGAGTGGAGTCTGCTTGGGATTCTCTCTCCCTTTCTATCAAAATAAATAAACTTAAAACAAATAAAATACCAATGAATTCAGTTGTCTCAAGAGCCCTGGAGGTACATTCTGTCATTATCCCCATTTTCCAGATGAGAAGGTGGCAGCACAGAGAGGCGAAACGACTTGCCTAAGGTCACACAGTCTGCAAATCGTGGAACTTGAAATCGAACCCAGGTCAGTGAGGCTCCAAAGTTCATGCTTTTAGCGCTGTACTTACTTCGTCACTGAACTGGTTAACTAATAAAATACACAGCATGTGCCAATTGTCCTCAAATAATTAAAAAAAAACAACAACTGGTGGCGCCCGGGTGGCTCAGTCAGTTAAACATCCAACTTCGGCTCAGGTCATGATCTCATGGTTTGTGGGTTCAAGCCCCGCATCAGGCTCTGTGCTGACAGCTAGCTCAGAGCCTGGAGCCTGCTTCGGATTCTGTGTCTCCCCCTCTCTCTCTGAACCTCCCCTGCTCGTGCTATCTCTCTCTCTCAGAAATAAATTTAAAAATTTAAAAGAGAAAGAGAGAGCGAGAGAAAGAGAATCCCAAGCAGGCTCTGCAGAGTCAGCACAGAGCCCAACTTGGGGCTCGAACTCATGAAACCATGAGATCATGACCTGAGCCAAAATCAAGAGTCGGACGCTTAATCAAAATGTGCCATCCAGGTGCTCATTTAGAAATTCTTTTTTAAGTGCCAAATGAATTACTATTGGGAAAACATTGAAAACAGTGTTCTTTTATTATTATTATTTTGAGGTTTTGTTTTTAAGTAATCTCTATACCCAATGTGGGGCTTGAACCCACAACCCTGAGATCAAGAGCTGCATGCTTTACTGACTGAGCCAGTCAAGCGCCCCATATTTTCTTAAGTTTAAAAAATTTTTTTTAAGTTTAAAAAAATGTTTTGTTTTGTTTTTAAGTAGGGGCTTGAACTCACAACCCTGAGATCAAGGCCTGAGCCGACATCAAGAGTCAAATGCTAAAGTGACTAAGCTACCCAGGGGCCCCTTAAGTTTTTTCAATTAAAAAAAATTTTTTTTTTAATTTTAATGTTTATTTATTTTTGAGAGAGAGAGAGAGAGACAGAGTACGAGCAGGGGAGGGTCAGAGAGAGAGGGAGACAGAATCCGAAGCAGGCTCCAGGCTCTGAGCTGTCAGCACAGAGCCCAACGCGGGGCTCGAACTCATGAACCACGAGATCATGACCTGAGCTGAAGTCGGGACGCTTAACCGACTGAGCCAACCAGGTGCCCCTAAAAAAATTTTTTTAATGGTGCTCTTTAAACAAAGCACATAGAAAGTGTTCAATAACTGTTAACTTTTATTTTAGAATGATTTTTTAAAGTTTATTTATTTATTTTGAGAAATAGAGAGAGACAGAGCAAGTGAGTGCAGGGAAGGGGCAGGGAGAGGGGGGAGAGGGAGAGGGAAGGTGGGGGAGAGAGAGAGAGAGAGAGAGAGAATCCCAAGCAGGCTCTGCACCTTCAGCTTGGAAACTGATGCGAGGCTTGAACTCACGAACTGTGAGATCATGACCTGAGCCGAAGTCGAATGTTTACCCGAGTGAGCCACCCAGGCGTCCCTAGCTTTTATTTTTAAAGTTTCATTTTTCAACTAAGTCTCACTCTCTTTTCTCCCCACTTCCCCCGAAATTCACTCTAACGTTGGGCTATTTTCCTTGTTATTGTGTGACAAAAGGGGATTCTCTTCTGTGCGCCAAGCACTGTTTACACACACAGGGTAAAGCTATGAACAAGTCAGATTTGCACCCCACTCTCAGGGAGCTGACATTCTTTTGCGGAGACAGACAAGAAACGTGCACACACAATAAACAAGGACATTTCAGACACTGGAGGAAATGGCATTTAAGCTCAGATTCAAATAACAAGCAGCAGCTAGCTGTGAGAAGATGGGGCGGGGAGGGAGGCATGGACGGTGGGCGCACAGACCCAGAGATGGGAGGCAGCTTGGTTTGTTCAAGGGACAGAGGACGGGCAAGTCCAGATCATGGACATCCTTAAGGCCACATGGGAGGAGTATGCATTTTAGTCCAAGGGTAATGTGGAGCCAGGGGAGGATTCGGAGCATCCAAGTGTCATGAGCTACTCCAACAATCTGGGCAGAAGGTGACGGCCTCTTGGACCAGAGGAGGTAGTAAGAAATAGATTCCAGATGGGGCGCCTGGGTGGCTCAGTTGGTTAAGTGTCAGACTTTGGCTCAGGTCATGATCTCACCGTTCGTGAGTTCAAGCCCCGCGTCGGGCTCTGTGCAGACAGCTCAGAGCCTGGAGCCTGCTTCAGATTCTGGGTCTCCCTCCCTTTCTCTCTGCCCCTTCCCCGCTCATGCTGTTTCTCTCTCTTTCTCAAAAATGAGTAAACTTTAAAAAGTAAATTAAAACAATAGATTCAAGATGTATGTTAATGGTAAGACCAATTCATTTGATGATGGGTGAAGGGGTGAGAGGAATGGAGGGGTCAAGGATGCCCCAATGTTTGGGATCATGAACACCTGAGTGAATGGTGACGCCCTTCACTGAGGGGGAGAAGACTGCTGGAAGAAAGGAGGAGAAAAATCAAGATTTCTGTCTTAGGCAGGCCCCATCTCAGATGCCGAGAGATACCGACTAACAGTGTCAGGGAGAGAGCTATAGGACGAAGACTTGGATCTAGGGGAGGGAGACCAGGATGAATAAAAATCCGAGTTTCCAGCCTATATTGAGGGTATCTGAAACCTGAATAAAGTCACCGGGGGTATGCGTCCAAACTTCTGCTAATTGTCATCCATCCATTCAACGGGTTTTACTAAGCATTGTGCTATGCAAGCCTGGGGGCGGATACCTCCAATCCCCTACCCTCCTAAAAGAAATGGGGGGCCATCCACTCCTCTGAGGTGCCCAGAGCTAACTAGTCTCTAAAATGCAAATGGCCAAGGGGCAGCTGGGTGGCTCAGTCGGAGGAGCTTCTGACTTCAGCTCAGGTCATGATCTCATAGTCCAGGAGTTCAAGTCCTGCATTGGGCTCTGTGCTGACAGCTCAGAGCCTGGAGCCTGCTATGGATTCTGTGTCTCCCTCTCTCTCTCTGCCCCTTCCCGCTCAAGCTCTGTCTGTCTCTCTCAAAAATAAATAAACAATAGGTGGCGCCTGGGTGGCTCAGTCGGTTGAGTGTCTGACTTTGGCTCAGGTCGTGATCTCACAGTCCGTGGGTTCGAGCCCCACATCAGGCTCTGTGCTAACAGCTCAGAGCCTGGAGCCTACTTTAGATTCTGTGTCTCCCTCTCTCTCTGACCCTCCCCTGCTCATGCTCTCTCTCTCTCTCAGAAATAAATAAAAAACGTTTAAAAAATAAAAATATTTAAAAATAAATAAATAAACATTAAAAGAAATTTTTTTAATGCGAATGGCTAAATTCTGGCTGGAAATACAGGTGCCCACGCCTCATCTAACCTCAAAGAGTCTGATTCCATTTGGCCTTTCATGGGAGGAGGCGTGGGCATCGGAACACTGTCTACTTGGTATCAAAGTATAACATCCATCTAGAAAAGGACACATCTCGAGTGCAGGGCTCAGCGAATTGTCAAACTGTACACACCCCGTCACCCACATCTTGATAAGTAAATGGAAGTTCAAATCAGTCCGCAGAAATCTCCCTCCTGCCCCACTCTGTCTTCTCGGAAGGCACCACGTTCCTCCCTTCCAATACCATATAGTAACTGTATCCGTCTCTGTGCTTCCTAAATGGAATTATACTATGTAGTCTCATGTCTAGCATCTTTCCGCTTTCGGCATTAGGTCTGCGAGATTCACTCACGTTGCTGGTGCGCATACACAATATATTTACCCGTTTCAAGGTCGTAGTTTATAAAAGTCCCAAAAGGGATTCCAATTTGCACCCAGGGCTTTGAACCACTGGCCCCGACTTTAAGAAGCAGGTTTCTGGGGCCCTCTCCTCTCCCTCCTCCAGATGTGCCACCCCACCTCCCTCCGTTCCCCACCCCTACACACACACACACCGGCCCCTCACCCTGTTCCCCCCCAGCGACAGGCTGCGCCCACAGGCGGGCCTCCACCGCTCACCCGACAGCACCACCTCCACCAGGTCGCCCTCCTGGATGTCTCCGACGGAGCGCACCAGCTGCAAGAGGTTGGCCGACGTGGGGTCATGTTTGAAGAGAAGGATCTTGTCGTAAAGGCCGTAGAAGCCGCACTCGGGGAACTGAGGGGCGGGACAGGGAGGCGGTGACCCAAAGGCTCGGCACTGCCTTCAGCAGCGGTCTGGAACGCTCCCAGGGCAGGCGGGCCTGTTTCCCCCGGAAACCGAGACCCCGCAGCCCTTGCTTCCTGCCAGCCCCGGGCGGGGTGCCAGGGCCCAGGTGTGCTGGGAGACAGCGCCGCCAACAGTTTGGTGGCTGGACTAGGAAACTAGGGTGGGAGGCGGAGTGGCTCTGGGAGCAGTGGGCATCTAGAATTTTCCGGGGGGGGTGGGGGGCGCGCGCGCAGTGAGGGTCTAAGTGAACACCCACTCCGTCCCCCTCCCCCCCAGCTTCCTTCCTAGATCTATTGTCCCAGTTACCTGGCTCCTGGCCCAGCACTAGGGTGGGGCCAGCTGGAAGATGGGGATTTAGGACATGGGGGGGGTGCGGGGGGGGTGGAGGCGGAAAGGTTAGGGCTCAAGGGAGCTGGAGGGAGGTAGGGTGCCCCCCCCCACAATGCCCGAAGGACCCAGGTGTCCCTGTCCCTAGCTTGGGCTGGGGGGCAGGAAATGAAACCTGGTAGAACAGAAAGTGAAACCGCCCAGGTGGGGTGGCTGGAAAGAAAGGAAGGGGCCTACCACACCTGGACAGAGAAGACGCAACACCCCCCTCCCCGGGGGGGGGGGGGCCTGAAGGAGGCGGCAGAAGATGTGAGCACTGGACAAATTACCCCCAGGGGACCATCTGCCCTCCAACCTACCCCACCCCCACCCCGTTTTCTCAAAGGGCCGTTGGGCTGAGTTGGGTGTGAAAACTGGCTGGGCCTGTGGGTTTGGGGATTTGGGTGGAGGGCAAAGGAAGCCCCGCGTGTTCATGTCTGCTGGGAGAGGGTCCACAGGTGGCAGGGACTGCCTGAGCCCTGACTCCTTGGGGGGGGGGGGGCAAGGGGCCAGGGGGTGTGTGCAGGGAAGAGGGCCTTTCTCTGTCAGTTTCCTTGTCTGTAAAATGGGGGACTGGGCTCAGTTCCTGTGGTTTCTCCGAAACCCAAAGAATTTATCATCAGGGGTCTGAGAAGATTCTGGAATGTGGACATTTTGGGATTCCAACATGCCCACATGATAGTATCTATCTGTCTTAGGGCCCAACATGTATGTTTTAGGACTTCACCACTCCAGATTAGCACAGTCTGGGATGTTAATGTTCTAGGAATCGAATACACTGAGGATTCTAGTATTTGAATATCTTTCCATTATGATTTCAACAACCCAGCATTCCCAAATTCTACATTTTCATTTTCCACGATTCCAACAGCTCAGGAATCTAATATTCTAACATTTTTACAGTCTCGAACTGCCACAACCGAGAAGCCCACTGTTCTAACTTTGGACGTTCTAGAATTCACGCGTTGAGTTCCACCTGATTCCCTCTCGCCCCCAGTGATCTCCAGCTTCCCACTGTGGTAGTGTTGGGGTTGGGGAAGGCCTGTTTTAATAGGCCAGCATCAGACCTGAGAGGTGGTGACACTGATTAGGAATGGGGACAGAGTCCCCTGAGCCTCTTGGGGTTCCAAAGAGGTGCCTGCCCCTCCCCACACCTCTCAGGCCCGGGGGAGGGCCGAGATTGGGCTCTGAGACCTCACTTGCCCCTGGCAGCTAGTGTGCAAGCACCCACACCGACACATGTCACCCGATCGCCACGGCCCGGTGCGGCTCCGATTTCTACTGTTTCCACCAAATGGGAGGTCCGGGATGGGCTTGAATGGGGAGGTCCCCCATCTGCTGACCTCACCGGTCCCTTCCTCCCCACTTCTACACCTAGCTGGCCTCTCCCTTCCTCCCTGCTGGCTACAGAAAACAACAACATACAGGGACACGCAACTGGGGAGGCCGCTGGAGCACCCCGCCCCTGGCCGGGCCTCCCTCAAACGGAAAGTGGGGTGAGGAGGCAACTGGGGGCTAAATGCCCTATCCCCACCTCCCAGACCACCGAGGTTTAATCCTCCTTCTTCTCCCTCCCCTGGGCCAGGCTCCAGGCCACCTCTGCCAGGCCCTCCCCACCCCCAGACCTCTCCCCAAGCTTGACAGGAGAAACCCTGCACCCTCACCTTCTGGTCCACGATGGAGCAAGCCAGCTGCTTCACATGGGCCAGCTCGGAGGCGGTGGGCAGCAGCACAAACTCGCGGGTCAGCCCGATCTGGATGTGGAAGGAGACCCCGGAGCTGGGAGCTGGGATCTGGGCCAGCTGCGGTGGCGGCGACTGCAACTCCAAGCCGCCGGGGGGCAGAGGAGACCCAGGCCCGGGAGAGCCTGGGAGCCCGGCGAGATGGGAGGGGGAGGCGGCCATAGGGGGGAGGCCCGGGACCAGCCGCCCGGCGCCCACCCGGGATCCGGCTGAAGGAGCCCGGGGAACCCGGGTCACCGGATTCGAAGGAGCTGGTAAGCTGGTGGTGGGGGTGCCGGGATCCCGGGGCTACGAGAAAAGAAACCTATCAGGTTGAGGGCACTCGAGGGTGGCGGGACCCTGGGAAAATAGAGAAATTTAAGCTAGTGGGTCAGACGCCAGGGAATCATAAAGGAGAAATCTAATGGTTTGAGGGACCCAGAGACTGAGAGGTTCTAAGAAATCAAGGAAATCTAGTAGGTCGGGATCAGGGGAGGAACCCAGGATCCAGAGGCCCTTCGGGGAGAGAAAGGCTTGAGGAGAGAGCGGGCGGAGAGGGGGGGTGTCCCAGAATCCAATGGCTCTAAGAAAAGGATTCAATTAAGAAGGGGGCCCGAGGGGATTCACCAGACCCTAGCGGTGGAGGACAGGAGTCTCTGAGTCGGGGATCGAGTGGAACCCAGGGATCCGACGGGCCCAGGGATGGGCAAAGGGATTCTGAGGGCCGGGGTACTAAGGAGGGTATCTCACGGGTCTCAGAAGTTGGAGGAAAGTTCGGTCGGGGGCCGCGGAGGAGGGGGCGTTCCCGGCGGCGGTGGAGGGGGGGGGGCAAGGGAGGGTCGCCCGGCGCCGGGCGCCGGTGGCTCTTTTTCCCCCTCCAAAGTTTAACTCTGCGGCTGCGGCCCAGGAGGAAGTGTCCGGAGCGATGGCGCAGTCAGCCAATCCGCGCGGGGCTCGGTGACGTCAGAGATGGGCGGAGCCAGTCGAGGGGCCGGGGGCGGAAGGAGAGGGCGGGCCGGGCACCTCCGAGTGGGGGCGTCACCTGCCCCGCCTGGGTCCGGCTGTCTGGGGTGCGAGATGCAGGGCAGGGATCCGGGACTGATTCCTGCCCCTCAACACACCCAAGTCTGGAAAGTTAACTATTCCCAGAGCCGGAGAGGAGGGGCCAGTCACCCTCATTACCGCCGCAGGTCGCGGGGGCCCGGGCTGAGGAGGCGCCTGGCCCTTTAAGGAAGGGGGCCCGTCTAGCCTGGCCTGCATCCGGCGCCCACCGCAGGGGAAAGGGTGGGAAACTGGTGTCGGGGCCAGCCCGCTCTGGGATCGCTGGCCTCGGCCTGCCTCTTCTCAGAGCGTCGTCCTCCCCACCCCTACCCCCGCCCCGCCCAGGAGAGGGGGGTGCTGTAGAGATCCCCCAGCCCATTACACAGGTGGCAAGACAGAGGCCTCCAGATGGGCAGAAGGACCCTTGACTCATGTCTGCCTCTGGCAAACTTGGCAAGGTGCACGGAGAAACCTGGAGGGGCCAGAGCTGGATTATCTGTGCAGGGAAGAGCCAGGCACAGACAGGGCCGGCAGAGAAGGGGTGTAGTTTCCTTTCATCTGCTTGCCACTCTGGCCCAGGAGAGCCACAGACCTGGGGGTGCTGTAAGGGCCAGAGCAACCAGGGAGCACGGCATCCCCACCCCCACTTGCAGAGGAAGAACAGTCTGTTCCTCTGAGCCTGTCGCTCCATCTGTTAGATGGGACCGTGACAGGGCTGAACCCAGAGGGTCTTTGAGGGGATTCATGAGATTGTATGTCGGTGCCTGGCACACAGCTGAGGTTCAGTAGGTGGTGGCCGTCACTATAATTTGCAGAGACAAAGGGGTGGGCACCTCGAGCACTGAGGTGTCAAGTACAGTTATGTTCATCCGGCCAGTCATCCCAGAGGCATTGAACGCCGGCCTACTATGTGCCAGGCTTGTCATAAAACAGCTCTCCCAGCCTGTTCAGGGGCTATTTAGACTCGATCTCTCTTCCCCAGCTAACAATGAGAGAGATGGGCCACCTGGCCACCTGCGTTCCAGAGAGGCAGGGCTGGCTGGGGAGGGGGGCCTCGAGACGGGCCCCCCTTCCTGGTAAAGGGCTGCTGAGGGCAGCTGAGGTCGGTACAGTAGTGACTCTGCCACCACATCCGGGGGCTGGCTGGGGCTGGGGAAGGAAGGAAGTCTGAGGCTGGAGTCAAAACCCAAACCACCACCTGGGGAAGCTTCTCAGAGCCCAGAGGGATGAGGGGTGAACAAGGCCACGTGGAGCTCACAGTTAGGCTTCTGTCAGTGTCACCCGATGGCCATCTGCCAACCTGCCTCCTTCTCTGAGCGGCCCCGGAGCCCCAACTGGGGCCGGGTCCTATTCTGGGCACCAGGGCACAGCCCTTGACAATCCAGGGGGCGGGCATTGGCATTATGCCCATTGTACAGACCATGCCGAGACCCAGGGTGTGCAGAGGGAGTCCCACAGGACTGGATACAAATTCTGAGGACCTGCTGGGCACTCGGAGCAGCCCCCACCTGTGTCTCATTTTCTGTAACTTGGGGTAATGACGCCCACTATGGAGGGCGTCGTGAGGACCCACTGAAATAGCACGTGAGGCACCTAGCATGACATCTGGCTCCCACGAGGCGCGTAACTGACCACCTGGATAGGACTGCCGCGGTGAAGGGACGGGGCTCGTCAGGGCACAGGCGGTGAGGGACCCACCAGCAGGGTGGAGGCATTCTGCAGGCAGGCCCCAGGCTCTCCCTTCCCACTCCAGGTTGCCTGGGGCTCCAGGGAAGCCTGGCCCACGTGGGGAGGGCAGGGGAGGAGGGGAGGTAAGTACTCAGGACACTCAGGAAGAACTCTCTGGCCTCCTACCACCCATCACACCCGGGGAGGGGGGGGGGTGAGCCATGAGCTGTCACATCAGGTCGTGTTTCTCAGGCTTCTGCCCCCAGGCTGCTGCTGAGGCCCCTGGGGAAGGAGTGTGCTTAGGAACAGAAAGGAGGGGCCCTGGGAGATTCGGTCCTGTGCCCCCATTTCCGGCCCTCCACCCACACCCCGCCTAAACTCTGGGCCCCTCTCTGGCAACCCCCCCCCAACCTTACCACAAAACCCAAACCCATCACCCCCTCCCTGAGCTCCACCCAGCCCAGGCAGAACCCAGCACCCGTCTCCTGAAGTCCCGGGTCCCCTGAGCCCCTCAACAGTCAGCACCACCACCCATCTTACTCCAAAGGGTTTATTGAGACAAGTTTCACATCCAAGTCCAGGGCAGAGGGGATGGGGCTTATAAACAGGAACCTTGAAGGGGGCCCGAGGGCTCAGGGTGGAACCCAAAAAAAGAGTGAAATAAATAGAGGAAGAGAGCGGAGGGCTGGGAGAGGAGACACAGACTATCACACAGTGATAACGACAGGGGAGGGGGGGCGGGGCTCCTTTAAAATCCCATTTATTTATACAGATATACAGGGAGCTGTGGGGGACCCGGGGGACCCCCTTCCAGCCTCCAGGCCCCAGGGAGGGGTGAGAGACGGCTCTCTCTCCCCATGGGTGACCCTGTGGGGGCTGGGGGGCTGCCCTTGGAGGAGTGCTGTGGGAGGGGGAGAGGGCTGGGTGCCTCCCCCAGGGCATCACCTGGCCCCAGGTAAGGTTACTGGCCCTGGGGGCGCTGGGTAGTGTCCAGAAAGCTGTGCTGGGAGAACTGGAGGAGAGGGTGGTGGACCCGAGCGTGCTGCTAGGGCGGCCCAGGCTGGGCGCTCCCCCACCGAGGACGGCCCAGGGTCCAGCTGGCGCCATGGCTTCCTGGGGTTACCCAGGGCAGGGGCGCCTGGGGTTCCTCCTGGCACAGCTACCTCCCAGGTCTGGGTAGGGGGAGGCGTGATCGGGGTTCAAAGAGAGAACCTGGCACCTTCTGGCGTCTTGGAAAAGCTGATCCCCAAGGACACCCGGCCCTGGCTGTGCTGCACCCAACAAGGCAGCTCAGATACCAGGACTGGGTGTCAGGGCGCAGAGAGGACATTCCCCGAGGCCGTCCCGGAGGGGGAGTCCTGAAGGAGGAGACTCCCCAGGCTGGATGCCTGGGGAAGGGGAGGCTGTGGGGGACGGCCTCCCGGGGAAAGGGCCTCCCGGGGAAAGGGCCGTTAGCACCACCAGGTTCCGAGGCAGGTGGGAGGAGGCCGGGCCTCCGGGCCTCCAGACCGAGGCTGGGCGTCGCCTGAGGGAGACAGAAGGGAAGGGAGACTGGACCCTCATGACCCCGCGGGTACAGGAGGTCAGGCCTCAGCCTCCTCTCTTGAGGCCCAGGGGCTACCTGGATGATTCGCACAAGGGGCCTGGCTACCATCTTGGGAACGTGGCAGCCTCCTCAAGTGCCAGGCAAAGGGATGCGTCTGAGGTCCCGTTTAGGGGTGAGGACGCAGAGGGTTTCTAGAAGCCGTCCCGGACCAAGCCTTGCTCCTGCCCAGCCCCTCACCTCAGTCCCGCCTGCCCGGCCCCAGTCCCCAGCCGGCGTGGCGGCCGGGGGGGGGCCAGGTGGGCATCATACGAAGACCTTGGCCAGGGCGTCGGCGCCCGCGCTGGCAATGAGGGCCTTGCTGGGGTGGCACGCGACCGCGTGGATGGCCTCCTCGTGCTTCTTGCGGTGGGCCGTGATCTCCTGCACGCACGTCTTGTTGTCCAGGCTCCACAGGCGAAGGGAGCAGTCGTGGCCTGCGCGGGTGAGGGGGCGGAAAGCGCTGGCCCCTGTGGTGCCCCGGTTCCCCTGAACCTCCCCCCGAAGCAGCCTGGCCTCAACAACAGGGGCCCCCCATCCTCTCGGCCCCCAGCTCTACCGGCCACCTCCTGACACCAAGCCCGAAGGAGTACGCTTTCAGCCCAGCCTCCTTCCATCCAGCGACCAAGTATTCACCGGGCACTGGGACCTGGGGGCCCAGCGGACAGGCTGGGCAGACCCCCCACCCCAGTTCTGTCGACGTTCGGACCCGGCACCTGGTAAATGAGAAAGGAGGAGAGGCGTACCAGGCGGACAGCAGCCCTGAGTACAAGCCGGTCGGCGCGATGCCAGAGCGGCCGGGGGAGGAGCAGGAGGCACAGAAGGGTTGGCAGGGGAAGGTTCTGAGGACCCGCAGGGGCGGGTATGGCTGCAGCAGCTGGAGCAGGAGCATGGAGAGGAGGAGGGCAGGGAGTGGAGGGGGCGGGGGCGGACAGGGCTGGGCCTTGGGGCAAGAGCCACCTACAGAGATGTTCTGACTTCTGCGTCAGAAAGACTAGGCTGGCTGTGGCACAGACCCGCTCGATTTGTCGCTTATAAAGGGAGGACCTGGGCCCTGTCCCAAATCCTCTCTGCCCTGGGCCTGACCTTCCTGACTGCCCCTCTACCACCATCTGTAGGGCCAGCGGCTACCATCATGGGGCAAAGACCAAGCCGCGGGGGGAGCAGGCCCAGCCACGGGCTCTACTGTCCCCTCTGGGTGCCGGCTCGCGACATCCCACACACTTGCCAGGGGGAGCAGCGGCGCCCTGATGGCCCGGGCACACCCTTCCCTGCCCTTCCCCTCTGCGCAGGCCGCACCCCTCCTTTCTAGGCAAGGCCCCACGGAGGCTGGGCCCCAGTGCCCTTATCCACAGAGCACGTGGCACCTACTACCAATCCCGTGGGGACTGAGAACCAGACCCGCCCAGACTCTGTTCCCGCAGCCGGCCCACCCGGCCGTGCCCAAAGCGCGGAACTCCGGGAGCCCGTGTCTGGTCTGCGCGGTGGGCATAACGTGCCCACCGAGGGCGTGTTTGGGTGAGACGGGAAGATGTGCGCAAGAGCGTTCACTGGGCTGCGCGTGCGCCGTGCCTGCCCCCTGCCGCCGGGGCCCTGGACACCCCCGCCTCTCCTCCTCTTGGCCGCCCACACAGCCTTGCCCCTCAGGAGCCAGGACGGTCCCCACTTACTTCCCGACATCAGGAACACGCCGTTGGGGTCCACGGCTAGGCAGGTGACCGCGTCCAGGTGGGCGACCATGGAGTGCACAGACTTCCCTGGAGGACAGATGGGGGGATGGTGGGTCGCTCTCCCTGGGCGGGAGGTGAAGGGCCCGAGGGGACACCGCGAGCGAGTGCGCTTGAGCGGGCGCCGGGAAGGCCGGGCCTCACCTGTCCGGCTGTCCAGGAAGCGGATGCCCCTGTCGTCGTGGGCGGTGATGGTGAGGGGCTGGTGCGGGTGGCTCACCACCTGGTTGATCTGCGTCGGGCCTGGACGGAGAGGGGAGGGGAGGGTGTCGGGGGAGCAGGCAGACCCGGACACAGGCCAGAGGAAGAGAAGCACGTGCCGCAGCCCTGCCCTCTGCCCGCGGTCCTGGGCTCCCCGCACGGGCCATGTATCGTGCCAGCAGGCTTGACGGGCGAGTCCCTCATGATCTCTGTCCCCTGAGCCCTCCCGAGAGCCCCACTCGCGCCACGAGGGCGGCTGCTGGGACCTTATCTCCTTCCTACCCAGAGCCCCCGAGAGGGCAGGGAGCCGTCTTCCGCTGACCAGACACCGGCTTGGCGGGGCCACGGGAGGCACTCAGAGACCGGCCGCTGGCCCCGGGCCCCCCCCTTACCGCTGCTGCCCCGGGATTCCAGCGAGAGGAGGGCACTGCCAGCCTCTAGGTCGTACAAGACGGTGTCGCCAGAGCGGAAGGAGGCCACGATGTGGGCGGGCTCGGTGCTGGTGAAGGCCACTGAGGTGGGGATCCCGTGATCTGAGGGCAGAGGGCGGGAGGGCTGCCTCACAGACCCGGCCCTGCCCTGGGGTCCTCGTGGGGAGTCACGTTCCTGTGACGTGTTCACACCCCCCCCCCAGCCCCGCTCCCCCCACTCACCGCTGGCCGTGAGGAAGGTACAGAGGCAGGTGGGGCTGCTGCTGCTCGGGTCCCAGATGCGAATGGTGCCGTCGGCAGAGCAGGACGCCAGGCGCTGGGAGGCGGGACTGAAGGCCAGGCCCCACACGGCGTCCGCGTGGCCCTCTAGCACGTGGCTCAGCACGCTCGGGTCTGGGGCCCCCGAAGGGAGGGAACAAGCTGGTCAGGGCCACCAGCCCCCGACGGCTGCAGGACACCGACCCTGCTGAGAGCGGGGCTGCCTGGAGCCGCCCGTTCACCCAGCTTCTTCCCAGGCTCCTCCTGCCCTCGGAGCTGTGGCTGCTCACGCGGTCACCCCCTGCCCTGCTGGGAAGGTTTCAGGGCCCAGAACGGAAGCTCCAGGGGGAGGGGGGTGCCCCGCTTTTCACCGCCATCCCCGCAGGGCGCCCTGTAGTGCCGGGCACCGAATAAGCGCTCCGGACACAACTTTTAGGACTCGGTGAAGCGGGGAAGGAACAATGGTAGTTCTGTGGCCCTGAGGCCCCTTGCAGCTGGGGACCTATGGGTCACCCCCACCCTCCACCTGCCTGTCCCGCCCTCGGGGCACAAGCCCTGGCCACTCTCTCCAAAGCCCTCTGGTCCCTCCCACCTCCACCTCCCCCATCACTCAAGTTCACACAGCGTGCTCAGGTCAGGCCCAGCCGACCCCTGATATGTGGCAGCTCGCGGGGCCCAGAGCACAGACTACCTGAGACTGACCCTTGACCTTTCACAGGGTGGGACCCTTCCTGGGAAGACACAGGCCTCTAAACTCTGCCATGAGAAGACGCGGCAGAGCCACGCGTGTGATCAAGAAAGTTCTCAGAAGACGCGTCAGAAGGTGGGGGCCGTACGACACACAGAACTAAGCACGATCACTTTTCCACTGAACCCGTAAAGGGGCACCAAGGACCGAGCACAGACCTCCTATGACCTGGCCCAACTAACTCATGCCTGTCACCTGCCCCCCTCCTCAGCGACTGCCTGCGCTCAGCCAAGAGGACACAGCAGGGCCCCGGCGTCGCGTGGACCTCGAGCCCGCTCACCCGCCAGCTCCTGGACGAAGCAGCACCCCCGCCGCCGCTCTCCTGCCTGCTCAGCCCACCCCACCGGGCAGAGGTGCAACACACGGCTCTGGGCTCACCCAGGCTGGGGGCGCACAGAGCTCCCCCCCACCGCCCCTGCACTGCTAGGCAATGAAGAGGCTCCAGCGGACCCGGGGGGTGGGGGCCAGACGAGGGAGATGGCCTCACCGTAGCCATCATAGGGGTCCACGTTGAGGTCCGGAATCTTCCAGCTGTGGATGCGGGCATCGGCCCCGCCGCTGTAGCAGTACTCGCTGTTGCTGCCCACAGCTACCGCCAACACGGGGCCCCTGGAAGGTGCAAAAGCGGCAAAGCAGAAATGAAAACCTCAGTCTCGGCCCCCCTCCAGCCCCCTCCAGGGGATCCTGAAGTTCTCTGCTAGATTTTTCAAGGTTGGCCAATCGGAATCTGGCATCTGGGGCTCCAGCTGTGCCCCCCAGACCTGCCTTCCCCTGGCTCCCCACACTCATCTCCTCCTCTTGGCTGCGCCAAGACCCAGCTGCGGTAGCACTATCTGCAGAGCACCGAGAGCCGGGGTGCGGGGGTGCGGGCAGAGGGCCGGACCGCCTCTGGGGGTGCTGGCCTACCTGTGAGCCCGGAAGGCGTGGATAGGCTCCACATCGAGCGCGGCATTCCTGAGGGGAGGCAGAGGGGCTGGCTGTCACCCTGAGCCCAGACGCCCCCTGCCCTCCCCCCGCCCCAGCCCGGGGCAGCCTCACTTTTTGGCCGTGACGGCTTTCTGCAGGTTCCAGAGCTTGAGCGTGCCGTCCTCGGAGGCGGTGAGCAAGGCGGACTGGCTGTGGTGGAAAGCCAGGGAGCGCACGCCGTCGTAGTGGGAGCGCAGGGTGAATTTGGGGTTCCAGGTCTTCTTAAAGGCGTCTTTGCTGTCCGAGAGCTGGGGTAGGGGGAGCTGCCTCAGCGTCCCCTTGATCCGGCAGACGAGGCCGGCCAGCCAGACCCACACGGAGCACCACCGCCGCCAGCCCTTAGCCCCATGCACCCTGCCCTCGCTTCCCACCCTCAGGGAGCCCTGTGGTGTGTGGGGACCCGGTGCACTCTGGGCAGCAGTCAGCTCAGAGGGGGCCTGGGGAAAGCAGTCAGGTCAGTGCCCCCGACAGTGCCAGGACCGTGAACTCTGAGCGGCTAGGGATCGCAAATGCACTGGGAAGGGTACCCGAGAGCCTGCCGCCTCCGCGGGCGTCAGTGAGGCTTTCCTGAGGTGTCAAGGGAGTAAGACTCAACCAGATCGGGCGAGGGGACTGAGGGAGGACCCTGCGTGTGCAAAGTCCCTGAGGCCGTAGGAGCAGCTCTAGAGCCCGAAGGGTGGCCTGGGTTGTAGAGAGCAAGGGAGAGTGTGGCAGGAGCCAGGGCCGGAGCCGCTTCTAAGGACCCGTATCTCCTCCTAAGTGACCGGGGAGCCGTGGAAGGGTTTAGAGCGGAATGATACGGATGGGGGAAGATACGAGTGGCTGCAGAGAGGCTAAGGGGCCCAGAGAGAAGTCTCTCGGGGAAAGAGGGGGCCCGGAGACCACATGCTGGGGAGTGGACAGGGACAGGTGTGCGCAGAAGGGAGAGCCCGGGTGCAGAACCCACAGGTTGCTGGGGGAGTCCCAGAGACCCTGCACACGCCCTAGCAGATGGTGGTGTCCCTCTCCGAGCAGGGGACCCAGGGGCAGCCTCTCAGGAAGGAGGAAGAGCAGACTGTCACACAAGACTCCATGTCCTGCCCCAACACAGGCCGCACACGTGACGAAGCCCTCTGCCTGGGCTCTATCCCCAAAGGTCCCCACCAGTGCTGGCACCGCTGCCCTTGCTCTTGAGGGCCAGAGGCTCTGCCGCTGTGCAGCTACCTCCCCACAGGCACACGTGCCTGCACGAAGCCTCTGCTCTGCACCCTGCCCCCCGGTATCCCACAGCAGCATCCTCAACCGTGCTGGGGAACCCGCTGCTCGAGACCCTGCTGAAAGCCATGGTGAACGTCCCCGGGGGGAAAGGCACATGCACTGGATGCAGAGACCGCGTGGCCAGAGGCTCATCTGTGGATCTGGGGCTCCGAACACGGGCCCTAAGGCCTCCTCTCACCCCGGCCCGCCTGCCCACCAGACCCCTCTTGCGCCCGGCTTTCTGGTTTCTGGCTGTGAAAGTCGGCTCGATTCCCATCTCCTGCACAAGCCAATTTCCCCGCGCCGTGCCAATCCAGGCCCCCTCCCCCCGCCGGTGCCATCCTGCCCGGCTCCCAGCCCACGGGGGCGCTGGATGTAAGGTGCGCCTAGGCCAGGGGTGGGAGGGAGTGTCGCCTGCAGTCTTCCAGACCCCACATCTCGGTGACCCTGTCAAGCCCCACGCCGAGTGCGCGTCCACACCTATCGGTAAGACAGGGTGAGCTGCTGAACGACCTCACAGCATCCTCCCGCTAAGGGGCCGAGTGCAGGCTGAGCACCCAGTCAGAACCCAGCAAGAGCGGGCATGGTGCGGGACGCCCCCAGAACTTACATCACAGCTGAGGTCGTTGTCGTTGGTGACGGTGAGATCCGCCAAGTCCCCCAGGCTCACCTCCCCGCCCCCGATAGTGTCCATGATGAAAACGTCTGAGGAGAAGCCAAAGGAACCTGGTAGGGGGAGGGGAGGGGAAGGAGGGGGCGGAGAGGAGCAGGGAGAGAGAGAGAAAGACAGAGAGAGGCAGAGGGAGAGATAAGAAGTCAGAAAGAGACAGGGAGAGGACAAGATCAAGAATCACAGCTGGAAAGAAAGAGACAGGGAGAGACAGACAGACAGACAGGGCAGGACAGACAAAAAAGGAGGGAGACAGACAGACAGACAAACTTTTGGGACAGGGAGGCTGCAGACTAGAGGCCAGGCTCCGACCCTGAGGACACAGAAGCCCTGGGCTTAGCTCTGCAGCCCCCCCCCCCCCGCTGGCTATGGGCCCCAGGGGACTGGGCTGGGCGGGGGGCGGGGGGGCAGCTTACCTTCGTGTGGCCGGGGCTGGGGTGTGCCAGGCGGGGGACCCGTCACTTTAGGGGGCAGTCCATCCACATCCCGAAGGTCGGCCAAAATTCCCTGGAGTTTGACCCGCCGGCTTTCTGCAGGGACAGAGCACAGGGCTGGAGCCTGTGTTCCGCTGCGCCCCAGCCCCTGGGGGCCTCGCTCCCCTGCAGGGGGCGGCGGCCAGCAGCCTGACCTGCAGCGCTAGGGCTCAAGGCGGGGGCCACGCGGAGGCGGTACGCCGAGTCAGGATGCTCTGTGGTGCCAGCCTCGCGGGGAACTCAGTCCCCAGCAACCCCGTGTGACCAGCGAGGGCCCCGGGGCTCAGAGTCACCAAACAGGAGGAGGCGGCCCTGCCCTGTCTGCCTCTCCCCGCCAGGTCCTCGTCCTGTCCCCTCCCAGAGGCCCGCCGAGAACCAGACGCTCCAGGAAGAGCTGGGCCCGGCTGCACCCCCACAGGGATTTTCCAGGGCAAGGGTGAGGGCCCGGCCGCCGCCGTGCGGGACTCCTGCTCGCCTCGGCCACCCTCCTCTCAGGAAGCGGATCCGTCCGGCAGAGACCCTGGGCCAGGAAGCGGCTGCGGGCGGCCCTGCGTGCTCCTGCCTCGTCTGGGGCGGACGGCGGGGCCAGAAGGCCCTCGGCTTACCCAGCTCGCGGCGGGCCCCCTCTCCGGCGCACCGCCGAGGGTCTGGGGCGCCCTCCCCGTCCTCTCCTGAGCCCAGGAAGTCGAACTCATTGATGGCGTCCTCGGAGTCGTCCTCCTCGTCCTCGTCCTCCACTTCCGGCACCAGGGCCTTGGAGGGCAGCTGGGCACGGAGAAGAGCGGCCGGGTCGGGAGGCGCCTGCCCGCGGCCCACGCCACCGGCTCCCCGGGAGCCGACGTGCCCTGCCTGGAAGTGTCCCGCACCAGACACGGCTCCCCCGGCCTCCCCGGGTGCCCTTCCCCTGGGCCCGGAGGCCGCGGGGGACGCGCTGTGGCGGCAGTGCTCCCCCTGCCGGGAGCCTTCACAGGTGGCTCCTCGCTGGGCCCAGGGCCGTGCCAGCCCCACAGCTTGGGAGTCGCTTCCTCTTCCCTGCCACCCCACCTGGCCTCACCCGGGCAAGCCTGCCTGGGGGGCAGGGGAGTCAGACAGCACCGCCTGCTGCAGGGCACAGGGGAGAGATGTGTGTGCCTATGTGTGTAAGCGAGTGTGCGGAGATGCACGATTAAAGCGGGACACGGGGGTGGCGGCGACAGACACTCATCAGGCAGGCTGCGCCAGCCTCTGTGCGTCCTCCAGCGCGCCAAGCAAGCTTCACCCGTGGAGCTTCACGACCTCGTGGAGAGTCAGCATTACTGCACTGATTCCCATACTACAGAGGAGGAAACTGAGGCTGAGCAGAGAAGCCGCTCATCCCGAGTCCCTGGTGCAAGCCGTTCCTGATACGTTAAGGCGGCTCTGAACCACGGGGATTACCGAGGGCTCGCCAAGCCCTTAGAACTTTCCGGGGGGGCTGAAGCTCTGTGTTCTTGGACAACCAGTGCGCGCTGCTTTTGGAACAAGAGAGCCCAGCACTGTCTCCACCCCCCACAGCGAGAGAAGCAGGACGCCGGGCAGGTGAGCACGGGCACTCCTCATGGCCACTCTTCCACAGGGTCAGAACCAAACCCCCATCCGCAAGCTTGGACCCAACCCCCTGCGCACGCGCCTGCATCTCCCCACACGGCCCAGGCTTCCACAAGGACATCTTGCACCCGACCTTCTGCCCCCTCGCGGTCCTGCGTCACTATGTCGTACACAAAGTGCCATCCAGGGACTGTGTGCTCACAACCCTAGTGGCTGCATAAAACAGCTTAAGGGAGTTCCAGGACTTTCTACAACAGTCTGGACCTCCGACTTCTGCTTTAAGTGCCGGTGTAAGAGCACACCCCACCCCAGCGCTGGGGCTCTGACAGACAGCGGCCTCAAACACCACCTCTTCTGGGTAATCTTCTCCCTCCTCAGTGTCCCCGGACTGGACCAAGTCCCGGGCACCCACGAGGCCAGCCGCAGTTGGACCGCAGGCTCCTCGACGCTGTGGCTGACCCCCACCCCAACCCCCCCAGGACTGCGGGCTCTGAATCTGTGGAGTCCTAACCGCTCGGGCATCCGTAAGGGGCCGGCCGCTGGCCTGTGGGGGAGAGCCACGGGGACAGGACCTGGCGACCCCCTCCCCGTCCCCTCTAGAAGACCTAGGCTGGAGGGCTGGCCAGCGGGCCCAGAGAGGCCCCGGTGGGGCCAGGGCTCGGCAGGCGCATGCGAGCATCAACAGGCGCTCCCGAGGGCCCACGACAGAGGTGTCCCGCGTGGTCCTGTTCTGCCCGCTGTGCCCAGCACCGCACATTCTGCCAGCACCGCGACCTGGGCGTGGCCGGCCGCAGTGCAGCCAGGGGCTCCCTGGCCACGAACTCGTGTTAACAACCCAGAGCCGGGGACGGCGAGCCCCTGAAACCGCAGCCGAGACAAAGAGAATCACGTGCCCGAAGGCACAGAGCCAGGCCAGCGGCCACCCCGGGAGTCTTGGAGGGCTTTGGGAGCACGGCCTGGTCACCGAAGGTCTGCTGGGTGCGAGAGCGGGCCTGGGGACCCCCGTAAGACGAGCCACCCCCTCAGGGCCCGCGGGGCAAGCGTGGCGACAGACACAAAGGCCTGAGGGAGTGTGACGAGTCAGCGATGAGCTCCGCTGGGGGGAGCGGAGAGGAGCGGGCAGGTCTCCCAGAGGAGGGAGAGGTAAGAGGTACAGGAGCGCGAGTCCCAACCGGGGGCAGGAGGGACCCCGAGCAGATCCGGGTGCTCCTGTCACCCGGCGCCAGCGTCCTGGCTCCGTGGTGCCCGGAGCGCCTGCGCCGGGCGGGACCCCGTGCTGAGCCACGCCGGCGACCCTGCAGAGGGGGCCGTGGCAAGGACGGACGTGGTCCCACACAGGCGTGGGGACACCAGCAGGGAGGACCCAGGGCGGTCGGGGTCCAGAGGGCTGCGACCCGGCAGGGGAGAGGGCGGGGGAGGTGGCCTGGAAGAGGACCGCTGAGGGGAGGCTGAAGGAGGCCCGGAGGGGCTCTGCCGGGAAGGCCGCACACAGGCCCCTTCGCGGGCGCGCGGCCCCCTGCGCAGGCCTGCTCACAAGCCCGCCGCCGGCTGCCGGCTCCGCACGCCAGGGACCGGGCCTCTGTCCCCCCGTCGCTGCTGCTGGAGCAGAGCTGGGCCCGTGAGGCCCAAAGCGAGGCCTGCTCACCGGACAGGTGAGCCCGCACCGTGCCTGGGGACAGTGCCGCGGAAATGGCGGGAACACGGTGGCTCTGGCAGTCGAGGAGCAGGGGTTAAAGGGGCCTCAGGCCATTATTTCGAAGCCAAGCTGAGATGTGGACTCTGCCCTGTGGCCAGTGCCCGCGCCGAGGTCTTGACACAGGGCAGACCTGACACTCGGAACTGCCAAGTCCCCGACAGGAGCCCCAACCTGGCCCCAGGCTGACCCCAGCCGCCACCCGTGCCAGGTGCTGGGGAGAGAAGAGCGAGAGGACGCACGCAGCCCCTGCCTGGTGGGGCTCACAACCTACTGAGGGAGAAGACGGAGAGCCCCTGGTGTGGGTGATGGAGGTCGGGCCCAAGGGACAGAGCACGGGGACAGGGCAGCGTGTGGCGGGCTGGTCTGGAGAGTTCAGGCCCCTCGGGACCATGTGAGCAGCCGGATGGGAGGAAACGCGCGCGGGGACGAGGCAGCCCTGACGAGTTCCCGAGGCAGGGGCTGGGCGGGAGAGCCGGCCCCAAGAGCACCCGGGGGGGCACCGGTACCCAAAGCAGGGGACCCTCTTGGGGGCGGCGAGCGCACCTTCACCCGCTGTTTCTTGTGCTGCACGCTGTCCAGCTCGTCGTCGTCATCACTGTCCTCGTCCTCACAGCTCTGCAGGAAGGGGATCTGCTCCAGCACCGAGCCGCTCAGGCGCTCTTTGCCGTCTTTGCCCGCCGCGTTCCTGCCCGTGATGGGGGGAGGGGAGCAGAGGGGACGTCAGTCCCATCAGGCGACAAAACTCGGGAGGTGGCCACAGCCCGGCCCGCGATCCCCGCCTCTGCCCAGGGACACCTCCACGTGCTGGGGCAGGAGGGCGGCCCACGTTCCCACGGCCCCGGGCAAACCCGCAGGTGCCAAACCCACAGGCGCGGGGCGCCGGGCAGGGAGAGGCAGACACGCCTGGCGGGAAGAGGAACCGGTCACTCTGCAAATGCCCAGCTCCCTACCGGCAGCCCAGCCGTCAGCGGGCCTGCACCCTCCCGAATGACAGATGGCCTCCCATTTCCACTCCTGGCCAACCGTCTAACGCCTCCGACCGGATAACAGGGTTTAACAAAGGAGGTATTTGCCCAAACCGGACTCCAAGGGAGAAAACCGGGTGGGATTCAAAGTTCAGATAAATGCAAACATCCTCCTTCCTGGCCACAGGGCCGACGCTCTGGAGAGTTCCTCCCAACTGCCCAGGTGTATGGACACCGCCCGGAGGACAGAGCTTTCCTCCAGGCTGCCAAACCCGGCACCCGCGGCCTCTCGGCAGAGCTGCTCTGTGCCCAGCAGCCGGGCTCCGCTCCGGGGTTTCCTCCCGCCACCCTGCTGCACCGTCCAGCCTCCCGGGCTGCGGCCTCTAGCGTGCCAACCCCGCCCGCACACTGGTGAGCAAGAGGGGGGTTCGGAGCCCAGCCCTCCCCCCAGCTCCAGGCTGGCCACTCGTCACCTGTACTGGGGCCGCCAACGGCGGACTCCGCCCACCCTCAACAGCTCCCTCGATGTTCCTTCCGCTCGCTCCGCTCGCCGTCTCCCCTGCCGCAGTCAAGGCTGCTTGGACCAAACCCTGAAGCCACCTCCCAGCTTCCCTCCTCTCCCTGACAGCCACTCCTTTAAAAAGAAAACCCACAGGCAGGCGGGCCACTTGGCGCCCCCTCCGCGGCTCGGGCCCTCCCCCTCGCCAGGATGACGCAGGAGGCTCCCTTCCTTCTGCAAGGCGACCAGCACACCGGATCGCGTCACACCCCCGCTTGAAAGCACGGCCTTCCCACAAGCTGTAGAGAGGAATCCAAGCTCCCTACCGTGGCCGGTGCAGCCCACTTCATCTGACTCCCGAGATTTCAACCTCACCGCAGACCACAGCCCCCCACGTGCTCGCTCGCTGCAGCCACTGCCGCCCGGCCGTGGTTCCTCCACGGGCCACGCCTCGGGCCCCTGACACAATCGCTGTGCCCTCTCCCTCTGGCCTGTGCACGACTCACTAAGCCTCCTCCCACGGGTCTCTGCCCAGATGTGGCCTGGTGAAGAGGCCCCGCCGGCCCATTCAGAGCAGGGCCAGCCCCGACCTCTCTTCCTCCTCGCCCTTCTGCCCGGCACGGAGCGCCAGCAAATGTCAAGTCACTGATGCTGATGACCTACCAGCGGCAAGACGATGGACAAGTAAGAGCTCCCCTGGGCGGCGGCCGTGCGTTTCGCTCCCCACAGTGGGGAGAGAGGGGTACTGGGTGGCCGCCCAGCCTCTGCCTTCAGCAGGTGCTCTGTGTGCTGAGCACCTTAAGGCCGGAGCCTCAGGAGAGGCACCGGGCGGGACGTGAGCTGTGGCACAAGGCGGTACGAACACGACGGCACACGGGAGAGCGCGCAGGGGGCCCGGAGAGGATCCAGCGGACCCACGGTGAAGGCAGCACAGGTGCTGGAACGAATGGAGCCACGATACTCTCCAGGAGGGAAGCGGCCACCAGAGCACCGGGCAGCACTGTCGACTTGTCAGACATCGGAGGAGAGGACACGGACGGAGGGACCTGTCCGGTCTCACCAAGGGCTCACCTTTTGATCTGCTCTTCGATCTGCTTCACCAGCAGCGACTTGCCGCCGCCGAGCGTCCCGGGGCCTGGTGGGGCCCTAGAGCCACCTTCACTGGGCTCCACGGCCCCGTTGAGCTCCAACGAGCGGCCTAGCAGGGAGCGCACGCGTTTGGACCGCATATCCAGGATGGTGTCCGTGTAGCCCACCTCTTCCAGGTACCTGCAGGGAGACAGCGCCACGCAGGTCAGGCGTCTCCGGGCTTTGTGTACAGTGGTGGCTGCTGCCAACTGGGATGGGGTTCAGCCTTTGTGGAGAAGTGACCGAAGACTATGCTGCAGGGGCGCCTGGGGGCGCATTTGGTTAAGTGTCCGACCTGGGCTCGGGTCATGATCTCACAGTTCAGGTGTTTGGGCCCCACACGGGGCTCTGTGCTGACAGCTCAGAGCCTGGAACCTGCCTCGGCTTCTGTGTCTCCCCCACTCTCTGCCCCTCCCCTGCTCATGCTCCGTCTCTCAAACATAAATAAACGTTAAAACAATAACAGACTACGGGGGTGCCTGGGTGGCTTAGTTGGTTAAGCGTCCAACTTTCGCTTAGGTCATGATCTCGCGGTTTGTGGGTTTGAGCCCCGCGTCGGGCTCTGTGCTGACTGCCAGCTCAGAGCCTGGAGCCTGTTTCAGTCTGTGACTCCCTCTCTCTCTTACCCACCCCTGGCTCACGCTCTCTCTCTCTCCTAGAAATAAATAAAACATTTAAAAAAATAATAATAATACACTACACACCAGTATTTCTTTTAATAAAAATTTTTTTTATGTTTATTTACTTCTGAGAGAAGCAAAGTGTAAGTAGACTCCTCTACTCACAGAGAGGGGGACACAGAATCTGAAACAGGCTCCAGGCTCTGAGCTGGCTGTCAGCACAGAGCCTGATGCGGAGCTCAAACTCACAAACCGTGAGATCATGACCTGAGCCAAAGTCGGACGCTTAACCGACTGAGCCCCCAGGTGACCCCACACACCAGTATTTCAGATTTTCTTTTTTTTAAGTTTATGTAGTTACTTTGAGAGAGAGAAAAAGAGAGTGAGACAGAGCGCACACACAAGCAGGGAAGGGGCAGAGAGGGAGAGACAGAATCCCAAGCAGGCTCCATGCTATCAGTGCAGAACCCGAAGTGGGGCTTGAACTCATAAACCGTGAGATCATGACCTGAGCCGAGATCAAGTGTCAGGTGCCCAACAGACTGTGCCACCCAGGCGTCCCAGCACACCAGTATTTTAAATAAGCATTGCCCTGACCCCGCCGTTTGACTTTCAAGTCTATTTCCAGGGGAAGCCTTTATAAACAGGCACAGTGCAGCCACACACGCTCTCAGGGATGTCGTACAGAAGAGCCAAAATCTGCAGAGGACTGTGGCCACAAATGACTGATGGGGATACTAGGCAAAAAATAAAGGAGGCAGAGTACCAAGACAGCCACAATACACAGTTTCACAAAACATAAGTTACATGATCCATATAATTCCTTAAAAAAAAAAAAAAAAGTGTTGAGGCACCTGGGTGGCTTGGTCAATAAGAGTCTGACTTCGACTCAGGTTCTGATCTCACAGTTCATGAGATCAAGCCCCTCGTCGGGCTCTGCACTGATTCGTCGGGCTCTGCACTGATAGTGTGGAGCCCACTTGGGATTCTCTGTCTCCCTCTCTCTCTGCCCCTCCCCTGCTCGAACTCTCTCCCTCTCTCAAAATAAATCAACACACACAAAAAAAGTGTTACCGTTAGCAAAACTGTAAGACCACATGCAAGCGCATATTTGAACTATGCCCCCCATGAGGCCTGGAAAAACACCCACTAAACTCAGCAGCAGCTACTTTCAACCTTCAGAGTAAAGGATTCGAGACGTGGGAGAAACCTTTACAACTTGCTCTACTCACTTCTACAAATTAGGGTTCATTACTTCTGCAATGTAAAAAAAGTGGAAGCCAGCTGGGACTGGTCGAAAAGTTACAAACAGGGGCGCCTGGGTGGCTTAGTCGGTTAAGCGTCCGACTTTCGCTTAGGTCATGATCTCGCGGTTCGTGGGTTCGAGCCCCGCGTCGGGCTCTGTGCTGACTGCCGGCTCAGAGCCTGGAGCCTGTTTCAGTCTGTGACTCCCTCTCTCTCTGACCCTCCCCTGCTCACGCTCTCTCTCTCTTTCTTTTTCTTTCTCCTAGAAATAAATAAAACATTTAAAAAAAAAAGAAAGAAAGAAAAGTCACAAACAGCAGGTAAAATCAATTGTGGGGATCTGTGGCTTTAAAAGATAGGAGACCAGAGTCCCCTGCTGGTCCTCTGGGGGCTCCTCGGGAAGCCTGTCACCTTCACCATGACCTTGTCCCTTGGGGACTCCCCCAGCCTGCCCCGCCCACACCTGCCTTCACCTGGTGTGTCCTCCCCAGAGCCTGGCTGTGTCTGAGGCTCCCTCCGCCGCAGGGAGAGGCAGGGGAGCACAGGGGCGGAGGAGTGGGCCTCTAGAGGTGGACTGCCCGAGATCTCCTCTCAGACCCTCCACCCGCCAGTGCTGTCACCTCAGGCAAACGCACGCCCTCCCTGCGGTTCTGCTGTGGGGGAGCCCAGGGCCTTCCTGCACACGACGCCTGCGGGGCATCGACGCGGCACGACGCTCAGCACAGGGCCAGGCACGTGACAGGCACTCGTCAGGTGCTGCGTGTCACAACCATTTTGCTGTGACCGCCTGCACACCCTGTAAGCTAGCAACCCACGTCCCGATGTTTAGCTGAAGGAAATCGGGGATGCGGGGTGCCTGAGTGGCTCAGTCGGGTAAGGATCCGACTCTTGGTTTTGGCTCAGGGCCTGATGTCACAGCTCATGAGTGCAGGCCCCCCATCGGGTTCTGCACTGACAGATTGGGATCCTCTCTCCCCTACACTCTCTCTGCCCCTCCCTTGCTCTCTTTCTTTCTCTCTCTCAAAATAAAGAAACCTAAAAAAAAAACCACTTCTTCAAAAAATAAAAATAAATACAGAAAACCACAAGTCTCTTTAACAACGAAAAACAATTTAATGTTACCCCCTTTTCTTTTAAAGCCGGGGCACCTGGGGTCACCTCTCAAGAGCAAGGGTCCCGCGTGGCTGCCTCCTGCAGGCAAGGCTCCACCCGAGGCGTGACAGGCCAGGAAGGACCCTGATGGCTCTGTCCCCCTACCCGGCGGGGACAGGAAGGACCGTGGACTCTTCCAGCTCATCTCTGGAGCCAAGCGCGTCGCTCTGGCCGCCCCAGCCCTCACCCTGCCCTGCACACTCACTGTCGGAGAAGCTGTCGCCCCTCCTTCCACACCAGCGGGCTGTTCTCCAGGGTGACTGACTCCACGGGGCCATTGGAGACTGCAGAGCGGAGACAAAGGAGGCAGGCTGCGTTAGGGTGCCGCCGGGGACCCGTCACCTCCGCCACCTGCCTCGCCCTCAAGCCCTCGTGGGTCACCATCGGGTCACTGTCACAGGTCCCGCTGAGCCCCTACCTGACAGCGTCTGAAACCTACCCTCTCGCCTCCAACACCCTCTACTCTCATTTTCTGCGCAGGAAGCCGACCCCGTCCCGAGAGCGTATACAGAGCAGACCCCGGGCTCCGCTGTTGCCCAGCTGTGTGCCCCCGAACAGCTGCTTTACGTCCCCGAGCCTCAGTTTCCTCTTCCGAGAAAATTAGTTAATAACATCTGCAGCTACCTCTCGGGATCGCTGTGAGGGTTAAATCAGGCCGTCTGTTTATTCTATTAACTATTTGTTGGGCATCTGCCAGGCTCCTGGCCGGCGCCTGGGCCACCCTGGGGACAAAGCCCTCGCCCCGTGGAGCTCCTGTCCTGTCCTGGCAGGAGGGGTTTGGTATAAGCAACGCCGCTGGTGGGTCACCCAGCCTGTCGCCTCTGCCGCCCCGCCACTTGCTCCAGTCCCACCCGATGGCTCCGTCCCCTAGCACGTCCCCCTCCACATTCTCATGCTTCTGTACACACCTCCCCCGACCTGGCACCTGTTGGTGACAAGAGCCCTGGTCCAGGAGCTTAGAGCATCAGGGACACTGTCTTCCGTTTACAGAGGAACGGCAGGCAGGACAGGCTTCCTCACCACTATCTCCCCTCCCCGCCATCCCTGCAGGGCAGCCCACGAAGAGGGGTGCGGAGTGCGGTTCAAGCCTCCCCAGCACCCCCCCCCCCACCCACTCGGCCAGGTCTGCTTCCTGTGGTGTGAAGTAAGGCGGAGGTGGCCCGGCTCCGCACAACTCCGTCACGTCAGGGTTGGGGGGGCACAGCGGGTACCTTGTTCTGCCAGTTCTGGCTTCTTCTCCCCCTGGTTCAGGTCGGTCCCGAACTTCAACTTATGATACTTGGCCCTGAAAGGGCAAAAGGATTACTGGATGACGGATGCAGAAGGGCGGACTGGGTTCACCTCGGCCATGCCGGGTCCCGGGGTCCCCCCAGCCAGCTCCCCCAGCGCGGAAGCGGAGTCGCCCTTGCCCCGGCCTCCAGGAAGCAGCCCTGGTGGAAGAGGCACCACACGGGACGTTGAGAGGGACCCACTCTTTGGAGTCAGACAGTGGGGAGCTACCCCAGCTCCAGGAGCCCCTGAAGAAATCCTCGGCCTCTGGAAGCCTCACTGACCCCGTCAGGCGGCTGGAGGGGGACTGAGGCGGTGAGTGATCAGCCGGGGCCGCCGCCACTACGCATGTTGTCACCAGCAGTTACCCCGGACTCCACCCTGTCCGTGCCCCCACGGGAGCCCCACAGCGCTGGGTGACGGGGAAGAGAATGCCCGACCCCAAGCCTCCCTCGGCCGGAAGGCGCCGCAGCCTCCTGAGCCTCCCGTCAGGCCCGACTTCAGAAGGCAGGGCCGCAGGGCGGTGGGCTCACCTCTCCTGCTTCAGCGCATATTCCAGCATCTTGATCCGGCGCACCAGGTCTGTCTTGAGGTTCTCCTGGCCCTTCCTTTCCCCCTGGAGGAAGGCCACCTGAGCCTGGGGAGACAGGAGCACACAGGAAGGCAGTAGGGCTCAGGCTCACTGATGCGCGGCCCTCGCTCACGCGGGGACAATCAGCGCCAGCGCCTCCCCCCACAATGACATGCAGCAGCCACTTCTTCAGGCGTGAAGACCCCGAGCCAGGGTCCAATGGAGCAGCGACAGGGCATGCTGGATCTGTTTCCAGAGTCCCCTGCCATTAGCCCACCGCAGAAGAGCTGAGGAGGAGTCTTAACCCTTGCAATTCGAAAGGGGCCAGCTCGGGCCTAGCACGGCCCCTGCCTCGTGGGGAGAAGTCGGATCGGGGATGAGGGTGGGGGAGGTAGGCATCGAGAGCCCTGGGCTCCTTCTCCCCGGCCCTAAGGCAGGTGCTGTCCCCTACGTTGCCGGTGGAGGTGGCGCCTCACTGTCTCCACCAGAGCATCTGTCTCTGGCAGGCGGAGGAAGCTACTTCTGGAGCTTCGGGACAAGAGTGGGTGGCTCAGCTCAGCTCCGGCTCCAATGCAAAAGCTTTACCACCCTCCCCCCCGCCCCCCCCCCACCGTGGGGACCACGCGTCCCACTGGAGTCTGCCCAGGGTGAGCGAGACATGCCACAGACATGGCCCAGGGCCCCTGCCAACCACTTCACACCGTCTGCTGGCATGGCTACCCCAGTCTGCTCTGGTCTGTCAACAGGTCTTTTGGAGACACTGGGCCAATGGCCTTCGAGGCAGGATCCTGGCCCCTGACCATGTTCCAGAAGTCCTGTGCCAAAGCCCTGAGAGCAGGGCTCAACCCTGGCTTCTCCCCAAGTGCTCCGCTGTCACAGGCTGGGACGGCCTGAGCTGCAGGCCGGGCTCGGCCACTTACTTGCTGCATGATCTTAGGCAGGTCATCGGCCTTCTCTGAGCCTCCATTTCCCCTTCTAGAAAATGGGGCTCACGAGAGTGCCTGCCCCTCATGTGTTAAGTTCTTCTCAGTCCGAGGCCTAGCACAGAAGAAGGGCTAATAAATGCCAGCTCCTGCCTACTGTTTTTCTTCTCCCTGTCCGTTCTTCCACAACGCTGAAATGGGCCCAGCTCCTTAAGGGAGCTAAGATCCCCAGAGCCCCATGCCCCACTGAGCGGAGATGTCTGTGGCTCCCAGGCCCCCTGCCCCACAGGCGGCTGCCTCTTCCTGGAGCCGACCCCCAAACACCACGTGCTTGCTGGGGGCCTTCAATGCCTCCACCAGCAGCCCCGCGTCTGGCCACAGACCCCTTTTCCAGGACACAACCATTCTCAAAGCCCTGCTCCAGGACTGCAAGTTTCAGCAGGCTGTCAGATGCCCGCCCTCACTGCTTTGCCTCTCCTCGGGGTTCCAAGGGCCGTGACCTATCCGTCCCGTGCACTTGGCAGTGCAGCACAGCCTGTGCCCACAAGCCAACTATCACCTGTGTCCTGCTCCAGGGACCAGGTCTCTCCCTCCGGTCGGCTGAGAACTGAGCGTGTGCTAAGTAATGTCCGGCACTGGCCGAGACCCAGGGACACAGGCCCGCTCGTATTCCACTGGTGGGGTCATAAATCGACGCACCCTTCCTGGAGGGCAAGTTGGCCGTGTCTATAAGAATGTTAAAGGCACTGGGGCGCCTGGGTGGCTTAGTCGGTTAAGCGTCCGACTTTCGCTTAGGTCATGATCTCGCGGTTCGTGGGTTCGAGCCCCGCGTCGGGCTCTGTGCTGACTGCCAGCTCAGAGCCTGGAGCCTGTTTCAGTCTGTGACTCCCTCTCTCTCTGGCCCTCCCCTGCTCACGCTGTCTCTCTCTCTCTCTCCTAGAAATAAATAAAAGTATTTAAAAAAAAAAAAAAAAAAAAGAATGTTAAAGGCACTTTCCCTTTGTCCTGACAGGTCCACTTCCGGGGATGCAGCTAGCCTACAGGCGTAACTGCACCATAGGCTTCTTTTTGAGAAAATAAAAAGAGACACATGTGCATTGATGTAAGACAAAAGTTTCACATGTTCACTCATTTACTGCACCAACATTTACTGGGTGAGCCCCAACTATGTATCAGATACAACTGCAGACAGAGAAGAGCACTAAACATGAAGAGATGGAGGTTACGGGGTGCGGGGGGGAGACAAATAATCAACAGATCACTATATGTCACCAGGTACGCTGTGGGGAGGAAAAACCCTCCATCCATTGAGGGAATGGGACATCCCCCTGCCCCGTTCTAAACACTGTTTTTCCTCTACGTTTTAAACCAACACAGGGGCGCCTGGGTGGCTCAGTCAGTTGAGCGTCCAACTCTGGCTCATGTCATGATCTCACAGTTCGTGGGTTCGAGCCCCGCGTTGGGCTCTGTGCTGACAGCTCACAGCCTGGAGCCTGCTCGGATTCTGTGTCTCCTCTCTGGCCCTCCCCTGCTCACACTCTGTCTCTCTCTCTCTCTCTCTCTCCCCCTCTCTCTCAAAACAAACAAACATTACATCAACACATAGGTAAGAAAAGATCTGAAACCAGACAGGCAGACTCTCATGTAATTACCATCTTGGACGTCTGAAATGTCTGTCCTTTGTGTATCTTCTCAGTCATCCCACTCTGCCCTGTCCCGTCTATTTTAGAAGGTGGGGGGAGAGGTGGAGAAGGAAAGGTCACCGAACACAAGCCCCGAGTTACGTCCTCACCATCCACCCAACCCTCCACGGCTTCCACAGCCAGTGTTCTATTTCCCAGCGCCAGTACAGCCTACTGAGAGCCTGCGTTCATTCAACCTCCAGAGCCTGGGACTGCCCGTGACAGCCAGGTCCTGCGTGTGGCTCCTGGCCCCACAGAGCTCTCAGTGCAGTGCAGGAGACAGGCGGGAGCACCGACGACCGGCATACGACGTGACCAGGGCCACAGTGAGGGAGCAAAGGATGTTATGGGACGAAGGTCCCCAACGTGTTCCTGGAGTTAATATGCACAGTCCAGCCAAGACCTGAAGGCTGTGAGAAGTTAGCCAGCGGAGCGGACTGTGCTGCTGGCAGAGGACAGAGACAAGAGCTGTGCCCACAAGCTACTGTCACCTGTGTCCTGCTCCAGGGACCAGGTCTCTCCCTCCAGTCGGCTGAGAACTGAGCGTGTGCTAAAGTGACGCCCGGCACTGGCTGAGAACCGAGGAGACAGGCACGCTCGTATTCCACTGGTGGGGTCATAAATCGATGCCAGGACGGCCACATCAGAATGTGTAACGGGGTTCGTGACAAAAGGCTGAGAGCCTCGTAGGCCCGAGAAAGGACCGCAGACCAAGTTAGAGTTCAAAGGTCGTCCTAAGAGCACAGGGTTCTAAGAGCCATGGAAGGGTTTCAAGCAAGGGAGAGATGTGATCAGTGCTTGTGACAAATAGCATTCCAGCTCTGCCGGGGAGAACCGATGGCCTGGGGGGAGGTGCGTGCCCACACAGCTAAAGGCCAGTCCCAGGAGGCAGTCGCAGAAGTGCCAGGGAGAGGGGCGCCTGGGTGGCTTAGTCGGTTAAGCGTTCGACTTTCGCTTAGGTCATGACCTCGCGAAGGTTCGTGGGTTCGGGCCCCGCGTCGGGCTCTGTGCTGACTGCCAGCTCAGAGCCTGGAGCCTATTTCGGAGTCTGTATCTCCCTCTCTCTCTGACCCTCCCCTGCTCACGCGGTCTCTCTCTCTCTCCTAGAAATAAATAAAAAAATATATTTAAAAAAGTCTTTAAAAGGTTCCTTGTGGGGGTGGCTCAGTTGGTTAAGCATCCTACTTCCGCTCAGGTCACCATCTCATGGTTCCTGAGTTCAAGCTCTGCCTGGGGCTCTCTGCTGTCAGCACNTAAAAAAAAAAAAAAAAAAAAAAAGAAGTGCCAGGGAGAAATGACAGTGGCTGAGACTGGGATGGGGGCGTTGGTGAGTGGATTTGAGGTGATAAGGAGGCAGGACTGATAGATAACACAGGTGACCTCCGTCTGTGGGGGAAGAAAGGAAAGTCCAGAACGAGCCAGACCCTCACACGTGCTCAGCCCGGCCCCTTTATCTCCTTGTTGCCACCGTGTCAAGCCCTCAGCTCCCTTCTAATCATGGTGCAAGAACCCAGCTCAGCCCACTCTGCTCCGCCGTCCCCTCCCCAGTTCCTCTGGCAAAGGGAGAAGAGAGAACCACAAACATGTGGCTGAAACGGCAAACCAATTCAGTGGAATCCCACGGAAAGGGGAAGCGCTGGTGGCCGGTCCATCCCATCTCTGAAAACGCCAGCAGCCAGCGCTGTCTGTCTGACCCGCGAATGCCAAGTGCCGTGGTAGACTGGCAGGTAAGCCCAGGACCTGGAAGTTTCTCCACCCACCACATCCACCCACTGCCACTCCCTCTGGCCAGACTGTTAGAACACCCCCCCAATCTGTGCTCAAACACGGCTGCCACCTCCCCTGAGGCTGTCCCCCTCTCCAGCCAGGTGGCGTCGAAAAAACTTCTTGGGGAGTCTCAGCACCTCAACCCCCCGGGAGCTGGTGCCAAGCTTTCTGTCCCAGCCCTGTCCTATGTGCTCCCCTTCTGGACCCACTTTGCCCTAGGTCTCCCGCACCCCTCCTTCACTAGCTCCAGGGGCTCCTGGCCGGGAGGACGCCCCCCTGAGTCCATCAGAGCCCCCAGGGTGGGTGCGAGCGGAGGGCTGCCAGACCTCTGCCCATCGCTGCGCCGACCGGGGCGTCCAGGTGAGAGTCCCCTGACTGCGTCCGCCCGTCCTCAGCCAGCTGCCCTCCCTGGAAGTGCCACGGGTCGACAACCTCTACAGGGTGTGTGACCTCTCATGCTTACTGGACCTGGCGCCGATTTACCTTAAATTCGCAACACACGTTAGCTATAAAACCACAAACGTTTATGCCTTGGGCTTATGCTTTCATTACAACAGTTCATGCTTTCTGGAAATGATCGCTGTGCTTCAAGCAGAGCCACCCCATCAAGCACTCGGCCTGTGTGTGCACAGTTCTCCGCAGCCTCCTGTGCACACCAGCCTCCCCGGTTAGCCTGGAAGCTTCTGAAGGACAGAAACCGCACTGCCTGCCTCTCGGAACCCCCCATCTGATGAAGCAGCAGCGCCACCTCCCTGCTCCCATCCTGGGGTGCCCCTGCCCCACAAGCGGCTGCCTTTTCTACCACACGCTTATGCGCAGCGGGTCCTGCGCCAGGAGCAGCTGTAACTCAGCTATTTGGAGAAGAGGTATTCAGGGTTCTGCACAAAAGTCTGATACGGGCCAGGCCTTACAGGACCTCACGGGAGAAGTCACACCTCCGCACGTGGTAAGCGTTCGAGCAAAGGTGTGTAGAAGGAGGTGCTGCTCCTGGGGCTGTGACCGGGGACAACCTGGCAGAACCCACCCCCGTCTGCTAAGTGTCTCCACCCTCCCACTCCACCCCCCTGCCCTGCGTCATGCTCCCGCGGGAATATGAACATAGTCACCCCGCCATTTCTGACAGGGAAAAGCAGCAAACAGGCTAAAGGTCTGCCCACAAGAGTCAGCTAAAGGAGGAATGGTGCAAACATCCAGCGGAATGGAGTTACCAAGAGCAACCAGAAAGCTCTCTGTGCTGATGGGGAAGGAAGAGCAAGACACAGAGACTGTGAAAAAAGTCACAAAATGATACATATCACATGACAGGGCAGAGCCTAACTACCTTTCCAGCAGTAGCAGTTCCCGAGGAGAGCAGGGAAGGGACAGAGCGGGGGACTCTCCTTGGTCCTAAGTACACACTTACATACGTGCGCGTGTGCGCGCGCGCGCACACACACACACACACACACACACACACACTCCTGAGACCTGTGCGCTTTTACTAACATGACGGAATGAAGAGCAATCAGAAGCACAAAGTGAGCTGACGCTGCGGCCTCGACCTGGGCGGGCCTACCTGGGTGCTGTCATGAGTTCCTGTCAAGGGCCACTGGGTGAGGGAATAAACAGGCAACTTTTCTCTGGTCAGTGGCAAAGACGAGCCGGTGGGAGGGTGGCTGCTGTAGGGCGCACCGGCGTGCAGTCCCAGAGACCAAAAGGCAACCCCAGGCCCGCCCGTGACTGTCTGCCCGATCCTGAGGAGGCCACCGGAACGGCTTCCTCACCTGTGCTGGGCAGCAGAGACGTGTAGAGCATGAGCCTTTTCAAAGCCCACAGACCAGCCCAGTTCCCCGCAGGCTGTGATCCTAGATTAATCACTGCCGGTCCTAGAGCTTCCCTTCCCTTTTGGGACTCTTTTCTCCAATAGCACGGCCGGGGGTGGGGGGGTGGGGGTGGGAATGCTATCACTTACCCTTCCAGAATGTTGCAAGGCTTAAAGGATACCATGCATCTAACTAAAGTGCTTCATACAGGCCTGGCACCTCCTATGTGCCCAATAAGCAGCAGCTGCCATCAGTTTCAGCAAGAAGCTAAGTGAGGGCAATGCCACGGGCCCTGTCTACATAATGGGGTATTGAGATCTGAGAAGAGCTCCGGAAACTGAGAATGGAGGGGCACTTACATAATGACTCCTCTCCCACCTCAATGCCAAGCCTCAGCTACCAAACAGCTAAGATGCCCAGGGGGAGGGAATTGCGGATCGCTCTCTTTATTCATCTTCTGGACAAAATTCTAATCAGTTATTTGGGTCCCCACATCAACTGGACAGGAAAACGGTGCACCGGAAGGGGAAAGATGGGCTGCCAGAAATAAGTCCCGGCTTCTGCTAATTATACCCCAGCCCAGGAGCCCTCAGAGTCCTCGCTGCCCACCCCTGGATCCCTTCAAATCCTCACAACTCTGACATGCGGCTCCGCGGGGCGCTCAGCAAACAGACCCCACACTTGTCAAGGTCACATAACCCAGGCCAAGTCCTCCAACTCTTCCAAACATCATCCCTGGGCACGCTCCGCTCCGGAGCTACTCCACAAGCCATAGGGTCCTTGCCCAGAAACTTCCACAAACACATCTCCTCCCAGGGTCCTTCTGAGGTGCTTCTTCCATGCTGTTTACCTCCTCTGCAAAATTCTCTCCCTGCCATCTTCCAGGTAGCCCTGGATCCCTTCTCCTTGTCCCCATCCTAGGTCCCCTTATGTCCACGTTCGACGCCAGCGCACTCCAGTCCAGGGTTCTCCACCTGACAGCCTACACACACCTCGCATCTCAAATCCCGCCGCCTCCTCCCAAAACGAGTTTCCGCTCCGCCGCTCTTCCATCCAAACTCCTAGGGCAAGTCCGGGCCCTGTCCGTGCTTCTATCTCCGGGGACTCCTCCCTGACAGCCACACATGCCAGGGCTCCCCCAAAGCTCCCTCCTTCAAGGGGAGGGCACACACCTTCCTCCTGGACCCCTCGAGGAGGCCCTCCTCTCATCCCCTGAGTCCTCATACAGCCGTCTTTCGTTTCGCCTCCACCGTCCAAACAATCCGAAACACACCCGGTCCCAGGCTCGCTGACTTCCTCTCCCTACCGAGGCCGGTTCCTCGCCCGTTGCACTCTGGCCCTCGGCGGCTCCCACGTCCCCCCGAAGCCCCCCTCTCCCACCCAAATCCCATCGGGCTCCACCTCCCACCCTCACCTGGTCAGCCACGAAGGTGGGGACCCCTCGGCACCCCTTCGGGCTTCTGCTCACTCCCCACAAGAACCCCCTGCCCCCACTCCTCCCCCCCACCCTCCGCGGAGCTCTCAGGGCCCGAGGCCCCTCTCCCGGGAACTCATCTGCGGGTGCGCTCACTCCCACTCCCCCTCTCAGCCGGATCCGGTGCCCCGCGCCCCTCCTCTCGGCCGCACCCCCCCGCCTCCAGCCTCCGGGTGCCCTCCGGAGCCCCCTCGGACGGCCCCTCACTCGGTCTCCGGGCCGGTCGCGGTCCCCTCCCGCCCCCCCCGGCCGTCCCGGCGGCCATTGCTCCAAGATGGCGGCGGCGGCGGCGGCGGGTGAGGCCGGGCCGGGCCGGGCGGGGGGTCGGGGGTCCCGGGGCGGCGCTCACCTGCAACTCGGCGCGCTCGGCCTCCCAGCGGGCCTTCTCCGCTTCGAAGCGCGCCCACTCGTGCTGGATAAAATGCAGGATCCCGGGCAGGCTCAGGGGCTCGGGCCCCGCTGTAGGCCCGGGGCTGCCTCCGCCGCCGCCTCCCTTACCGGCCGGGCCGGGCCCCGGGGCAGCGGCAGAGGCAGGGGCCGCCCCCGTCGGGCCGGGACCCGCGCCGGAGCCGAGCGGGCGGCAGGAGGAGGCGGCGGCGGCGACCGCGGCGGCCGCTCGCTCCTCCATCATGGAGGCCCCGGGGCCGGCCCGCGCGCCCGCTGTGCCTCGCGCGCCTGCGCGGCCGTACCGCCCCCACTCCCCGCCCGCGCGCGCGCTCGGCGGGGGCCGGGGGGGCCGGTGATGGGAACGAGGCCCGGCGCGCTCCGCGCCCACCCGGGTCGACCCCGAGAGCGCGCGCCCGCGCGCGCGGGGGGGCGGGACGGAAGCGCGCGCCTCGAGGAAGGCCGAGGAGACCCAGGCCCAGCACGAGGGGCGCCCCTGGGAAAAGCGGGACTTTGGGAGGGGCCGTTTTCTGCCCCTCTCCTCCAGCTTCGCCCCAAAGATTCTAACCCCCTCCAGACCCAAATGCTACTCTCTTTGACAAACACTGTCAGAGAGAAAGGGCGACCACCAAGGGTGATTTCAGCAGTGGCCCCATCCTCCCTGATTCCTGGCCCGGGTCGGTAGTCATGGTAACCCTTCCGCAGCCTGGAACCCTCCCCCTTTGTGGTTATGAAGTCCCAAACCTGTCCTGTCCCTGGATGAGGGGAAGGTTGCTAAGGTAACCTAAGTCCCCCTGTGGTCTTTCTGCCCCTATCCTCACTTGGTTACTATGGCAACTTCACCTAGCACTCAGGTAGCAAGGACCCCAGTCCCAAGGACACTGACTGCGGAGAGAACACCTCTTTCCCAACCCCTCCCCCTAGCCGCCCAGCTGGCGTCACCATGGTAACCGGCTCCCCCCTCTCGCATCGTGGGAGGTCTGTGGCCCAAACCAACCAGGTGTTTTTATTTAGAGAAGATGCTCTGCTGAGGAATAGTTGCTATGGTTACAGGGCCTGGACCAGGAAGTGGAAACAGGCAAGGTCAAACCCTGGTTCCTATGGTAACAAGGAGGGGAAAGCCCCCCTCCCTTCCAGTGACCCTAGGAACCAGACCCACCAAGGTAGGGGATGTTTTAGGTTTGTGTCTCACGATGGAGTATTTCTAGGGAAGGGCTTGTCACGGTAACAGCTCTGGTCACTTCTAGCCCCACCTCTCTGGACACTTTTCATACGGAAGGGATAGTTATAAGTTGCTATGATAACTGACATCCTTCCTACCTGTTCCCGAGACACCCCAGGTGGTGCCCGAGCTTATGGAACTTCAAGCGAAAGGATTCTCTGACCTTCCCATTGCCACTTTTGTAGGTAAGATGAAGCCGTCCGCTCTTGTGCGAAATTGGCTGATTTGGGGTTTTCTGGTTCTCATTCCCTCAGGCGTGCAGCTGAGCTGGGCAGGAACTGCCCACCGGGAGCTCCCACAGCAGCCTCAGAGGTAAGGAGTCCCATAGTGTCACCAGCACTCAGGTGGAGATTGCCCTTCTCCCCAAAGCCTTTCCCATGTATCACTCATTTTCTTACCTATCACATTCCCATTCTGCAGATGTAGCAGCTGAGGCCCAGGCCAGATCAGAGTCCAGGGCAGGTGAACCAAGGCCCGAAGGGACTCTGGATCCACTTACATTGTTGTTGTTGTTTTTTTTTAATGTTTTTTATTTATTTCTAGGAGAGAGACAGAGAGAGAGACAGCGCGAGCAGGGGAGGGTCAGAGAGAGAGGGATTCACAGACTGAAACAGGCTCCAGGCTCTGAGCTGGCAGTCAGCACAGAGCCCGATGCGGGGCTCGAACCCACGAACCGCGAGATCATGACCGAAGCGAAAGTCGGACGCCCAACCGACTAAGCCACCCAGGCGCCCCTGGATCCACTTACATTGTTTTATGGAGAATGGACAGGGACAAGGTTCCCACTTAACTGTCCTCTCCTTCCCTGACCACCTTTTCTCTGTCACACCCCCTGCTGGTTTCCTGACCTCTCTGTACATCGTGAGTGTGGTTTTTGTCCGCTTACCTCTGGAGGGCTTGCCCAGTGACTGCCTTGGTCATTCCTTGTCCCCAGAACACAGGGTCTGGCTGAGAGGGTACCCAGTGACTATCTGTATGTTGAGTTACCGGGTTGAATTAAGGGATATGCCATATTCAGCTTTGAAGGCACCCGTCGAACATTCCCTGAAGGTTGACAGAGAGCTGGGCTGTCTTGAGGAATCCAAGAGAGATAGCGAGGTCATCGGTTGAATGACCAATGGTTGAAAATGTGACTGGGGACAAAATGCACCAGGTTCGTGAGTCACATTGGGGTCCACGATTTCCCAGCTGTGTTACCTTGAGTGTGTGACTTCACTTCTCTGTGCTGCCATTCTTAAAACGTGATCAGAACAAGAAGATCAAACAAGTTCGTATGCGTAAAGTGCTCAGAAACGGGTCTGGCATATCACAAGTGGTTAGAATTGTTGATATTACCATCCTGTTGGGATTCAGGGAAAGATAGAACATTCGCACCTTCAAAATCATCATTTCATCCACTTTGCCTCCATGAAGGAGGTTTGAGCCTTTGTAGCTGGGGAAGCCGAGACCAACCTTGTCAGGGGGCTGGACGATTCCTTTCTCTTTCTTCTCTGGTGCCTTCGCCTGCTGGTCTGACTGTCATGCCCACTGGTCTCTGAGGACCTGATTTAAAAAAAAAAATTTTTTTTACACTTACTTATATTTGAGAGACAGAGAGAGACAGAGCACAAATAGGGGAGGGGCGGAGAGAGAATGAGACACAGAATCTGAAGCAGGCTCTGGGCTCTAAACTCAGCACAGAGCCCGATGTGGGGCTTGAACTCTCAAACCACGAGATCATGACCTGAGCCAAAGTCGGACGCTTAACCGACTGAGCCACCCAGGCGCCCCTCTGAGGACCCGATTTCTGTCCTGTGTCCTGCTGGGGACCTCGGGGCACAGAGTCAGCCAGACAGAGCATCCCGAGAGCCAAGGCCTGGGAGGTAGACACCTGAGTTCTCCATGGTTTCTATCTCTGAGCCGCACGTTCCCCATCTGAACAGCTGGACTCAGTCATCGGTGCCACTGAAATTTATTAAGCACTTCCTACCTATCAGGCACTGAGCTGTGCCCTGAGTCTACAGCAGGGAACAAATAAGTGAAATTTACATGATAATGACAAGGGGAGAAGATGCAGGGATAGGACACGTGGAAAGTGGGTGAGAGGTGCATTTTGAAAAAGAATAGCCAAAGAGAGGGCTCACTGGACAGGTGACATTTGAGCAGAGGTGAAGGCCATGTGGATACCTGGGGATGAGCTCCAGGCAGAGGGAGCCGCTGATCTTTGGCCCTGATGTCCGGATGTATTTGAACACTGGTGTTTGGCGGCCATTGTGGCTGGAGCTGAGAGTGGGAGAGGGTAGGGGATCACGTGGAGCCCAGTGGGCCCCGGTAAAGACTTGGCTTTTCCTTTGAGTGAGTTGTGAGCCACAGAAGGGTCGGAGCAGATGCAGGACAGGATCGAATGTGAGTTTTAACAGGATCCCTCTGGGCGCTGGCTGTGGAACGGACTGTTGGGGATGTGGGCAGAGCAGGAAGGTGGTCTCTTTAGAATCTTCCAAAAGTTCCGAAACTGTCCACGGTCTCTCCTGTGCTTCCGTGTCCATAAGCTCTAAGATTCTAAGATTTTTTTTTTAAATTTTTAATGTTTTATTTATTTCTGAGAGAGAGACAGTGTGAGCAGGGGAGGGTCAGAGAGAGGGAGATAACAGAATCTGAAGGAGGCTCCAGGCTCCGAGCTGTCAGCACAGAATCCAACGCGGGGCTCGAAACCACGAATTGTGAGATCATGACCCGAGCCGAAGTTGGGAGCTTAACTGACTGAGCCACCCAGGCGTTCCTAAGATTATAAGATTTTTAAGACTCCGCAGATTTTATGGTTCCAAAGGCTCCTCCTCCCAGTAATGTGAGGTCAGGGTTGCTGTCTGTCTCTGTGGGCTGTGTGTCCACTGCTGTGTTCCCAGTGCCACAAACAGGGCCTGCCACGTTGTAAGAGTTCCATAAACAGAGGGAAGGAGAGGGAAGGACTGAAGGAAAGAAGAATCACTCTAAGATCCAGAAGCAATTCCAAGGTTCTAAAAATTAAGTTGTCAGGGTGCCTGGGTGGCTCAGTCAGTTAAGTGTCGGACTTCGGCTCAGGTCATGATTTCACAGTTCGTGAGTTCGAGCCCCGCATCAGGCTCTTTGCCGTCAGCACAGAGCCCGCTTCTGATCCTCTGTCCCCCTCTCTCTATCAAAAAATGAACATAAAAAAAAAATCTAATAAATGAAGTTGCTCTTAAAGCGCAACTTGGGTTGTTAAGTGCCAGGCGAGTTGGGTCAGAGAAGGGCAAACAGGCCTGGGATGGGTGAGGAGAGGTAGGAGGCTATTCCTGGTAGGAGAGAGGCAGGGAAGAGGAGGCAGAAGACGCAGGGCACGTAGCCATCATGCAGAGTTTGGCTTCGGGAACCTGAGGCCTCATAGACTCAGAGAACCGTGACCCTGGCCGTCATTTCTTCACCAAGTGCACTTTCCTTTTGTGTGTGTGTGTTAGTGTGTGTTAGCATGTGTTCATTTTTCAGAGACAGAGAGAAAGCACGAGCGGGGAGGGGCAGAGAGAGAGGGAGACACAGAATCTGAATCAGGCTACAGGCTCCGAGCTGTCAGCACAGAGCTCGAACCCATGAACTGTGAGATGGTGACTTGAACCGAAGTCGGATGCTTAACCGACGGAGCCACCCAGGCGCCCCGCCAAGTGCACTTTCAGTGCCCGGCCGTGTGCTGGGAACACAGAGCTGATGGAGGAAGCCCGGGCTTTACTCTCCTGGGCCTCAAAGTCTAGTTGGGCAGACAGTCCCATCCCCAGATGATACCCGACCAGAATGGGCAGCCCATGAAGGACTTCTACCCAGCCTGGGGCTTCAGGGAGGGCTTCCTGGGGTAGGAGGCATCAGAGCTGAGGCCTAAAGCGTAAGGTAGTGTTTGGTCTCCAGGAGAAAAGAGGCATGGGGAGGAGGGGTGTTTGGGAGCAGAAGGAACAGAATGTACAAAGACTTAGAAATAAGATCTGTTTGAAGAAAGGTCCTAGGCATAGAGTCTGACCCATGGCAGGGGTGGGCCAGCAAGGGACAGGTCACCCACGGGCTTGTGGGATGTTGTAAGAAACCTAAACTTTCTCCTCAGGTTACCAGGGAGAGGATTTGGTCAGGAGACCAGGGAGGGGCCCCTGGGTGGCTCAGGTTAAGCTCAGGTCATGATCTCGTATTTATGGGTTCAAGCCCCACATGGGGCTCTCTGCTGTCGGTACAGAGTCCGCTTCAAATCCTCTGTCGCTGTCTCTGCCCCCTTCCCCCGCCTCACACATGCTCTCTCTCTCATTCTCTCTCAAAAATAAATAAAAACATTTAAAAAAAAAGAAAGAGAGAGAAACAGGGGAGGCCGAGTGGGGATCTGTGTGGACCAGGGCTGAAGGAGGAGCTTTGGTCAGAAGGATCTAGGAGGTGGGAAGATTAGCTGAGTCTCTGATGCCACCCCTTTCTGGGAAGACTAGAAACATATGGAAATCCTTCTGGGAAAACATTTGGAGTATCTGCTCAGAGCTCACTTACACTTCCTGTGCTGGAGGCGAGCCAGAGCGCCAAGTGGTGCGGGGCGCGGGGAGACAACGCCACCTGGAGGTCGCGTAGGACTGCGGCCGATGAATGAAGAGTGGGTGTGCCCTACCTCCCCAGCCCTCTTTTGATGCAGCCCCCCCGCCTTTAAAAAATTCTGGGGGGACCTGGGTGGCTCAGGTCGTGATATCATGGTTCACTGAGTTTAAGCCCCGTATCAGCTCTGTGCTGACATCAAGAGCCTGCTTGGGATTCTCTCTCTCTTTCTCTCTATTCTTCCCCTGCTCATGCTCTCTAAATAAACAAACATTAAAAAAAAAATTTTAGTTGCAATAAAATACACAAAGCAAAATTTATCATCTTAACAATTCTTAGGCGCATAGTTCAGTAGTGTTATGTATATTCTCCATTATTGTGCAGTCTCCAGAACTTTCTCAATCTTGCAAAACTGGAAATCTATACCCGTTAAACAACTCCATTTCCCCTTACCCCCCAGCCCCTGGCAACCACCTTTCTACTTTCTGTTGCTAGTAGTTTTTTTTTTTTTAAGTTTATTTATTTATTTTGAGAGCAAATGAGCACAGAGGAGGGGCAGAGAGAGAGAGAGAGAGAGAGAGCAGGGGAGGGGCAGAGAGAGAGGGAGACAATCTGAAGCAGGCTCCAGGCTCTGAGCTGTCAGCACAGAGCCGGACGCGGGGCTCAAACTCATGAACCGTGAGATCATGACCTGAGCTGAAGTGGGCACTTAACTGACTGAGCCACCCAGGAGCCTCTAGCTTTTCTTGCAAAATCAAAACGATCAGGCTGACCATCAGGAGAGGACCAGATGGCACTGGATTTGAGGAAGTGAGAAGGGGAGAGTGGGGGAGGGGCTTGGTGGCCAGTGCTGCCGCTGCAGCCTCCCCCTGGAGCCAGGGTGGGGTGTGAGAGGGACAGGAGAGAGAGATCAGGAGGGGCTTCCTGGAGGAGCAAATGGTGGGGCAGAAGGTGCAGCCTGGGCTTGGGGATGGAGTTGGGCGTTTATAATTGAGCCCCAAACAGAATGAGAAGTTGACAAAGAAAAGGATAAGGAACAGGTGGGATTGAACAAGGAAGCCGGGAAGGTGAATCACTTGATAAAAACTTGCTGAGCACCAGGTCCTGTGCCGGGTGGAAGGAGGGACCCAGTAGTGATGGAGACAAGCTCAGGGCCTGCCCCCGTGGGTCTCACAGCCGGTGGGAGGGTGCAGACCTGTCCCCACGCAGTAATGACTTAGAGTGGTGGGCTAGGGTGGGAGAACCCAAGGAGCCGAAGGAGCCCAGAAGGGGGGACGGGGAAGTCACAGAGGGCTTCCTGGAGGAGGACAAGTCAGAGCTGAAACCGCATACAGAAAGGCCCAGGAGAGAAGGACAATGCTGAGGATTAAGGGGGTCTGGGAGGAGGTTTCTGACAACCAGCACCAGCCTCCCCTTTCACTCTCCCCTCCCCAGGATGCGCCGGAGGCCCAGCTAGGGCCTGACTTTGGCCCCATGCGGCTCACCCGCTGCCAGGCTGCCCTGGCAGCCGCCATCACGCTCAACCTCCTGGTCCTCTTCTATGTCTCGTGGCTACAGCACCAGCCCAGGAACTCCCGGGCCCGCGGTCCCCGCCGTGGAGCCGCCGCCGGGCCCCGCGTCACTGTCCTGGTGCGCGAGTTCGAGGCCTTTGACAACGCCGTGCCAGAGCTGGTGGACTCCTTCCTGCAGCAGGACGCAGCCCAGCCGGTGGTGGTGGCCGCCGACACGCTCCCCTATCCCCCCCTGGCCCTGCCCCGGGTTCCCAACGTCCGCCTGGCGCTACTCCAGCCCGCCCTGGACCGGCCCGCCGCGGCCTCGCGCCCCGAGACCTACGTGGCCACCGAATTCGTGGCGCTGGTGCCCGACGGGGCGAGGGCCGAGGCGCCGGGCCAGCTGGAGCACATGGTGGACGCGCTCCGGGCCGGAGGCGCACGCCTGGTGGCCGCCCCGGTCGCCTCCGCCAACCCCGCGCGCTGCCTGGCCCTGAACGTCAGCCTGCGGGAGTGGACCGCGCGCTACGGCCCCGCCCCCTCGGCGCCCCGCTGCGACGCCCTGGACGGGGACGCGGTGGTGCTCCTGCGCGCCCGTGACCTCTTCGACCTGCCGGCGCCCCTGGCCCGGCCGGTGGGCACCGGCCTCTTCCTGCAGACGGCCCTCCGCGGCTGGCCCGTGCAGCTGCTGGACCTGCCGTTCGCCGCGGCGCGCCAGCCCCCTCTGGCCACGGCCCACGCGCGCTGGAAGGCGGAGCGCGAGGGGCGCGCGCGGCGGGCGGCGCTGCTGCGCGCGCTGGGCATCCGCCTGGTGAGCGCCGAGGGCGGCCGGCTCGAGTGGTTCGGCTGCAGCAAGGAGACGCCGCGCTGCTTCGGGACGGTGGTGGGCGACACGCCCGCCTACCTCTACGAGCGGCGCTGGACGCCCCCGTGCTGCCTGCGCGCGCTGCGGGAGACCGCGCGCTACGTGGTGGGCGTCCTGGAGGCGGCGGGCGTGCGCTACTGGCTGGAGGGCGGCTCGCTGCTGGGGGCCGCCCGCCACGGGGACATCATCCCGTGGGACTACGACGTGGACCTGGGCATCTACCTGGAGGACGTGGGCAACTGCGAGCAGCTGCGGGGGGCCGAGGCGGGCTCGGTGGTGGACGAGCGCGGCTTCGTGTGGGAGAAGGCCGTCGAGGGCGACTTCTTCCGCGTGCAGTACAGCGAGAGCAACCATCTGCACGTGGACCTGTGGCCTTTCTACCCCCGCAACGGGGTCATGACCAAGGACACGTGGCTGGACCACCGGCAGGACGTCGAGTTCCCCGAACACTTCCTGCAGCCCCTCGTGCCCTTGCCCTTTGCCGGCTTCGTGGCGCAGGCGCCGAACAACTACCGGCGCTTCCTGGAGCTCAAGTTCGGCCCCGGGGTCATCGAGAACCCCGAGTACCCCAACCCGGCACTCCTGAGCTTGGTCGGAAGCAGCTGAAGCCCCAGCGCGCGCTCCTGGGGTCGGGAGAGCTGGCCTCCGGGTTGGTGCCGCCGGCGTTTGGCGAGCGGGCTGGGGGTGCCGAGCTGCCCTGCAGGGCCCAGCGCGCGCCTGGACGTCGAAGACCCACGCTGCCCGAGATTTCCCAGCGCGTGGGCTTTATTTAGAGCGCGGACAGTTTTTGTAAAGAGGAAAACGTGTGGATACTGGGCTGGACTGCCGCGACTAAAACCCCAGCTCTACCACTTGCGACTTAGGTGGGCCCGGGCGACTGTCCCAACGTCTCTGTGCCTCGGTTTCTTCCAGGGTGCAGTGAGCGCCCTCGGGTCTAGCTCACAGTCTGTGGGACGCTTGGTTGCTGGGCTTGCTTCCGCCACTAGAGGGCGCCGTTGTCCTGCTGTGGGGCCAAGGCGCCGGGAAGCCTGGCATCTCTGTTGTTCTGTAACTTTCCTGACTCTTCTTGGCTTTGGTCTCTCCAATCCCCTGTATCTCGCAGGACGGGATAGCTGTCTCCCTTCGAGAGCCCCGTGAGGGGCGTGCTGCTCTTGACCTCATCTTACAGAGGAGGAAGCAGGCTCAGAGCCCTGAGCTGCAGCTATGGTTAAGGACCGGGTCCTGGATGCCCGCCCCACTCCGTGTTAACTTATTTTAGCTCTCTGCACCTGTTAGCCCACTTGCAAGGCGGGATAAACAGTAATCACAGCCCAAATTACGCCGCACATACTGTGTGCCAGGCATCCTTCTCAGTATTTGACTGTATCTGAGTATCTCAACTCTCTGAGGTGAGAGCTGCTATTCTTTCCACTTTACAGATGAGCAAACTGAGGCTAGAATGGTAACGTCATTTGCTCAAGGTCACACAGCTTGGGAAGTGACAGAGCAGGGACTTGACCCCAGGCAGTCAGTCTGGAGCCCACACTGAAGTTGGTAACTGAAGTCATTCTCTCCTAATGCTGCGGGAGGGGAGATCCGGGGAGGCGGAACCGCCTTGCCTGAGACTCTGCTTTGCACCTTAGAAATGGGTGTGATGAAAGTTCACCCCACAGGGGTGCTGGGAGGCACTTGAGTGGTAAAGGGGTCACGAATCAAGGCTGGGGTTGGCTCCTGGCTTGGCCACTTATTTTCTTTGCCATCTTAAGCAAGTCACTGCCTCCCCGAACGTATAGATTGGGGAGGCGGGTGTGTGTGTGTGTGTCCTCGCAGAAACTTGAAGCAGAAACTTGAAGCCCTTGAGCGAGGAGACTTCACAGACCAGCAGGAGAGAACACAAATGCAAATTTGGCCCAATACCATGAGGCTCAGACATCCAAAGCCTGACTTCTTAGAACGTATCCTGTGTTTAGCCACTGGACCCGCAAATGGCTCCCAGACTGTTGGGTTTCCACGGGACATTTGGGAAACATAAAGGGATGATTTGGGGTGATCGTGTGGTGCTCTTAGCTCTTGGGAGCCCCGGCCCAGGGATGGAGATGTCTCATGATTGTGCAGGGCGTCTCCACCTAACAAAACATTGTCCCTTGTCATATATGGTTTTGAAATGTCCCACGGGGCATTCATGAAGGATGTGTGATATTCAAAATCTTTGGCAACAGGTACAGTAATATATAAATGAATATATGAGTCAATATATGCATCCGAGTATTTAAATAGTTTTTTTTATCCTCTAAAGAATGGAAACGATCTCTCCATATACATATTTCTTTAAATTGTTTGCAAAGAACAGAAGCTAAAGCTCAAATCGTTCTTAAATCATTGCAGTGATTTTGTTTTATTTAGAAATTGTCGGTGTGAATTCTTGATTGACACACGCACACATATATTATTTATTTATTATATAAAAATATATAAAATAACCCTGCCTTCGCTGTGATTTGATAAGGGAACCACATCAAGGGCTTCTAGCAACTTCCCACTAAACCGGGTATCATTAGGTGACATGGGGTCTCAATACATCATTTCTCTTAGCATTACCCATGGTGTTCTGGTATGTTCCCCTCTCCTCACTGTTCCTGAACTAACAGCTACAACTTTTGTAGCCTTTATACTACCGCCTGACGGCTCTGTGCATTTGATGCCTTTATCATTGATTAATTAATAGTCTGACAGGGGTGCCTGGGTGGCTCAGTCGGTTAAGTGTCTGACTTCAGCTCAAGTCATGATCTCACGGTTCTTGGGTTCGAGCCCCGCATCGGGCTCTGTGCTGACAGCTAGCTCAGAGCCTGGAGCCTGTTTCAGATTCTGTATCTCCCTCTCTCTCTAACCCTCCCCTGCTCATGCTGTCTTTCTCTCTCTCTCAGAAATAAATAAAACATAAAAAAAATTTTTTAAGTAATAATATGACAGCCTACTGCAACAATGAACTTGAATTAATGAGTTTATATGAGAATGTGTATTGCTGGATTGTGTTTTCTCAGTTAGTCTTGTAGCTAGAACAGAGGCGTTCAGATATTGTAAAAACCAGCACATCCATCCTAATGCATAACCAAATTTTAGCCTCACTTAGAAAAACGTGGTTAAGAATTATCGGAGCCCAGAGGCGCCTGGTTGGCTCTGTCAGAAGAGCATGCGGACTCTTGATCTCTGGGTCATGAGTTCAAGCCCCACGTTGGATGTAGAGATTACTTAAATAAATAAGAAGTAAATACAGTTTAAAAATTAAAAGGGGTGACTGGGTGGCTCAGTCGGTTAAGCTTTCAACTTAGGTTCCGGTCATGATCTCGCGGTTTGTGAGTTCGAGCCCCACGTCGAGCTCTGTGCTGACAGCCCAGAGCCTGGAGCCTGCTTTGAATTCTGTGTCTCCCTCTCTCTCTGCCCCTCCCCCACTCACATTCTGTCTTTCTCTCTCTCTCAAAAATAAACATTAAAAATTTTTCTTACTTAAAAAAATACGTATATGAGCCCAGAACCTAATTCTCTATTCATGCAAACACAAAGTCCTTTTTGTAAGGTTTTAATAGGTCCTAAATGAGGAAAGCTTGTATCGTGTTTTGTTTAAAACTCGACCAAGGATTGTCAAGAATTTCTTAAAATCATATTCTATCTTCATGGCTCTTAATAATCAGACACCCATATCGTGTTTCCAGCTGATGGGAACCGCCTACATTATTCACATAGACACCTAGCTACCTCCTTGGGTTCTCAGTTCTGCTTCAATTTTCATATTGAAATTCCTATTATGAATTGTCCTTTTATTTCTCTCTTTTTTGTTATAGTTAGGACAATATAGAGATGGGGGGGGGGTTGTGTGTGTTTTTAAGTTTATTTTGAGAGAGCAAGCACAAGCAGGGGCAAGGCAGAGAGGGAGAGAGAGAATCCCAAGCAGACTCTGTGCTGACCAACGTGGGGCCCGAACCCACGAACTGAGATCAGGACTTGAGCCAAAATCAAGAGTCAGATACTTAATTGGCTGAGCCACCCAGGCGCCCCTAAGAGATTGTTTTTAAAATCACTTGCAGGGAGCACCTGGCTGGCGTCGTCAAAACAGCATGTGACTCTTGATCTCAGGATCGTGAGAGATCGTGAGATGGAGCCCCACTTTGGGTATAGAGATACCTAAAATAAGTAGAACCTTAAATAAACAAAATCATGTGCAGATGAGTTATATTATCTATTTCATTTCATTCCATTTCGGCAGAGCCAAGAGGATATTCCCAGAGCTGACATTCAACCCATCACATGCGCCAGTGTTGCCATCAGGGTGGCTAAAATATGGAAATACCAAAGTATAGATTCGCTCAGTTGCTAAATGGCCACTGCCGTGAGCCCCCTATTCTCACCCTCCTGGGTCTCCCCCCACATCCAGCAACCAAGGGGTTAAGCCCAGGCATCGATGGAGGGAAGGGGGCCATGTCTTAAATGCTGTTGAATGGTCTGCTCCCTTTTCCAAGCAGCAAATATTTGTGTATCCTTCCTGGGCATTACAAAATGTTTGCTATAGAAAGTGGAGGGCAGGCAAAGAGCCACGTACAAATGCACCTTTATATGCATTAGCCCCAAACTGGAAACTGTCCAGTGTCCATTACAGGCAAATGGATCAACAAACTGGTGAACAGCAGAGAGCGGAATACTCTTTGGTGATTAAATACAAAAAGGAACAGACTGATAATGGGCAAAAACATGCCTAAAGCTCAAAGGCATGATGTGAAGTATGAGAAGCAGGACACGGGGCACGAAAGGCGACATACTATATAGTTCCACTAATGCGAAATTCTAGAAGAGGCAAACGAATCCTCAGTGACCCCGAAGCAGGGGGGTGGAGAGAGGAATATGTTGCAAAGGCACAGCAAGAAATCGGGGGCGCGGCGGGTGAATATCGTGTATCTTGATTTCGGTGGGTTTCGCTAGCTTAAGCATCTGGTCAAAACTCATCCAATTACCTTCTTTAGCAGGTACCCCTCCCAAAAAGTCCAACAAGGGGTGCCTGGGTGGCTCAGTCAGTTAAGTGTCTGCCTTCGGCTCAGGTCATGATCTTACGGTTTGTGGTTTCGAGCCCCGTGTCGGGTTCTGTGCTCAGAGCCTGGAGCCTGTTTCATATTCTGTGTCTCCCTCTCTCTCTGACCCTCCCCTGCTCATGCTGTCTCTCTCTCTCTCAGAAATAAATAGGGGCGCCTGGGTGGCTTAGTCGGTTAAGCGTCCGACTTTCGCTTAGGTCATGATCTCTCGGTTCGTGGGTTCGAGCCCCGCGTCGGGCTCTGTGCTGACTGCCAGCTCAGAGCCTGGAGCCTGTTTCAGTCTGTGACTCCCTCTCTCTCTGACCCTCCCCTGCTCACGCTCTCTCTCTCTCTCTCCTAGAAATAAATAAAAATATTTTTTAAAAAAAGAAATAAAACATTAAAAAAACCAGTCCAACGGGCCTAGAAACTGTCGTTAGGAGAGACAAAGCTGTCATTACCCTGTGTCTGCCAGCCCCCCGCCCCCATCCTGTTACTATGAGCCTAGGATGCAGGTCCAAGCCCGGTGCAGGGCTAGCCTGCTCACTTCCCCCCAAGCCAGGCTCCTTCGTAGGGGCAAGAGGGGTGTCCCCCAAAGCAGGGGTGGACGGGGGAATGGAGGAAGGGAGCCGGGCTCCAGAGGGCGGCGTTACAGGTGCTTTGCCTTCTGCCCTTAGGTAAACTTCACCGGTGGCCTTTGGGTGAGGCATAACAGAGCCATTGTCACCAGAGGGTGAGGCTCCGGAGTGCTTGCGCAAGGTCATGCAGCTGGCAGGCAGGATCCCGTCTGAGCTGGCGTAACAGCCTCTAAGCCAGGCAGCTCGGTAGCTGGAGCCCAGTTTATTCATTCTGCAAACATTTACGGAGTACCTACTATGCGCCGAGGCCCATGCTGTGCTGAGCATACAGTTGTGAATGGGACAAAGGTGGGGTGCTCATCCTAGTGGGGACCAGGTTTGGGAGTCCCTGTCCACACTGAGGCCTGAAATGGTTCCAGGCCTTTTAGATGACCCAGATCAGCATCTTAGGCAAAGTAGTAATGTGTGCCCAGCAAATTTTAAAAATGGAATAGAAATGGGGCGCCTGGGTGGCTCAGTCGGTTAATTGTCCGACTTCAGCTCAGGTCATGATCTCACGGTTCATGGGTTCGAGCCCCGCATCAGGCTCTGTGCTGACAGCCAGCTCAGAGCCTGGAACATGTTTCAGATTCTGTATCTCTCTCTCTCAGAAATAAAACATTAAAAATTTTTTAAAAAATGGAATGGGGCGCTTGGGTGGCTCCATTGGTTAAGCACCCAACTTCCACTCAGGTCATGATTTCAGAGTTTGGGAGTTTGAGCTCCACATCAGGCTTGCTGCTGTCAGCATGGAGCATGCTTTGGATCCTCTGTCACCCCTCCAAATAAACATATTTTTTAATGGAATAGAAAAAAAAGGGGAGGGGATACTGTTCTACTGAATTTGGCCGAGTTATGTTATCCCTTGTATGTACACATGTTGTGTATACAGTATATGTAATATTACATAAGCATGTGTGTACCCTTCATAATCTAAATCTAATCCATTCCCAAAAAGCATTAAATAGAAAAATTAAGGACTCAGCTCCTTCCAGCAACCCCAGCCATTTTCCCCAAATACCATTAAAACTCTTAAACACTGTTCTCACTGCCCACTAAGGATTTGGGCATCATAGAAAGCGCTGAAAATGACAATTAATTATTCAACCCTTAATGAACTCACTAGTGGTTACGTTCGTGTACGATACACGAGTTTTGCACAGACTCGGAAATGAACTGCATTCTCCTTAATGCACTGCAGTGATCATGCGATGTAACTAAATAATCAAAGCAACAGAAAGATGCGAAAGATACCCAAGATAGCATCTATATAATTGGGCTTCGGGTTGGTGGTGCCTCCCAGGCACTTGGCAGAAGTTGACGTAGGGCCCTGAGGGGGGTGATAATTATCAGTAATGTGTAACACATTTTAGCAATGTGTAAGACAGGACCTGGGATCTTTATGACAGGTGAGCCATGGCTGGGTATCATCCACATCCTGGACTCGAACAGGACTTAAAAACAGCGGCACAGCACATTTTTTATTCAAATAGCAAATTCTGGGTTAAATAAAAAAGGGGTGGGGAGAGCAAGTCATTACTGCCACTATTGGATAGAGTTCAAGTATCAAGGAAGTCCCTGTAAGTGGCTACAGCAGAGTCAGTCTCTTCCCAGTTGTACGGAATTTTCCACGGCCAAGATGTTACACATGGGGTAAAATCACGCACATCTACGGTGTGCAGATGAGCGTGCTCAAATGTATGTGTCTGTGTAAGCATCACCCGTGTCGAGATACGGAACATTCGCAAGATTGCTTAACTGACTGAGCCACCCAGGCGCCCTCTAGTGGTGTTTTTTTTGACGAACAGATAATCTTATTTCGGTGAAGTCTGTTTTATCCTGTGTGGTTTTTTAGTGCGTGCCTCATGCTTTTGGTCTTAAAAACACCTGATGAGATAGAGTTTTGTTGCTACAAAAAATGTCCTTTGGAGTGACGGCAGTATTTGTCCTCAGGCTCCCCAACCCCGGCAAGGTCCCGAGGAGTGTTTGTTACTGTGGAGGGAAGAGGGTGGGATGTACCATGGAGTCACAAAACACACACACACACACACACACACACACACACACACACACACACACACAGCTACAGCCACCAAAATAGCCATCAACCCATTGGAATGTCCTTTTTCTCAATGAGGGCAGAAATCCACATGGTGACCTGTGCCCTGAGAGGTGGGGGGGCCAGAACGACATGGTTTCTCCATCTTGTTTCCTAACTTTGGTCAGAAACAGGAATTGAAGACTGGGGAGGATTTGGGGAGATACACACACACACACACACACACACACACCTATACCCCAACATCGAAACTTCCCAGATCTGATGTTGGGGAGACAGGCTGGGACCCCTGGAACCCTCAAGTGTGCAGGCAGGGCCTCCATAGCCCCGATTCACGATCCTGATGTCCCGAGTGTCCCCAACAGGGCAGGGAAAGTCCCCGCGGGGTTTACATAACCGACTCCTTCTCGCAGGGGTCCGCGTCCCCAGCAGATCCCAGGCGGTGTTTGAGGAGGGGGTTCCCCTCCTCAGTGGGGGCGGGCGGTGGAGCCAAGGGCACCTCGCTCTTCACTTGGATCAACTCCGGCACCGAACTCCGCAGCTCTGTACGATCCACGTAACTTTGGAGGAGTCCCGCCCCAAAGGCATCACCTTCCACATTGAGGACCGTGCAGGACCGGTCCCTGAAGGGGCAGAAGCGAGAGGAAAGTGAGTAGGAGGGGAGGGGGTAGGGCCCAATCCTCCCGCCTCTCCTCCTGAATCTTTTTTTTCTTTTTTGAGAGAGAAAGAGAGAGAATCCCAAGCAGGCTCTGCACTATCAGCATGGAGCCTGAAACGGGGCTCGAACCCATGAACCAGGAGACTATGACGAGCTGAAATCACGAGTCAGATGCTCAACCAACTGAGCCACCCAGGCGCCCCCCTCTCCCCCCATATCTTGAAGTCCGTATCATGTCCTTCATGCAGCCCTGTTCTACTTCTAAATTTTTTTTTAATGTTTTATTTATTTTTTAGAGAGAGAGAGACAGAGTATGAGCAGAGGAGGGGCAGAAGGAGACACAGAATCCGAAGCAGGCTCCAGGCTCTGAGCTGTCAGCACAGATCCTGATTCGGGGCTCAAACCCACGGACTGTGAGATCATGACCTGAGCCGAAGTCAGATACTTAACCAACTGAGCCACCCAGGCGCCCCTCCCCCTCCGTTCTACTTCTAGATCCAACTTATTCCTCTATCCTCCCAAATAACCCTTTCTCCCAGAGCCTCCAAGATCTTTTCACCCAAGATCCAAGAAGCCCCCTACTTCCCTTCTTTCCCATGGAATCTAAGTGCCCCATCATACGATCTGTGCCTTAGAACCCCAAAGCACCCCTCCTCCACCCTCTCTGGACCCCAATGATACTTCTTCCAATAAAACACAAGATTTGCTCCTCATGCAACCTCAAAAAGTCATCCCTCCCTTTTCTTGGGGCCTCAGAAGACCTATCCACCTCTCTTCTTCTTCCCCCCAAATACTATATTCTTCCTCAGGCTTTTCTCATAATCCTAAAGATCTCTTTCGGCCTCCTCTTCATACTTTATGCGGGTGTACGCCATTTTAGAAAATTAGGCTATAATTCACATAGAGTAAAATTCACCCTTTGAAAGTATACAATCCAGGGTTTTTTTTTTTTTGTATATTCAGAGTTGTACGACCAAGACCTCTAATTCCAGAATGTTTCCATCACCCTAAAAAGACACTCCTATACCCATTAAACAGCTATCCCCATTCCCTCCTCCCTCTAGCCCCTGGCAACAGCTAGCTAAGCTACAGTCTACAGATTGGCCTGTTCCCACGTGGGGCTCAGCACTGACAACGTGGAGCTGCTAGGAATTCTTCCTCCCCCTCTCTCTCAAGATCCATCTCCTTTCCTCTAGAACTCCTTCCTTCCTCTCCTTTCCTCCTCAGCTCTCAATGACCCTCTTGTTCACCTCCTTTCCCAGGGTACCGGTTAGGCTCCTGAAGCCCCAGACCCACACTTACACTAGCCAGTCCACAGCCAAGATCAAGGAGATGTCGTTAACTGGCAGGTTGACTGCCTCCAGGATGATGGCCAGAGTGAGGACACCTCCAGCCGGAATGCCCGCGGCACCCACGCTGGACGCGGTGGCGGTGACCCTGAGGGGACGAGACGGGGGGTCAGGGAGAGACGTCGGTAGTGGGAGGAGCTGCCACGGGAGCCCTGCCCCCCTCCGGCCTCTGTCCATTTTCGGGGCCGGGCCAGGTGGGCCTGGGGTCCTAGCTGCGGCCCCCCACACTCACAGGATGGTGATGATCTTCACAAAGTCCAGGGATTGCTGGTTGAGCTGCGCAATGAACACTGCGGCCACGCACTGGAAGAGCGCCGCACCGTCCATGTTGACGGTGGCACCGATGGGCAGGATGAAGCGGCTGATGTGCCTGGCGACACCATTCCTCTCCTCCACGCACTTCATCATCAGCGGCAGCGTGGCCGAGCTGAGGGGCAGGTCAGTTAGCACGCGAGACCCGCCCCCTGCCGAAGCCCCGCCCGGACAACGCGCCCCAGTGGCCAATCAGCACAAGCCCGGGCTCCGCCCACCAGCCTAGAGCCCTCCCCCGCAAGCCCCACCCCTCTCCACCCTCAGCCTTCGGCAGTTCTCTTCCAGAGCCTCTCAGAGGCATAGGGGATCCTGCAGAATGTCAGGATTCCGAACTGTATGAGTCCTCGACCCCCTGGGAGGGCATAGACTGCTCTCCTTTAAAATACACACAAAAATTCAAACCTAAGTTCTATAATGTCTAGGAGCTCACTGCCCCACACTCCTCTGCCACTCCCCCCAATAATAGACTTTGGGTAAGAATCGCTATTTTCTTGGGGATGCTGCTGTGGGGAGGGCCAGGTTCGAGGGTGGAAAGAGCTCCCAGAAGTTGGATCCAGGGTGCAGCACTAGACCATTGCCTCCCAGGGCTGGGCCTTGTGGGGGAGGAGAGGTTTTCAGGAAGGGAAGAAGAAATCTCTAAACAGTGAGTGGTTTTCCAATTGCAGGGGGGAGGGTGCGGGGTGGGGGGCGTTCCAGGACCTTCTGAGAAACTTACAAAAGCATGGCCCCGGTACCCAGATCCAATGTCCCCAGATACGAAATTTCAAGGGTCTCCAGATAGCTGATGTCCACTTATGGCCCCTTAGCTTAAAAATCCCGCACTGGTTGGCCCCAAGGCCATACCTCGAAGAGGTCCCGAAGGCAGTGGCCAGCGGTGTCATGATGCCCCACAGGAAGCGGTAGGGGTTTTTGCGGGTGAAGAAGAAGTAGATGAGGGGCAGCACCAGGAGCCCGTGGATGGCGTGGCCCAGCAGGCAGCACAGGATGTATTTGCCGAGGCTGGTGAAGAGCAACCGCACATCCTCCATCTCCACGATCTTGCCAGCCACCAGGAACAAGATGCCAACAGGGGCATACCTAAGCACCCAGGAGACAGATGGCGGCCTCTGACTGTGTGCCCACCCAGGGCCCGACCACAGCCTCCCTTGTTGGGGGGAGACACCCAAATCAACGTGTGATCAAGCACCTTCCCTGACATCCTCCAAGCTCGATCCCCTCGCAAAAAGGGCAGAGGAGACGGGTGCCTATGAGGGGCTCAGTCTGTGAAGCGTCCGACTTCGGTCAGGTCAGGATCTCGCGGTTTTTGAGTTCGAGCCCCGCACTGGGCTCGGTGCTGACAGCTCAGAGCCTGGAGCCTGCTTTGGATTCTGTGTCTCTCTTGCTCTCTGCCCCTCCCCTGCTCACATTTTTTCTCTCTCTCAAAAATAAACATTAAAAATTTTTTTTAGATAATAAAAGAGAACAGAGCGGAGGGAGATAAAAGAAGCCTGGGGGCCTCTATTGCCACTTTGAATACAATCACCAACCAGATTCGGACTTACACCTGCCCCACCATGTGTAAGTCATTTACATTTTCTGGGTTCATTTGTTATAGCGGCTAGGATGATTTTTTTTAATTTTTTAATGTTTATTTTTGAGAGAGAGAGAGCGTGAGCAAGGGAGGGGCAGAGAGAGAGGGAGACACAGAATCTGAAGCAGGCTCTAGGCTCTGAGCTGTCAACACAGAGCCTGATGCAGGGCTTGAACTCACAAACTGTGAGATCCTGACCTGAGACAAAGTCAGACGCTTAACTGACTGAGCTCCCCCAAGCGCCCTGCAGCCAGGATGATTTAAACTGATATAATCTCTCGTCACATCCATGAAATAGAAAAAGGCCATGGTTCATGTCTTAATAGCAAGCGAGCCCTTGACCATGATTGAATCTTTAACCACAATCCCACGAGGGAGCCCTTCATTTAGTCTTTTGAAGCTACAGTTGAATTAAAATCGAATGGGTCTGTAAAACAGGAACATTAACGTGACCAGCCTCACAGGAATGTTGGATGTAAGGAGGTCCTCGGGCTTGAAAGCTTCCGGTGCATAGTAAGTGATCTATGAACTTCTGCTGGAATTATTATCACTCTCTTCTGGAGCAAAGACCCCAGGGGTGCCCATGCCTCCCAGCCAGGAAGCCTCCCAAGCCTGCCTCTCCGTTTGATTGCTGCAGCTTCTTGTCTCTCAAACCCCTTCCTCTTTTTGGTAACAGAAAAAAGGCACCACTTCCCAGCCACCTGTAAAGCGAGGTTTGGCCAAATGCCCAAGCTCTGGCCAGGGGATGCACCCGGAAGTTATCCAAGCGATGTACTTGATAAAGATTAGTCAACAGTGTTGATTGTAGGCACGCTATAGGTGAGGCAGCGTCCCAAGGGCTTAACTCACTTGTGCCTGCAACTCTCAATCCCATTTTCCAGATGGGGAAACTGAGGCACACACAGCGAGGTAAATACCTTGTTAGAGGGCACACGGGTGGGAAGTGGCGTGAGCCTGCTCTTACCACCCTGACTCTCTGGCAAGGAGCCTTTACGAGGTTGTGCACGGCAGCCTCTTAAATGTCGCCTGCACCAGAATCGGGGGGGGGGGAGGGGGAGGCTCTCATGGAATACAGCGCTGTCCTCATGTTATAAAGAGGAAACTGAGGCACAGAGAGGGCAGGTTACTTGCCCAAAGTCACCCAGCAGGGGATGGTCAAGACTGGATGTGGTTCCAAGCAGCAGAGGCGCTCCCTCCCACAGCCCCGGCCCCGTGTCCCCCCACCTACCACATGATCCAGGACACTAGCACCATGGTGGCGTCATTGAAGGAGTTGAAGAATCGGATGAGCAGCTCTCCCTCGGGTCCCAGCTTGCGCAGGGCCACGCCAAAGACAATGGCGAAGACCACCAAGCCCAGGATATTCATACTCTCCACCTCATTCCCGACAGGCACCTTTGGGCGAGCAACAGATTGGGATGGGAGGCGGAAACTCGGTCAACCTGCACAGTCACTAAGGGCCTGTCCTGGGCACTGCTGGGGCACAACACAGACAAGACGGCTGCTTGGGTCCCTTCCTCCCAAGGCTCAGAGTCTCAGTCCAGGGGAAACAGACCTGCCATCAGGGACCACCCAGAATGGTTGACACAGGGAAACGCAAGGTAGTGTGGGAACCGAAGGCGATGCCCGCTTGGTCGGTGGGGAGGGGATCCGGGAGGGCTTCGTGGAGAAAGGGGCCGGAGATCCGGAGAACAGGAGGATGAACAGGTCAAGAGTGGTCGTAGAAGGTTCCAGAGGGAGCAAACAGATGGCAACAGTCTGGGAAGGACAGCAGCTCGGGCATTCAAAGGGCAGAAGGAAACCCACTGGGGCTGGCATAGACCAGCCAGAGCCAAAACACGAGGCTGGCTGGGCGGCCGGGCAGAAGCCCGACGCTGCAGGGTCTTACGGAGAGTGGCAAGGAGCCCGGGCTTTCTTCCGAGGACACTAGGGAGCCTACAAAGGCTTTGGGCAGGGGAGACGCAGGATCAGGTTTGCGCTTTGGAAAGAGCACGCTGGCTGCCAGGCAGAGGGTAGGTAGGAGAGGGGGCCTCTGGGGGCAGATCAGGTGGGGGGGGGGCCCAGGGCAGGATGGGATGGGGAAAAAAGGAAGCCTGGACCAGGGAGGGAGACGAGGGGGCCAAACGGAGATACCAGGAAAAACAGAAACTAGGGAGAGGCTGCAGAGAGTGTAAAACAAATACCACCAGATGGGCAAACAAAGGCTGGGGTGGGAACGAAATGCAAAAACCACAACAAGGGGCGGAGGGCTGTGCACCCGCCCCTCCCTTCCCCTGCTCTCACCTTCACCTTGGTTCCGTTGATCCATTGGGTTTCATAGACGGTACTGTACTGCAGGTGGGGTTGGGAAGAGTCAGGATTAATGGCCACAGAGGTTCCCCTCACCCTGTCCTGCCCTAAGCACCCCCTGAACATGATCTCGTTTCATCCTGCCAGCGGCAGCTCCACTGAGGCAAGATTTTCGTACGTGCCCATTTTCCAGAGGTGGAAACCGAGGCTCTGAGAGGAAAAGGCAGTTAGTTGCCCGGGGTCACACTGCTGGAATCAGAACCCAGAAGGGGCCCAGAACCCACATTTATTCTCCTTTCTCGACGAGGGGCATGGACGGGTTTAGGGGTACCCAAGGACCCCGCAACAGCATTCATAAATATGCGAGCATGCGCACTTGGCCAGGCACCACTGGAGAGCAGGCACCAAGGGGCTCCGACTTGCCCGTCGCCCTCCTTGCCCACCCCCCACCCGCCGGGACATACCCCCAAGGACTCACTGAGCGGAAGGCTGCGGACACCAGGTTGGAGGGGAAGATATTTCTGCAGAGACAGACAGGGAGGAAGGCATGTTATTAAATACCACGGTGGGGGAACGGGGGGCGTCTGAGGAGTTGGGGATGGGGAGAAACTCGGAGGCCCTGTTCGCACCTAAATGTGCCCTCCCCGCCGCCCCCATGCCCCAGCCAGGTCTGGTCAGGCAGAGTTGGGAGCTGCGCTCTTTGCCAGGGTGTGGGGAGTCTGAGCTGGCCTCCTAGGGCCCCCCGTGGGGACAGCCTGGCAGCCACGATCATGGACTGGAGGTTAGGAATGCTGGCTTCCCAAGGCAGGCGGGGGCAGGGTCACCTGGGGCCTCAGCTCCACCCCAGGCTGCAAACTTAATACCACGGGCGTGTTGCATCAGCTACTTCCTCCTGGAGGGCTGAGAGCCGCTCCGGCCCTGGGCCCGGCTGAGAAAGGCAGAGGACACGTGTGCTCTGGAGAAGAGGTAGTGAGAGAGGGCGACAAGGGACAGCTGTGTGTGCCGCGAATGTGTATCTGCACAAGCAGTGTGCATTAAACCCCACTGAGCATGTCAGGGGGTCAGTGGGACCCCCTCTTGAGTCTAGAAGTGGGAAGAAAGTAAGGGCTAATGTGTCCACAGTCCCTGTAATGCTTGACATAAACCCACTCATTTAATCCTCGCTGCAGCCCTCGCGGTACCGCACGGTCATCCCTGTTTTGAGAAAAGGGAACCATGGGGCGCCTGGGTGGCTCAACTGGTGGAGCGTCGGACTTGATTTCCGCTCAGGTCTTAATCTCATGGTTTGTGAGATAGAGCCGGCGACGGGCTCCACGCTAGGTTTGAGATGCTCTTTCTCTCTCTCTCAATCTCTCCCTCCGTCCCTCTCCCCCACTCTTGCGCTCTCTCTAAAACTAAAATGAAGTAGGAGCGCCTGGATGGCTCAGTCAGTTGAGCGGCCGGCTTTGGCTCAGGGCAGTCCGTGAGTTCAAACCCTGCATTGTCGGGCTCTGTGCTGACCGCTCGGAGCCTGGAGCCTGCTTCCAATTCTGTGTCTCCCTCTCTGTCTGCCCCTCCCCTGCTCACACTCTCTCTCCCAAAAATAATATAAACGTTAAAAAAAATAAAGTATTTAAAAATAAAAGTAAAGGGAACTGAGGCACAGAAAGGTAAAGAAATCTGGCTGGCTAGAAAGTGGCAGAGCTGGGATTTGAACTCAGCCAGCTGGCTACGAGGTCCCACTACCCCTCACCAAGCGTGTGGGTGAGCAGCTGTTGCGTGGTGGGTCCCTAAACAGTTTCTCACGTGTTGGTGTCCGCGTGGGGGTGCCGGCGAGTGCCCAGATTCGTGGCACAGAGTCGGTGTCCACGTATTCTCGAGCATGCCTGTCCAGGCGACGCTCCGTGTACCGGCGTGGCCAGTGGCACCCGTGAGTGGCCGTGAACAGGGATGTCAGTACACTGTGTGTGTGTGGGGTGGGGGGCACATGTGTGGCAGTTGGTGTGAGGCCACGCGTCACTGAGAGAGGTCCCGGCTGTGACTGGGTGTCTGAGGGCCTGTGTCCAGCTCTGTGTCATCAGCTATAAAGCTGTGTGGCTCTAAGATGTTCCGGAAAAGTCTTGAGGGGCTGGCCAAGGATTTCGGCACGCAGGGGAAGCCTGAGCGCACAAACAGCCTTCGAGTGGGCGTGCCCGTTGGCCGGGAGGCCTGTACCCACCCAGGCCCAGCAGGGCTGGGTCAGGACCCGGCTAATCTCCCCCAGCCAGGAGCCGGCCATCCACTGCCGCTTCTGGGGACACCAAGCCTGCCCCAGAATCTCTCCTCTCAGCCTGCCGACACCCCCATGAGGCTGGGAGAACCCAGTTCCGTGACTCATCACTTCCTTCCCCTCACTTCCTGGAAGTCCCCAACCAACCTGGAGAGATTGAATCAGCAGGTCTGAAAGGCAAGGCCATGTGGACCCAGGGGTCTGCCCCTTCTCAAATGGGGGAAGAACTCTTCTTGGGATGGGGGCGGTGGCGGGAGGGGGGCGCGGGGAAGCAGAGATCAGAAGGCAAAGAGTCTGCTCTCTTTCCAAAAGTCTCACTGGCTCCCTTCTGGGCAGCCTACGGCGGGGGGGGGGGGGGGGGGGGGGGGGGGGGGGGGGGGGGGGGGGGGGGGGGGGGGGGGGGGGGGGGGGGGGGGGGGGGGGGGGGGTTGCCCAGACAGACGTGAGAAATGGAATGAAAAGTCTTCAGAGGTGGCTGGATTTAGCAAGAAGATATAAAAAGGAAGCTGCCAGGGCCCAGCCCTGGGCGGGGAAGGGAGGCTGAGAAAAAAAAACCCGGCTGTGTCCTGGTGACATGGGTGACACGTAATGTGGGGAGCCCTGGGACTGGGAAGAGGGCCTGGCAGAGGTCACTCAGATCTACGCACTCCTCAGGGGGTCGCAAACTCTCTGACTCTGGACTCAAGTCCTGAGGCCCTTAGCGCCCCAAAATGCCCTTCCAAGTTCACCCCCCCAGATCCTCTCCCCTCACAGGAACACCCTTATGTCCCTTCCCTTCCCACAACTTCTCAAGGATTACTCTTTCTTCCCTCTACCAGATTTCCTAGTCTATCACTGTCTTGGAGGGTCCCCACTGATGTCCCCAGGCCCCCACATTCGAAGCCTCCTTCCCCAGGGGTCTGTCCCCACTCGCTGACCTCTGGTCCTCCAAGGGTCACCATCACCATCCCGCCCTGTTTCGCTCAGGCCCTGGGGGCGTCCCGGCTCCGGAGGGCTCACAGCCCTCTGGCGTCCACGTGGTCACTCCGGCCATCCCTGACACGGGTCCCCCCCCCCCACGTGGCTTCCCCTCTCCCCCACGACTCCCCCAGGCGGCTGGGGTCTGACCTTACGAGATCCAGGAAGGAATCGAGGACTTCCTTGCTGGGGGCCTCTTCCACGGCGTCCGCGGCGACGAGAGAGGCGTTGGCGGCAGCGAAGGTGGCGCCCGGCTGCAGCGCCAGCGCCAAGCCCACGCCGAGTGCCGACGCCAGCAGCGTGGTGACCAGGAAAAAGAGCAGCGCCCAGGCGCCCAGGCGGCCGAGCGCGCTCGAGTCCAGGCTGGCGGCGCCGCCGATCAGGCTGCACACCACCAGCGGCAAGATGATCATCTTCAGCAGGCGCAGCAGCAGCTCTCCGGGGAAGGCGAAGGCCGCCAGGCGCGCGGGGCCCAGCGCGCGCGCGCCACCGGCCCCCGAGACCCCCAGACCCAGCGCCACGCCTGCCAGCACGGCCGCCACCGTCAGCAGCACCAGCAGATTGGCGCGAAGACAGCGGCGCGCCCGCTCCTGGGAACCGCAGCAGCGGCCGCGCGCGGAGTCTGGGTCCTCTTTCGCGAGCAACACCGGGGCACCGTTCGCGGCGGGCGCGGCCGCCTCGAACCCCTTGGGGTCTCCGCGAGGGGGATCGGCCACCATGTTGGAACGCGCCCGGAGTTCCTTAGCGCCTGGAAGCTTGGGGCTCCTTCCTGGAACGCCGACGTTCCTTAGAGCGGAGAGTTCTGCAGCCCAGGCTGGAGGCTGGAACTCTGGAGGGTTCCTTGGAGTTGCGAGTTCACAGCGCCTGGGTTCCTTGGCTCTTGAAACCTGGAGTGTCAGATCCCGAAGCTGGGAGCTCTCTGGGTTGGGTCCTGCGCCCGAAAGCCGGGAGCACCTGGGGTGCTCGGCCCTACGGATGGGAATACAGGAGTTTATCGGGCTGGGACAGGGAGGTGCTTGGCTCTGGAAGGCTGAAGGTGTCCAAGTGGCAGAGGTCCTCAAGAGGCCACGTCCCGGTAGCGCAGATCCGGGAGGCAGGGATCCGGGGTGCCGGGGTCCTGGAAACGGAGGCTGGGAAGCTGGACTCGGGGGGGGGGGGAAACAAGAGTTCCAGGAAGAGGGGAGCTAGGCTTTTGCCTCTGGGAGAGGAAATCCAAGGCCCTGAGTGCGGAAGGCTGCGGTCCGGGACCCCGGGAAGTAGCGGCTACCGACTCGGACGGAATCCCGCGGGCGCGCCGCGTGGCTCTGAGCCCACAGGGCGGAAGCTGAGAGAGTTAAGGGCAGGGGCGAGGCTTGAGAAGGCGGGGAGCGAACCGCGGGCGTCGATTGGCTGCGGAGTGTTCGGGGGCCCTCCTGCGAGCGAGAGGTGGGGCGGAGGCCAGAGTGGGGCCAATCACCCTTAGAAGGCAGACTAACAAACCGTATACCAAGGGGCGGGGACTCGGGGGGGCGGGGCGGGGCCAGAGGGAAGCTTCCATCCCCCAACCCCGCCAAAGGAATCTGGATGCAGATGGGGGCCTTTAACCTACAGCAGTTCTCTGGCTGGAAGGTCTCTAGAAAGTGCACGTGGTCCGCAGGTGGCTCAACCCAGCCTGCAGTGAGCGGCTCTGCCCTGAGTCCAGGCTTTTGTCGCCTCTCGGAATTCAAATTCCCCGTAGGTAAAATGTAGATTAGGAAAGCTCATCCCACACCTGATTGGTGTTAAGATTTAAATTAGATGCAGTTATTTATTCAATAATGTTAACAATTAAATAAAACGTTCCAGGGGCGGCTGGAACACTAATGTGCTAATGACTTCACAAATGCTTTCACCAAATATTTCCCCCCACATTTTATTATGACAGATGTCAAACATACACAAAATTGTAAAGTATCCATATACCCACCAACTAGAGTCTACAATTATTTCCTCAAACTTCTATGTTGTGTGTATTATCCGTATTATATACATAGATGTTATTATCTCATCTATATTATTTCTATCCATTTACTTATCTCCCTATCCACTCATCCTTTCACTTTTTAAACCTCATTTTATTTTATAATTATTTTTTGTTTATTTTTGAGAGAGGGAGTGTAAGTGGGGGAAGGGCAGAGACAGAATCCAAAGCAGGCTCCAGGCTCTGAGCTGTCAGCACAGAGCCACACGCAGGGCTCGAACTCACGAACCGTGATTTTATCCTTTTAAGGTAAAATGTACAATGAAATGCACCAGATTGTAAGCACCATTTGCCGACTTTTGACAAATACATGGGCCTGATTTCGCTAGAATCTTCAAAACTGCTTGGTGAGATGGGTCCCACTATTATACCCATTCTCCAGATGCACAAAACTGGGGCTTAGGCCCAGAGGAAGGCCACACCTGGGGAGGCTGGGAGTTGCATGCCTGCCTCTCAAGTTCCTAAACCTACCTATTGGGCTGCCTCCTTAAATTCCTTCTTGGTCATTTGAGTCATCTCCAGTGAATCAGTCAGGATTCCTAGCTTCTTCGGGCGGGCGCTATTGAAACCTTAATTCCCTCCCCAGCTGGCCTGCTCTCTGGTGACATTTCAGACCTTCACATTTGCTCCTAGACCGTACTTAGTGATGACTTCAGAAGCTGCCTCCTGTGGCAGCTGTGGGGCCCCCGGCAAGTCACAAGTCACATCCTCGGAAGCCTCCGTCTCTACAGCAGTACAATGGGAAGTAGAGTAGATCATACCTCCTTGGGTGCTGAGAGGATCCAATGACATCATATGTTTAAAGCATTTAGACAGGGTACGGGTTGGCCCTTTAATGTTTTTTTTTAATGTTTTTATTTATTTCTAGGAGAGAGAGAGAGACAGCGTGAGCAGCGGAGGGTCAGAGAGAGAGGGAGTCACAGACTGAAACAGGCTCCAGGCCCTGAGCTGGCAGTCAGCACAGAGCCTGACGCGGGGCTCGAACCCACGAACCATGAGATCATGACCCAAGCGAAAGTCGGACGCTCAACCGACTAAGCCACCCAGGCGCCCCCGGGTTGGCCCTTTAAAAAGTTAACCGGTGCTGCTCCTATAATTGTTGTCATTATTATTGAAGAATATGGTTTTTTAAAGTTTGTTTGTTTGTTTATTTATTTATTTATTTATTTGAAAGAGAGAGAATGAGCAGGGGAGGGACATTGATAAAGACAGAACACCTGAAGCGGGCTCTGTGCTGACAGTACAAACCCCGATGCGGGGCTTGAACTCATGAACCCTGAGATCATGACCTGAGCCCACGTCGGATGCTAAACCCATCGAGCCCCCCAGGTGCCCCGAAGAATACAGCAGGGGCTCCGACCAGCTCCATGGCGCTGCTGGGCCCTGCTGGTAAGCTCTCCCACCTGGCTGCCACGAGCCCTAGACCCAGACCCACTTGGGAAGGAGCTTTGAGAACTTTCTGTGACCTAGGATCTCAGCCAAGGGGGCCAGGCTGAGCCGAGATCTGCCCAGGCTCTGCCCACCCCAGACGCATGTGGCCATGTGCACCTCCTACCGGCGGCGTCCCTCACACACTCTCCGTTCCCAAGTCTTCCCGTCCTCAGCTACTTTATTTTTTTTTTAATGTTTTTTTTTTTTTATTTATTTCTAGGAGAGAGAGAGAGAGACAGCGTGAGCAGGGGAGGGTCAGAGAGAGAGGGAGCCACAGACTCTGAAACAGGCTCCAGGCTCTGAGCTGGCAGTCAGCACAGAGCCCGCCGCGGGGTCCGAACCCACGAACCGCGAGATCATGACCTAAGCGAAAGTCGGACGCTTAACCGGCTAAGCCACCCAGGCGCCCCAAGTCCTCAGCTACTTTAGAAAGCGCCCACCGCCTTCTCACTCTTAGAGCCTGAAGTCATAGTCGTGTGACAAACTTCTGCTCAGCTCCTGGGCGTGGTTATATTCGAGAAAGAGTGGGCGCCAAAACTACAGAGGCGTGGGTTTAAATCCTGCCTCCTCCACTTACCGGCTGAGTATTGGCTGGTGTTCCTCATGGGTCCTAGAGCCAATGGGAGCACAAATTTGACCGTGCACGTGGGGACCTTGGATACAAAACGTCAGGGGACAGCCCGTGAGCACTCCATTCGTGCTACAAATATTCCTTGAGCCCTTACTACGGGCTGAGGGCTGTTCATTGTGCTGAGGATTCAGCAGTGAGGAGAAAAAAAAAAAAAAAAGACAAGACGCCCTGCCCGTGTTCTAGTGACGGTAGACCGTGAAATAACCTTGGCCTGCCAGGGGGTAAGCCGGACAAAGCGGAAGTCTGGCATTAGAGAGAGGCGGCATGGCCAGGAGGAGCCACTCTGAGGCGGTGACATTTACAGCGAGACCTGAATGACCAGAATGAGCTCCAGGCTCCACTACCGGAAGAACATTCGAGGGAAAGGGAAGAACAGGTGCAAAGCCCGGAGGCGGCAGGCAGGGAAGGCTCCTGCCCTGTGTGAAATGCTGTCACACGTTATCTTATCTCCAGAATCCTTGCGATCTCAAGCTCTAGCTAACTGATTTGGAAGCAAACGGACGAATGAGGTTTGCTGCGGCCCAACCCCCTACCTGGGCAGAGAATTTTTTTTTTTAAATGTTATGTTTATTTATTTTGGGGGGGAGAGAGACAGTCAGAGCATGAGTGGGGGAGGGGCAGAGAGAGGGAGAGGGAGACCCAGAATCTGAAGCAGGCTCCAGGCTCTGAGCTGTCAGCACAGAGCCTGATGTGGGGCTTGAACTCATGAACCATGAGATCATGACCCGAGCCAAAGTGAGACGCTTAATGCACTGAGCCACCCAGGCGCCCCTGGGCAGAGAATTTGAACTCAGGTGTCTCTGACCCTGCTATGCCCCCAACCCCTATGGGACACCATGGCCACCCCTGCGTGGGGCTCCTCCTTCAAGCAGAGGCATTTCTGCCAAGGGACCACGATCTATTCTGAGCATGATGTTGGGCTCCGGGATGGGTGCCCCCAGGGCCCTGGCCTCTGGGGACTCACAGTACAAGTGGGGAGACCACTCATCCCAAGGAGGTGATGATGACAGAGTGAGCAGGGCTGGGATGGGCAGCCCAGAAGGGATGCTTGGCCCAACATGGAGGTCAGGGAAGACTTCCTGGAGGAGGAGACAATCCCAGCTGGAATAGCAAAGAGCTGGACCAAGCCCAGGGAGAGAGTGTACCAGGCAAACAGATCAGAACCTGCAGAGCTCCAGTGTTGAGAAGAGCTCAGGATGTTCCCAAGCGTGGATCTAAGCTGGTCACTCCACCCTCGGAGTGGCCCCAGTAGGCTTCCCCTGGGATAAAGTCCAAGTTCTCCGGCTGGCCATCTGTCTCCCCGGTAATTCATTCCCTCAGTCGGTCAACAAACCACATCCACAGAACGGAACACAGGAGAGACGTCAAATGAAAGGAGACAGATGAGGAACTGGGTGGACGGGCGGGCTTCAGAAATAAATCTGGTGTCCAGAAATATCGTTCAAGAGGAAAACGCGGGACGCCTGGGTGGCTTAGTCGGTTGAGCGTCCGACTTTCGCTTAGGTCATGATCTCGCGGTTCGTGGGTTCGAGCCCCGCGTAGGGCTTTGTGCTGACTGCCAGCTCAGAGCCTGGAGCCTATTTCGGAGTCTGTGTCTCCCTCTCTCTCTGACCCTCCCCTGCTCACGCTGTCTCTCTCTCTCTCTCCTAGAAATAAATAAAAATATTAAAAAAAAAAAAGAGGAAAATGCAAGGTGCAAGAGATGGCGTCTAGGACAGGGCAGCACATCATCTGTGGGGAGCGGGGGAGGTTGGGGGACAAACGTTTAACAGCCTCTGTTTCAGCTCTTCCTCTGAGCCTCTGTTTCAAGTGCATTGACCATCTCTGCAAGAATTCACAGAAGCTGCCCGAAGCCGCTGCTTTCAGAGAGGAAAGCATGGCTTTGCGGTTGGGCGTCAGCGCTGTGGTTCACCGGCAGCGGCGGCGTCTGGCCTCAGAGATCACGGAGGGACCGACCAAGTTCATGTGTATAAAGTGCTTGGGTGGTACCCGGCACGCTGCAGCCTCGTGGGATCTGAAGCTGTGATGACCTCTGGAGAACAAGTTTTATCTAAGGCCAAAGGGAAAAAGGCTGCTTCCACATTTGCCCTCAGACACAGACTCCCGGGCTGGTGCTCTCCACCCAGGGGGCCTCTGGGGTTCAGGGCCGCGGGGCAAACAGAGCCTCAGAGGAAGCAGGTGGGACCTGGCAGCTGGGTCTCAGGTGCTGCGGCGGCGGCACGTGGCCAGGCT